CCCTTACGAATGCGGATACGATAGTACGCATCCTTAATGTCTAGTATAGTATAGTAGTAGGCCCTAGAAAGGCGATCGAGGGTCTTATTAATAAGCGGGAGTAGATAGCGGTCTTTAATAGTAATAGCGTTAAGCCTACGGTAATTAATATATAGGCGTAGGCTACTATCCTTCTTTAGTACGAACAGGATAGGTGCGCTAGCAGGGCTATTACTATACCGAATACGACTATTAGCTAGGTTTTCTTCTAGGTACTTACGCAATATAGCAAGCTCGCGCTTACTAAGGTTGTAGAGTAGTCTAAAAGGAACCTCCTTGCCCTCTATAATATTAATCTTATAATCCGTCTCTTTAAATATAGGCAATGTCGACGCTAGGTAGTGTTTAAACACATTAATATAGGTCTCTCGGATAGGCTCTAGTATACGAGCAAGCTAATTAGGGTCTATGCTATCTAGGGGCATAGGTTTATCGTTATTACTACCGAGTAGGTCGGCAGTCGGATTAGCTAAGGCAGGTGTTAGGTTGCTAATAAACAGGACCCTAATATCGTTAGGGCACTCGCTAACATTAATGTATTTAATGTCCTCTTTCCTAGCGATTCTAAATCGCTACTTCTAGAGGCCTAGGTCTATAGCTACAGCGTAGTACTTAAGAATAGGGTTACTAATAATAATATCGGATAGGAGGCTGTCTATATCTACTACGTAGGCAGTAAAGTCTAGTAGGCGCTTATTTCCGAGGTCGTCCTTTAGAGCTATAGAAATATAGTAGGCCCTATAGGTTAAGTGCCGAGCGTTATTAAACTAAGCAAGGGTTAGCAGGTTAGTCTTCGGCAGTTGTCGAAGGTCTAATTGCTTAGCTAGGCGATAGCTAATAAGGGCACTAACTGAATTTCCTAGATCTAGTATAACCTTAGTTTAATAGGTAGTGCCCTTCGTATCCTATACAAGGTAGGAGCGTATTATAGCTAGCACAATGTCGATAGTCTTACGCCGCACGAGGCTAATAGTTAGTGCGGCGCTTACTCTTTTTTCGAAGGTTGGCCTATAGAGGTAGCGTTAGCCGCTAAGAGGTGCTTTCGGTATTTAGCGGAAGTACGATTAATTCGGGCCTAGTCCTTAGGTTTGTCGTATTAGCCTAGTAGATAGCTAGTGCTATTACAATTAAAGCACTTCAATCCGGTTAGTAGACTACCGTAGCTATTGTTACTGTTATTAGCCGAGCGGTTAGTATTATAGGGATACGAGCCCCTTCTACGGCCCCTATCGCGGCCTCCTCTATATAGCCGCCGGCTACGGCCTCTTCTACGGTCGTTACTGTTCCTATTGTTAGCATTGTTATTATAGTAGGAACCTTAGTTTCCTCCGCGGCTACTACGGTTGCTACGGTTAGTACTAGTTAGTCGGATCCTTAATTCTAGTCGTTATTAGAGCTAAACAGCCCGTTCGGCTATTTCTACTTCGACTATAAATTAAATGCGTATTAGATTAGCTTGTTCGAACACATAGCGACGGTCTAATTCGAGGATAAGCTCCTATCTAAGTTTTAGGCGTATCTCGGAGATCTATATAGAATTAGTCTTAGGCGGAAGGTCGTCTTTAAGGGTTTTTAAATAGGCCTCGAATAAGCGAGCCGATTAATTAGTCTTTTGCTTAGCTCGAAGGTACTAGTCCTAAGTATATTGTTGCCTTAGTATAGGGTTTCTAAGGGTGTCTAGTATAATGGTTTTATAGGTTTGCTACTAAATAGCAGTCTAGTTATTAAGGGAGTCGAAATAGTTATCCTATATACGCTTTAGGTCGCTATTAATGTACTATATAGCGTATACGACTAAGGAATAGTCGTCTAGTAGCGCTCTTAGTGCGTTGCGCTAGTTAAGTTTACAGTTACGAATATAGTCGTTATACTGCTTCCGACTAGAGCTATTAAATATAGTACAGTCCTTAAGTTTAGTATCCTTCTTTTAGATAGGTAGTAAAGAAGGTCCTACTATTAGCTTAGTAGTAGTTATTAGAGATTCCTAGAGGCGGCGAATCTCGAGAAGATTATCCTTTAGCTATTGTTCTTAACGCAAGGCAGTAAGCCTGTTTTAGGTAGCTTCTTAAAGTCTCGCTACTAGTTAGGGACTAAAGGCTAGCTAGCTATATCGACGGTTAACAATATTGTTAAGAATGTCGTCGATAGGCAATTCTAGGTCGTTACCTAGAATTGTAGGTTCTTCTTTAGTAGGTCCTATAGTAGGCTCTTCGGCAGGAGGCACTTTAGCAGGTGCTTTAGTAGGCACTTTAGTAGTAGGCACTATACTACTAGCGTTGTTATTACTAGCGCTACTAGCGGTAGTACGGTTGTTGTTGCTTCGTAATAAGCCGGCTATTATAATAGGGGGTAACAGATTAACTTAGTGTAATAGGCCGTATAGAAGGCCTTGCTTAATAATTAGTACGGTTGTTTCGATAGAATAGTACGTATAGGTCCCGTTCTTCGGGCGCAATATAGTTAGATTAGTCTTATTCGTAGCTATACCGCTAAAAGCTTGAAATAAGAACTATCTAGCTACTGCCCTTAAAGGGTAGATCGAATACTGTATAAGAAGGGTATATTAGCAGGTAGATAGGGTAGTAGTAGGTACAGGTAGTATTTAATAAGGAGCTAGGAGGAGAGGGAGGAAGGTAGGCAAGTTAGCCTATTACTAAGCGCCAAGCCCTGCCTAAGGCACTAAGACCCTAGCTTCACTTAGCCTAGTTACATACTAATTACGTATAGCCTCTTTAGCCCTAATACTTAACTATTGCGGCGTAGCGGCAGTAATAATAACAATACCTCGGAAGGGTCTATACTACTAAAATACCGACGATACGATATCTACGATATACTAGAGGATTCTATATATTAGAAGGAGGAGAAATAATTAGAAAACTACTAAAATAGCGGTATAGTTCCTCTCTCGGAGGTATAGGGTTCTCCCCGCACCGGTACTAATAGGTTTTAGGCAAACGATAGTAGAGCATCTTATTATACAAGCTAGCGAAACAATTCAAGTGTAAGTAACAAACGCGACGTTAGAGTTTGTTATGTCTCCTGTTTGCGAGTGTAACTAGCGACTAGCATACAAGATACTAACCTACGCGCGCTATATAATAATTCTATACGGGATAACGCTAGACTTCCCTATATACGATCGTATAGCCCTACGAGGTACCGTACCGTACCGTACCTACGCGTACTAGTAGCCGGTAAAGATTCCCGTACCTCTTCGAGAGATAAATTATTATACTTTCTATAGGGCTTATATAAAATGTAGCTCTAAGATAGCGTTCGGTATACTACCTTACTCTTACTATACACTTTAGCTTGCAATCTTCTTGTCGCAAGAGCGAAGTAGCTTAACGTTACGCCGTTTAATATATACCTTTAAAGTAGCTAGGCTAGGCTAGGCTAGGATAGGTTAGCTAAGTCTAGGTACGCATCTAAAGATGGAAACGCGTATAAGATATTACTAGGGAGAATATTACGAGTCGATAGAATAATAGAGGCGTTGCAGTTGCAATTACTATATAGAAGTAGAGTAGACCCCTATAGCTATATAGGACGAGTAAGCGAGATAGCGGACGGCGGTAATCCCTAAAAACGGGATCTAACTAATTAAAGCTAGCGTACTGCCTAAAGGAATTATCCGTACCTTTAAAAAGTTTACGTCTAACCTTTTTAAGCTAGCTGCTATTTATAGGGATTACCCCCGTCCGCTATCTCGCTTAATCGTCCTATACTATAGACCTATTATAAGTATAGGCCTAAGCCTATCTCTACTTAGACTAGTAATAAAGGGCTGTTAGTATAGCTATATATCTATATAATAACTTAGCTACTATAAGCTACTATAGCTAAGTAAACTCCTATATAGACTATATAATTCCCTTTATTACTAGTTTAATCCGTTTCTATCGGGATTTAGTAGGCGTATATAGATAAAGCGACCCGAATTTTTTTTCTAAGAAAGAATACGTAATACCTAGACCGAGGTCCGAAATTTGAAAATCTACTATAGTAGCGGCCTAGATAAATACTTTATATATACTAATTACTATTTTTTGTTCCTTAAACGATAGCCCTAGTTTAGGAAAATCGAATATAATCTAGAAACTAAATACGCTCGGCTATATAGAAGGCTACTCTATACCGCGACGATAAGAATACGTACTATTTAGACCGTAATTCGAAAAAGTACTACCGGGCGGGCCTAGATAATTATATTATCTAGGACCGCTACTATATATTATATATTAATTTATATTCCTCGACGAGTACTTCCTTAGGAGGGGAAAATCTATATAAATAGCCTAAAATACGATAGAAACGGCCTAGACTAGAGATAGAACTCTAGGATCTCTATAATCTAAACGCTAATTAGCTTACTCTACTGTACCTTAGCTATATACTATGCTATATATATATATACTAAAATACTACCTACCTATATACCCTTAAATAATCCTATCTCTAGTCTAGTCTCGAGATAGGGCCTAAGCCTAAATAACCGTAGCTAGAGGTATTATATATAATAGAATAGCCGTGAATATTACCGTTATTATATAGTAAATGCAGACCCTTTTAGTGCCTGCCTTATAAATATAGCGGTTAATATAGCTAGATATATCGGATAACTACTCGGTACGGTAGATATCCTTTATAATAGATCGTTCTCGGTGTAGGTCCCTAGGTAACTAATCTGTGTCTCGTGTATATTTATATCGTAAACACTGTGTTTATAGGCCCGGAAATTAAATACACTGTGATCTCTAACCGCAGCGCGTGAGAGCCGACAGTTGTACAGCGTCTGAACGCATCGCAGTGAAAGCGACTAGGCCCGGACCGCTGAATAACAAGTGGCTATTCGCTGTAATCCTTACTTTTCAAGGATGTGGGGCATACTAACTTTCACTCCGATGTGGTCAGACGCTGTACGACAACTCCTTATTTACTGCGGCTCGAATCGTCCTCGCTGTCCCTTCCGTATCATCGCAGCAACCGCAATTCGAGACGAACATATCACAGCCAAGCGACCAGAGGCAGAGCCAGAGGCAGCGCAAGCCTCACATCCCCGCCGGCCGCGACGTGAAGCACGCGAGAAGGCCGCGCCGCCACGGTTCGTTGGCTGACCGACACCAAAGACATCCAATACACACAGTACCGGCAAACGGGACCTCGCTTTCCTTCATTCCGCGTGCACACTCGCGTGAATATGCTTGATCGGCCGGACTCATGCAAATGAATGGAGACTCTCCACGCACACGATAGCCCTTTAGCCGCGTATCTGGAAGGTATGTAGCGAGCGATATTGCTTATTGCTTATGGCACCCCGGCTATCGCCATCCGGTCCTTCCCAAGCCCATTGCTCCGCCAACAACCAACACCACCTTTAACTGATCCTAGACTGACTTCATGAACTAGGCGAGGGAACCTTTGTCGAGCCCGACTTGATCGGCATTGACGAATCGCGTTCAGAAGACGCATCACACCCCGCGCCGAGCAGCAAGCCCAAGCCCGCGAGAAAGTCGTTCGCGCCGCCATCGAGACTCCAACTTCACCCACGCCTCCGAATACCTCCCAGCCTACCGCCGAGTGCCGTCGTACACGTCCCGCAGAGCGCTCTCACTAGGATACATCATGCTTGGTCATCAGCTGTCAACTCCAGGTTAGGAGCTTCAGACAATGCCAAGTTCCTAGAGCACTTCCGCTACACCATCGTAGCCTCGCAATTGCTTAACGAGTATCTCGATCATGGCTCTCTGAACCCTGTCTCCACACCATTATTACCAAGTCTGGGCGTCGAAGGCACGAGCGATGTACTCGAAGAGCCGAGAGATAATGCCAATCTCGTTGGCGCACTATCAGCCGCTGCGCTTGCCTTTGCACTGGTGCTTCTCATAGACTGGCTTCGCGCACGTCGAATGAGCAAGAGCAAGGTCCTATTAGTGCTTACGGCACTGGCAATAGCTGCATTTATCGCATATGCCTACCTGCGTCGACAGTGGTTGCAGAGTCTGAGACGCCAAGTTGTTCAGACTGCAACACGTCTGACGACCAACTGGCAGGCATATGAGCTTTCCAGTAGTTCAGCGCTGTCTCTCATCCAGGAAGTCGAGCTGGTGTCAAAAGGATACAGGCTGAGCACACCTTTGCCACCGGCCACACGCATCGAAGAGAACAGTCCCGCTAGGAGGTGTTCTAAGCTACGCGCAGCACTGCACAAAGCGTATGCTGGCACGATCCCGAAGTGCATCGAAGCATGCGCTGCGCTCCGAGCATTGATTGACGATGATGACCTGGAGAAGTACTTCGAGATCTACGACATCAGTCCGCAGGATGCTCGAGAGGCTTCTGGCACGAGCTCATTGTGTATCCTAGAGGACGACCCAGAGTCGCTCAAGTCTCTTCGCGTCCTCAGCTATCGGTCAGGCGTCCTTCGAAGGGTGACATTATGCTCACTCATGGCCTTAGAAGCCGACGGTGGCAAAGCTGATTTCCGACGGTGGCGTGTCGCTACTGCAGTCATGGACAAACTCAGCAGGAGTATCGCTTGCTCTACTGAGCGGGTCCGGAAGCTGCTGACAGATATGGAGAACTTCAATTTACCCTCCCCAGCAAAATTTGCCAACACTGCAGTTCGTGAGAAGATGCGTGGTCAAGTGCGCAAGATCAGCGCCCTTGGCACCGGCATCAGAGGTCTGCAGACCAAAATGCAGATCTTGCGCGAGGAGACAAACAACTCAATCGAGCAATCCGACGACCTCACTGATCTCGGCCCGACACTGATGGCCCAATACGAAGCAATCGGAGCGGACTTGAAAGAGCTTCTTCAAGCTTGGGAGACTGGCCAGCAGTCTCTGCAGAACAACATCACGCGACACGAACATCGGATATCCTTGGCCTCAAGTGGGCTGAGATCACCTGTGTCGAGCCTTGGCGGACTTACTGCAGTCGAAGAAGTAGAAGGTTCTCCTGCCGATGCGCTCAAAGTGTTGAACGGAGATTCGAGTGGTTCAAGATCGAATCGATCTAGCCTGAATACTTCTAATAATTCCGACGAGGAATTGGTCTTTGAAGCCGTGGCGCTGCCTAGGCAGCGGGCGACAACGCTCACACGCGAAGAGCGCATAGCGAAGATGCACGAAGAGCGCGCAAAGCAAGCTGACCTTCGCGCTAAGCGAGATGCAAACACAAGCATGCTGCGCGAGCTGGAGTCCGTCATTAACCTGAGACCGAAGAAGACTGCTGCGAATGGGAATGGGTCTGCACGCGTCACTTCTCTTTGACGCCATTCTTTGCCGCCGGTCCTGGAAACACAGGATCCGGAAAGAAATAACTAACCCTCTGATTGCTGTATAGCATTTCTAAGGCGCATATAATTAGTCAGGGCATATGAGATACCCTTCTGAGTATAGACAGGACAGTTTAAGGGATCACATTGGATATTAGCATGGCGTTCTGGGTACAGACCGAGCTTGAAGACGGCCACAGTATTGGGCATCTGGCGGTGGTACATATTGTGTATGAGACATAACTTCAGCTGTGGCCACTTCCTTGGCACGACGACTTGACCGTAAGCCATGTCGTTTGAACCTTTCCTTCGAGATTCGGATCAACTTCGACAGATGCGCTCACAGCGGAGATGTCGTCCACTTTTGAAACCGTGGAGCTTTTTGCGCCTTTGAAACTTCACCGAATCAGCTCGAGCAGATTGTTAAACCCGAACGCAAAGGTGGGGAGAGGCGAATCCGTCTGTTTGCCTATCAGCCCGCCAGCACATATGAGGCCTCATGCCAATTGATATATTGATGAGACGATAAAGTTCAAATATGAATCTCCCCTGCAGACACACTGTTGTCTGCTATCCTCCCGCAGCCAAGAAAACGGGCCCCAGTCAAGAGCGATCATCATATCATCATGGAGAAAGGTCCGCCTCTCGAACAACAAGCAGCCTCCGAAACGACCACCATGGAGAAGTTCTGCTGGCAGTTGACAAAGAAGCCGAGCGCTCTTACTTGCGGAAACTAGACATGTCCTTGCTACCTTTCCTCTCACTTTCAGCGCAACTAGTAGATCGTGTAAGGAAGAAATTCCACATCATCTCAGGAAAAGATCCCGATGCAAAAAAAAAAAAAAGCTGACCTCGCTCGAGTAGAGGCAACGCCAAAACCGACGGCATGGGACAAAGACATGTTCAAGTTCACCGGCAACCAATACTCGCTTCGAATCAACGTGCCGTTCGGGCTCATGGTGGACCTGTCTCTCACATTACTCTTATTTGGCCGACGTTGGCGGCGACGTCGGTTTGTTTGTAATGGGATTTGTGTATTTTTGCGGCGTTGGGGATGAGGAGGGAGAAGGGATCGGGAGCAAGGGAGGGTTTTTGAGGGCTGGGGGAGAGGGGGAGAAGGCGGCGGATTGGAAGGTATTTTGTGTAAAAGGGAGGGAAGGAGAGGTCGTGTGGGAATGAGCAAAGATGCTATCCCTTCAATCGTATCGTATCGTGCAATCTACGATATGATCTCTCGCGCTCATACGATAATATGAGCTCGGAATTCGGGGTTGTAAGATTGATGAAGAGGATCCATGATGGAAAGGAAGAGATAGGCCGAGGACGAAGATTGAGTATATCGCGGCATTCTAGTCGAAACTAGCCATTAAGGATGCGAGCGTGGGTGACGACAGTCACGACACGAAGGTTTACATCGAGGTTGTTTGCGTTGGGATCAATCTCTTGAGCGGAAAGCTTTGGTTATCGCAATCGCTACTTCGAAGCAGGTTTTAGGATGGCGACATAGAAAAGCGACTAAAAGTCTTTCAAAGCCGTTGACTGGAACATGACTATACACAGGTATACAAGCTATCTCTTTCAAAAAGAAGTCACATCTTTGGAAATCTTCTTCAAAAAAAAAATCCCTTAGCGCCTAGCTTCCTTCATTGGTCATATGCTCCGTTCTCTCTAGTACTCGAGCGTCACATCCTGTCCCTTTACCTTTCCGATCACGATGCCTGCTGCGTACTTTGGAATAACCTCGTCGTCATGCATCATCTCGAACTCCTCTGATGCGTCCTTGCCCATGTGCGAGAAAAGTGCTTGTGGGCCACCTGGGTGCTCGTCTACCCAGTCAGTTACATTCATGACGATGCCCTTGACGGCGATCCAAAGATCGTCCTTCTTGTTGTGCTTTGCGACCTCCTCAAGCGAGTATTCCTGCTCTGGAATTTTGAAGTCCTTGATATCGTTGGGCTTGGTGACTTGGCCTGGGTCCTTAGAGTCCTTTGAGCCACCCATGACTGGGGCTGCAGATACCTGACCTTGCTGCTGTATCGACGATCCTGATGAAGCGCCAACACCAGATCCTGAACCCCATTCCACGGAGATCTTGCCTGGCTGGCTTGGGTCGATGTGAAGGCTGATTTGGCCGGCACGCTGAGCAGCAGTGCTTGCGCCACCAGCGAGGACTTGCTGGAAGAGGTACTTGCTTGAACTTGAACCTGCGACACGGCCGTAGACGACACATCCGAGGAGCGAGGAACCACCGAGACGGTTGGCACCGTGGACACCACCAGCCAGTTCACCGCAAATGAACAGACCGTCAAATGGCTTGCCGTCCTTGCCGAGCACCTCAGACTTGTCATTGATCTCGATACCGCCCATGGTGAAGTGGAGCACTGGCTCCATCTGTGCAACGTGGAAGTCGTCGTTGACCTCGACTGGGAAGTTGTGGAAGAACTTCTTCTTGAATGGGTCCTTCTCCTCGCCGTTAGCGTACTTGTTGTACGCGGTGAAGGTCTCGTTGAGCTTCTTCTCGCCACAGCCAATCTCCTTTGCGAGCTCAGCGCCCGTCATCTTCTTCATGAGACCCCGTCCAGAGTAGTGGCGAGTGTGGAAGTCGAGAGTGTTGGATGCCTTGCTGTTGAGTACGAGTCTGATTGGCCAGTTGCCCTGCTCCTTCTGCTTCCACATCTCGTTGGAAACAAAGTCACGGTGCTGCAGCTCGTCGACGAATCGCTCGCCTTTGCTGTTGAGCAAAAGACCACCCTCGCCACGGAGAGCCTCAGCGGCCAAGAACTTGGTCTTCGCAGTTGGGTCCTTCGGGTCGACCAAACCAGTTGGATGCACTTGCACTTGTCCATATCAATGTCATTTGCGCCAATGCTCATCAACATCTTGTGACCGTCTCCAGTGGCGTGGTTGCCGTTTGTGGTGGAAAGATCGAAGGTATCGGGCCTGTGCTTCTTGAGGAGCGAGGTCTCTGTGAAGTCGGCAGCGTAACCACCAGTGGCGAGCACGACTGGTCCGTTGACGGTGTACTCCTCGCCATTCAGCTCGTATGTCACACCGATGGCCCTTTTGCCGTCCATATTGATCTTCTTGACATTCGCCTTCTTGATCAGCTCGACGCGCTCGGGCTCATTCTCGCAGAGCTCTTCCCATCGCTGCATGAGGGCATATGTGATAGCCATACCGGGGAATTTGGCATCGTGGCCACGGTGGGTTCGCTCGTAGGAGTGGCCACTGTGCAGCTGTTAGACGTGAAATGTCGGTGACAAGGAAGTTGGCCAGTACGTACCCTAATCGCGAGACGAGAGTAAGATCGAGGTTGAAGATGTCCTGCAGCCATTCGACAGCGGATGCGGACTGGTATGTGAGGACTTTGATGAGATCTGGTCGGGCCTTGTCTCGTGCGGACTTCAATGTGTCGTCGTAGAATTGCTTTACGCTGTCCTTGATGCCGAGATCGACCTGTGTGCGGGTCAAAGCACCGTTGATACCGGATGTGGCCTTGGTGGAGTTGCCACCCATGAAGTCTGTGGAAATGGTCAGCAAGCCCACTTTTCAAGGCAACTTCCGCTTTGCATACTGTTCTTGTCGAGCAGCAGCACATTGCCGCCGTTCAGGTAGATTGTGTGGGCGGCGCTCAGGCCGGAAACTGGGCTTTCGTCAGCCGATGCCCTGCATTCCGTTGCGCGATGGACTTACGGCCGGCGCCGACGACAATGACTCTCTCAGGCATGATGGCGGGGATGTGTGTGCAATGAATATGCTATGTAGTGGAAGGGAAGAAGAAGCAGAAGAAGAAGAAGAAACAAAACAAGCGAGTGGTGGTGGGGGACGTCGCTCGGGATGTGCTTGTGAAGCTTGTGGAGAAAGAGCCGAGGAATCTGTCGTGTCGAAGGCGCGGCTCTTGGATCAACTAGATGCGGATGCTCGTGGCAACCAGCGGCACGGCAAATCAATTGGGAAGGTGATGATGGGAGACGAGGACAAGCAGAATAATGTGAGATGGCAAGCACGACTGCCGTCTCAGCACATTATATTGCTGGTGCAGGGGAGCAATTAATATTCTATTCGCTCGCATGTGAAGGCGAGTTCTGTGCTGCGCTGCAGTCCGCTGACCACAGACAGACCTCGGCCTTGTCGTCTCGTGATCGCTTCTCACATGCCATTGCCGCCGCCATGTTCGCCTGTGGAGACGCAGCAGCCAATTGCGTGTCGGCCGAAGTCAGCCTCCAGTTCTTTGTTTTTCATTCACTCACAGCTAGCGGTTTGTACAAACATCGGAGGTGCCTTCCGGTCTGTAGAACGACCACGCAATTCAAAGCCCGAGCGTTTCGAATTCGGCTCATTCAACACCGATGCTTTGCCGATGAGCAGCAGAAGCAGGGAGAGAAGAGCGAGATGCCACCAAATATGCTCTGTCACAAGCCAGAATGACCTTTCTGCCATTTCTCATACGTGCCTTTCGCTGCACCTGCACTTGCGAGCCAATCTGCTAGCTCCAACGCCACTTCGCCGAGAACCAACATCACATGCTGCACTCCAGACCGCGCGCTGAGGCCCTGCATATAATTATTCCCGGTGCACGAGAGGTACTGCTCAAACATTGCCAAGTTTATCGACACCAGCGCTCGATCCCGCGGAAGAGTCTACGATTCTGTCATCGGAAGACACTGCCGGAAACCTGCTTTGTAGATCTCCGCAATAGCCGTCGCATGCTTGCACCATGCCAACTGCAGGCAATTCTTGACTTCACCTGGAGTAATCAACGCCAACTATCACGAGAAACCTTTTCTCAAGACACATGAAAACAGCAGCAAAAAAGTCTCCACTCCGTAAGCATCGCATAGTAGGTATTGAATTGTCTCATCCACCTCCCGCTCGCTAATCTTCCTCACCCTTCCAACCAACCAGAAAACCCCCGTTTTTCTTTCATGCATCCAGGCCATGGCACCGCATCGTATCGCAGTCATATCCCCTCAACCTCGAAAATATTCCCCCCCCCCCTTCATCCAACCAAAGGCTTATCGCAACCCGTGCAGCACCGCTCATCCGGAAAAGCCTCCCACAGCGCACCCGAGAACGAACTCTGCTGCCCATCCTCCGTCGAGAAGCTCAGAAACGTATCACCAAACCCATCGTCCACGCAACGGTAGTCCTGCATCGGAACGGTGATGTGCTCCTTGATGGTGTCGAGGATTGCAGCGCAGCCACTGCCTTGCTTGTATGGCTAATGAGAGTAGAAATGTCAGTTACTGTGAAGTTCGAAGTTTTGTGGGGAGCTGGACTTACGAATCCGACTTGTGCGGTGTAGAGAGTGCCAAGCGATCCTCCTGCGCCGCTGCGGCACATGATGTGCATCGTGTTCATGGGGAGATTGCCTGGGCTCTGGGCAGATGCTAGGATGGCGAGAGTTGGGGTGAGGAGCTTGGAGAGATGCATGGTGGTCGCTGGAGGGTGGTTAGTACTGGCGGCCACGTTGGTGTGCTTTTCAGGGTTAAGTACACTGTGGTTGGAGGCTTTGGTGTTGGTTGAGGTTGTGTGTCGAGTGTGTTGGAGGATGTCTGTTTGGTGTAAGTTGGAAGAAAGGAAGATGGAAAAGTCGAGGCAAGATATAGTGCGCGACAGCGCAGTCTCAAGTGAGGCGGATGGCAAATCTGAAGCTGACTCAAACGGAAGTGAAGCCACGTCTGAAGGACTGATGTCTTTGGTTCATAGCAGACTGAGGTAGATCATTCAAGTTTACCAGATCTAGGGGAGCATAAATCTTGCTCCATGGTTCTCACCTTAAGCCACGCAGGACGTCAGTTCGAGATGCTGAAGAGAAGGGCGGACGCGTTTCTTCCTCTTAGCATGAGAATCCACATTATGGTAGATCAATACACAACGTCACAGCTCTATGTCCTTCTGCGGCTGCGTGGAGTATGGTTGATCGCTTGGCTTTCTTCTTCTATGATAGCTTCGTTCCTTCTCAATCTTCTCTTCCATGCTCCTCATCGGAGTGAATGTGGTTTCCGTGACGACGCATGAATGAATTTTGTTCGCCTTCACCCGCAGCTCGTGATTGCTTGGCGTGTGATCAATTTGCCGTCCGTGCTCTTCCCGCCGGACTATTGAATCGTTCGGCGTCCCTTCCCTTTTCCATTCCACTTTGACTGCACGAAACCCCCACACTCGAGCATTCGCAACCACCTTCATTGCATACAATCCATCCATCAACCCATCCACCCATTCAAGCAACCTTTCTCAGACGCGCTGTAAGAAATTGATTCGCCCTGACGCGAGCGGCGCTAACTCGAGGACAGTCCCAAATATCCACCATCAACATGCGCTCCATCCTTGCCACCGCTGCCCTCATCGGCGCCGCTGTGATCAACGCCCTCGACACCGGTGGTGTCGGTCTCATCCCTGAGAGCGCCCTCGATCCCAACCAGACCCTCGACATCGCCCGCGAGATGGGACCAGACCCAGACGAGGGCCTCTGCTACCTCTGCATGGGCTGCTGGGCCAAGCAGAACGGCGCTCTCGTCATCTCCTACAACGTCCACATCGGCTACGCCTATTCCGTAAGTCATTCATTGCACCGCTAGAAGTCGACCGACGACGCTGACCGCAGACTCTAGGAAGGCCACGAGTTCAACGGCGGCGACGGTCTGCAGGACCAGTGCACCAACATCTTCTGGGAGCTCGAGCACCGCACCGGAGCCATCTCGATGTGGAAGTGCTCGGCCGATGCCTATAGCGACCGCACGATTTTGCACTTCAACAATATCGTCGGTCAAGGCGGAGATCTGAGCGATGAGCTGAACAAGTTCTACCCGATGGTCGCGGAGCAGAACTCGTTCAATTGTCCTGATAAGTAGGCGATAGGCGATGCCGAGCAGAGGATGTATTGCGTGATGCTTTCGATTAGCATGAGGCATTGAGTTTCTGGAGTTTACGAAGGGTTGCATCATTGGCGGGCGCCAGCAGAGCGCGGCCAGCATGGGAAGTGAGGAGTTCCATGCGATGCGATATCAGAGGATCAAGGTGGCCACCGTGCTAGTTTGGTAGAGAACCGCAGTCCAGTATAAGCAGTTGGACTGATATTGATCTTCAAAAAAATGGCGGTGTTTGTTGACCTTGCAATGTTTTCTCCACGACCCCCGACACCCTGGCTGCCACGTGAAGGGGTGGCGTCACCAAGCATGCAAATCTTCTACCCAAGCATGCAGCCATACTTCTTGGTAAAGCTTGCCGATATCATTCCCTTCACCTCCTCCAGGAGACACTTCGACGCTGTATCGTTCAGTCTGGTCAAGCGAACCGGGCCATTCTATTAGCTCGCCCCTCTGCTCACACCAGTCGTACAGCAGCTGCTGAGAAGCGGCCGATCTGCCACTCGAACGACTTCTCTGGCTACGCTGGAATGCCCGAGGCTACGCTCACGAACAGAGTGAACACATAAAGAATGTGTGAGGAATACCGAATGCTCCAGGCCCAGTATGAGCCATTCACGAGCAAGGCCATCCTGGTCACGCGATATCGACGCAGATGGATTGAAGGGGAGTGCAGGATAGAGTTCCATCGTCGCTTCCTTCGAGGTCCGCAGCTCCACCCATCTTCGAAGTCTAACCTCAATTAGCGCCTCACCTGTCGTCGTCAGAGAAAACTGCTCTCTTCCTCTACACCTGACACTGCGTGGCCATCACCACTTACACTGTAGGCGCTCGCCGTCAATGGAGTTCGTTTGCGCATTCTTCTGTCTACTGCTCAAAGCTCTTCGGTAGATCGCCCACAAGCAACATACCCTCAAACGCAGCAGATTCCTCACGACCAACTATACCGGTTTCAACAATCATGTCTGGCCAAATCACCGACCGCGAGAGCACCGACAGTGCGGCACTGGCATTGCTCGGAAAGAAGCAAGTGCTCAAACGTCGTTTCGGCCTTGTCACCCTGTTTGGCTTTGCTGTTTGCGAACTGATTACGTGGGAGACGGTTCTTGCATTGTTTAGCGAGCCTTTCGAGAACGGAGGACCGGGCGGCGCAGTCTATGGCTATATCATCGCATGGACTTCGACCATGTCTGTGTATACTGTGATTTCTGAATTGGCTTCCCTTGCACCTATCGCTGGTGGCCAGTATTGTAAGTTTCTCACCATAACCACATGTGACTTGACTGATCGACGACAGACTGGGTCTACATGCTCGCTCCGCCGAAATGGAAGACCGTGTCAAGCTATGTTGTCGGATGGCTGACCACATTGGCCTGGATTGCTACAGTAGCAACGGAGACACTCTTCGCTGGTCTTATGCTTCAGGGCGTCATCGTCCTTGATCACTCCGACTACGAGGCGAAGATGTGGCAAGGAACACTCTTGACATGGGCAGTTATCGTCGCTTGCATTTTTGTCAATGTAGCCATTCCGAATTTGCTGCCCAAATTCGAGGTCTTCATTCTGGTCTTCCACTTGGCAGGCTTCGTGGCAATCGTCACAACCCTCTGGGTCATGACACCAACAATTACCCCAAGTCACACCGTCTGGCTCACGTCTCTCAACCAAGGAGGCTGGCCAACGCAAGGACTCTCGTATTGTGTAGGCTTCCTCGGCAACGTGGCCACCTTTGTCGGCGCAGATGCCTCCGTCCACCTGGCAGAAGAAGTCTCGAACGCGGCCAAGAACATTCCGCGAGCCATTCTCGGCGCTATGCTCATCAACGGCGCCGTTGGCTTCGTTATGATGGTAACAATTCTGTACTGTCTGGGAGATGTCGACTCCGTACTCAACACCAAGACCGGCTACCCATTCATCCAGATCTTCTACAACAGCGTGCAGAACATTGCTGGAGCTACTGTAATGACAGCCGTTGTCCTCGCGCTCACCTGGTCCTGTGCTATCGGCATTACCACGACGGCCTCCCGCATGACCTGGTCCTTCGCCCGAGATCGCGGCTTGCCGTTCTCCAAATACATGGAACGAGTAGACCGCAAGACCAAGATTCCCGTCATTGCTGTCTTAGTTTGCACCACAATCGCCGCCCTTCTCGCACTTATCTACATTGGCTCATACACTGCATTCAACGACGTCATCTCTTTGACTATTACCGGATTCTATGGCTCGTATCTTCTGCCCGCATCGTTCCTGCTCTACCGTCGCCTCAAAGGCCAACTCCTACCTCACGGTAGCCAGACGCACGCAGCCACTCAGACCATGCATGAGGGCATCGAAAAGTTCCCCGAGGTATCCAAGGATGGCGCCGATACTGGGGCTGAAGATCTCGATCTCGCTCAGACACCTCTCGTCTGGGGACCGTGGCATTTGCCTGGTTGGCTGGGCATTGCGAACAACGTCTACGCATGCTGTTATATGCTCTTCGTGATTTTCTGGAGTGTATGGCCACCCTCGACACCAGTCTCGGCATCGACTATGAACTATTCCGTCGTCGTGACTGGCGGTGTCATGATCCTTAGTGCGGTCTGGTACTACATCGGTGGCAAGAAGCAATACACGGGTCCTCTTATCGACGACGAAGTCGCAGCGATCATGAGAGCGGGATCTGTGGTCTCAATACACTGATTGTAGGACACACACCTGCAAATCTAATGCGCAAATCTAAAATCCAATCTCTTCGCACCCTCATCCTCCGTATTCCTCACATAATCCACCTTCTCCTCACCCGTGAGTTTCGCCCAAGCCTCTTCCCTCCTCTTATTCCTCCTAACATAATAGTACTTCACCGCAACAAACAAAACAACATTGAAACAACAAAACCCCAACAAAATCCTATTCCCTCGAATATAATACGGCCGATCATCATCCCGATAGATATTCGTCCCAATGATATTCCCCGCCTGAACCATCATATTATAAAGCGCAGCAGAAACCGCCCGCGTCCGGACACTATTCGAATTCCTGGAATTCCACGCCACCAGAATCGCATGGCAATACGGATACGACAACAGACCCGTCAACAGTCCATATCGAACCCAGTCCGAAACTCCAGACCCCAAAGCCACAAGCGCCGCCAAGAAGGGCAAGATCCAAAGATTCGACGTCAAAGACACCAGCGCTCGTTCGTTGAAGTATTCGGAAACTTTACTGATAATCAACAAATTCACCCCGAACATGAACTGCGAAGGAATCGTAAGAAGATTCGCGTTAAACGTGCTCCAACCCATTTGTCGGAGAATGTACGAGATATAAGTATTCGCGGGTTGAGGCGGCACGTAAGTCGTCAGTCCGACGAGGTATAAAGGCCACAGATCGTAATCTTTCAGACATTTCCACAAACGTTGCAGGGTGACGGCTTGGCGGTTGTTCATATCTCCTTTACTGGGATCGTCGCGCAGGAGTCTGTTGACCAAAATTTTCTCTTCGCGTTCGGTGAACCAGCCTTTTTTGCCTCGGATCCAGCCGCGGGTTTGGGTGATGGAGGCGGGCATTAGACCCCAGGACGCGAGACCGATGCAGGCTGTTATACTGCCTTCGATGAGGAAGAGCCATTGCCAGCCCGCCCAGCCCTGAAGGCCGCGCATTTGGAGGATCCCGGCTGCGAGGAGGGAGCCCAGGATATTGCAGGTGGAAAGCACGGTCCAGAACCAGGAGAGGCGGATGGGGAGTTCTTTGGCTTTGTACCAGTAGGTGATGTAGAGGACCGTGTCGGGGATGAACCCCCCCATTAAGAGGCCTATGAGACAGCGGCAGGCGTAGTAGCCTTTTTTGGTTTGGAGACCGGCTTGGGCGGCGGAGATGATTGACCAGCTTGTGATTATGAAGGGGATCCAGATGTCCGGGCCGAGTTTTTTGGAGATTAGGCCTGAGGGGAGTTCGGCGGCGAGGAAGGAGACGAGGAAGATTGTTTGGCCGGAGTTGAAGTCGTTGGTGTTCATGTGGAGGTCTGTGAGCATGTTGTCGGAGATGGCTGGAGGGGGGTTGAGTATTAGGACGGGTGGTGGATATGTTGTTTACGTTTACGTTACGTACCCCGATTGATGTTTCTTCGATTCAAATCCAAAGCGAGGAACATGAGCCAGCACCAAGTCATGATCCGGAAGTCAATCTTTCTCTTCAGCCTCTTCTCTTCATCTGCAGACCAAGTGATGTCGGGATCGAATCGGTGTCGGCCTTCGTATTTTGCTTTTTCGTAAACGTCTCGCCAGTAGTCCGCGACCTTTTCATCGGCAAAGACATGGTTTCGATCAGATCCGTAGTCTCCTTCGACAAGCTCGGAAGTGTTCAGTGAGCCTTGTGAGCTCTGCTCTTGCACAGTCTCGAACGCTTTGTTGTCATTCGGCACGCTAGGAGGTGCAGTGTCATCCTTTGGAGACGATGCCATGGCTAAGGGAACGCTCACGGGAGCGCGAAATAGGTAGCAGAGACGTCACAAGGCACGTACCTCATAAGGAGCAGGCATACATACTTATAAGCAAATGGTCGATGGAGCCCGGTCACCTCATGGCAGCCACGCTTGATGCAACGATATGCAGCAAAGTTCGTCTCGCGCCATCGACCAACAAGTGCATGAGCATAGGATGTTGGGATGTCGTGATCGGTGCCAAGAATTCGTTATGCGAGCTGGCATGTGCCCCGTCGACAAACACCTTCATACACACTCCTAATGCCGATTGCTCGGCACAACAACGCCACATGCGCCGCGCTGAAATACATGTACACATCTTGCTGAGATTGCAAAAGCTCTTTTCAGTCCCTCTTGCCAATGCCAATGCCATATCCATACCCATTGGCCCCGGATATACCATATCCACCGAGCCCACTCCCAAGCCCACTCCCAAGACCACTCCCGAACCCACCTCTTTCCATACCTCCCAATCTATCCTTGCCATGACTCTTCAGCCTCCTCGGCAGCTCCACGCCTCTAAAGTATGCCAAACATATCGCCGCACTGGCTCCCGCAGAGATCAGACAATAAACCATCGTACTGAACGTCAAATGCCCTCCAACGCCCTGCCATCCACTCGGCAGAAGCGTATTAGGATACCACCGGACACTGAACTGCAAAGGCAGCGAATCCCCAATCACAATCCTCAAAGGCGGATCCCGACTTATAGAATACGCAATCGCCGCCGCAATCGTCCCCGGCTCCACGCTCTTCGGCACCGCATGCACCAACACATTCATATGCGTCGCAACATGCAAATGACTCAGCTGCAACGTGCCGGCCAAAGCAATAATCAAAGGCGTATAAATCTCACTCAAACTCCCCTGTCCATCGGTATTGTCTTTCGTCCCTTTCTCAAAATCCTCTTTCAAAACCGAAGAAGGCAAAGGTTTTGTCGGAATTCTACAGGTGAGGGGTGCATCGTTGTGCACGTAGAATTCTAGGAGGTGGAAGAATGGGTCGTCGATGAAGTCGATCGTGCAGTTTATGTCCTTTTCGACGCCGAAGATGAGTTCGAGAGGGCGGCCGGTTTCGTTGCAGGTGAAGGCGGGGATGTAGGAGAGTTGGCCTGAAGCGTCGGTGATGTGTTCGCCTGTGTCGCTGGGAGGGAAGTAATGTTAGTTGGGATGCGTCCCTTGCTTGGGAGTGGCAGCGTACATGGTTCTGTTCAGACATGTGACGGGTATGCGCTCGCCGACTTTGTACCCGCGTTCTGCCATCAATGGCTTCTGTTCGCCCGCTGCTGCTGCGGCCAGCGCGGTGTAGAAGGCGAGAGTCAGCCGGAGAATGAGAGTTAGGCGGGAGGATGGCGCCATTGGGGTAGAGGATTACTATGTACAGAGGAACATGAAGTGTATGTAGAGCTGTTTCGACTAAGAACAGTTGGCGGCTTTCTTGCATAATACGCATGCGGTGTTTTCAGGGGTCTCAAGATTCGGAGCTGAGTCCGTTTCGGAATGACCTTGCTGGCCTGGCCTGGCCTGGCTTCACCTTTCACACCGCAGCTCATCTTGTGTCCATTTCCTCGCATTGTATTTTTGGTGCCACCAGTATCACCTCCCCGGAATCTAGGCTCGCAATGTGAGATGGGTGTCACAGAATCTGATCCATCTGTGGAAACGCCGCATCGATATTCTATCGGCATCACAAATCCATCCACGCGTCCTCTTTTGTAATGACCACACTACCATTGCCCTCGGCCGCCCGTCTGCGCAATTCTGCTGCCACCCGTAGTCCATGGGCCATTTCGGCTTCCTGAGCTTCATCCACCAGATTCGGGACGTCGCGCTTCCACTCGTCACGTTTGAAGGCATTCGGCCAGCCGTAGTCTTCGACCAGGAGGTGATGCAGGCGTCGGAATGGCTGCTAGTGGGAAGTCAGCAGGCACAGAACATTTTGGAATCTCTGAAACTCGCCTTCGCATTGGGTCCGATGGACTCGAGCCCGCCGCTCATTCCTCCAATCAGATAGCCGGCCTCATACTTGTTCAGCATGTCGTGCAAGTACGTAGGCGCGTGCTCGGTGGGTAAATCGAGATACGTATCAGGCGGATACATCGCGCCATCCATTTCGCGAACCGTGTCTGGAGACGCGGGTCAGCAAATGAGAACACAGTGATGCGCGGGCCAGACACTCACTATCGGCGACATCCAAAAGTAGCGTGCAGTCATCGCGACCTCTTGCCCGAAAGAGCACCATGACTGATGGACGTGCATTCGCCATGTTTAGCCGATATGGTGGCTGATAATATTCCGCCTTGTCGATATCGCGGCTCATCGCAAGGTGATCGGGGTCGCGATAATCTACGGCGTACATCAATGGCAGGATCTGATTCTGCTCGTGCATCCTCATGATTGGAAGCTTCTGCATGAGAGAGACTACGCGCATGTCGATTCTGGCATCGTCTTGCAGTGAGGAAAAGTCGAGCGCGTGGCCTTCCGCGGGAGCCCACAGTACGTCCGATTCTTCGATACCACCGATCTGGATGAGCGCCTTATACAGCGCGGTGACAAGGCTCAAGATCGTGGTCTCGTCATATTCGCTATCTCTTGGCGCCAGCGCGTTCTCCATTGTGGTATGGCTTTGTCAGTGGATCGTTGCGGAACCGAATTGCGCAAGCCAGGTTACAATAATTGGGAGTTGCACCAAGAACGCACATGCAAGCGGCGTGAGACAGACTTCACTTTAAAATGGCCAAGGTGACGTCATGCCGTTTTATTTACGACATGCTCTCCTCCCTATGCTACCAGGAATTCCGTTATCTGCAGTACCTAGCGGCCCTCGACCAGGAAGAGATCCCATTTCGATTTGTCGCTGATGGATTGACCTCCCTGATAGCCATTTACTCAACGTTTATGCAGCGGTCTCAACAGGCAGAGGTACGTGTGAATCGCTTGGTCTGTACTTCACCGTCAGAAATGATTGTGCTGAAGTGCAGTCATGGTCTGACTTACCCAACGCAGACCACATCTCCTTCTAGCATAACTGTTGGGCTGAGAAAGCGATTCCAACCGAGGAACTGGACCATGGTGAAGTTGGTATATGAATCAACGAACGCTGTGAAGGGCACCGCATCGCCTGTATGCACTGCGACTGGGCACTTCGGGGGTGCACAAACGCGCCCTGCAGTCAGCCAATAGCAGTATTGGCCTGGATTAAGCGATTGAAGGGCTGCAGTCGGCACCGCGATCGTAGTAGTAATTGAGAGAGACCGGCTTTGAATCATACGTGGATCTGCCCAATGTGCTCCGATGACGCTGACTACCTATGCCATTCCTCGACAGGTGCGCACCCAGCTTTAATCCTTGCGGAAGAAATACTCACATCCCGCCTTCGCCAAAGCACAGCAAATCCTCGTCCTCGGCTCCGCACTCTTGTAGCTGATCAGGTCTCCATACCATGAGCGAGTGATCTCGTTGACAAAGAACCTGTGACCGTCGGCGGCGGACGATATTCCAATGTCCAAGCGTACACCCACTTCAAGTGACTCGAACATGCTTTCGCCTCTTGCAGAAGAACAATCATGGATGAGCACAACTTCGCCATGGTCGACCTTGCGTGACTTCCGGGGTTGAGTCGATTCGCCATTGAGTGAGCGCTTCTGCTTCTCACCTGGGTGATCTGGCGATACGTTCTCCTTGTCGTCAATTTCCCGAAATGAATCGTCTTGGGTCGTCGGAGCGTGCCTGTTATCGTTCGCGGGGAGCGCATCATACTTCCTCAACTGCTCAAACACCCAGAGACTGTACTGTTCGAGGTCGCGATATGTCTTGGCGCCACAGTGCTCCAGATCCAGCAGCTCGTCAGGAACGCGACTCATGGCGCTGACAATGGGGTTCGTCATGTCTTTCCTGGGCTTGGTGTGGAATGCCTCGAAGACATGCCCTTTCCGGCCGTGAAGACCATCAGCAGACGGTAGCGTGGCGAGGATGACGCGGAACTCGCCGAAGTTGATGAGTGAGTCGATGTTCTGCTGATGGAACCATCGAGGGGAGTGCTTCCGCGCATCGGATGCATCTTTTCCAGAGACCGGCGGAAGTGTGGTAGCCATAGAATTGTCTCTCAACAGTCCAATATACTCTGCTTTGGCGCGTGGATTGGCAACATCACTCGTGTCGACGCCACGCTGCTCGCACGCGACCTTCAGCTCTGCAAGCGATTTCTTGTTGTAATTTGTTGTGAGCGCAGCACGCTCTCCGTTCGCAGCGCATGGGTCATGAGATGCGCGGCAGGGCAGACATGTGTAGATGTCCTGCTTGGGTTCGAGCTTGACATGTGTCGATGTTGATGAGTGTGTTCTCTTCATAACGAATGGTTCCTTGAGTGTGCACTCCAATGTTTTCGTGCATGTCTGCGGCCGGAACTTGTATTCAGGCGATACACTTGCGTTGGCGATATGGTCGAGCGCCTTAATGTCTCCAAGCTTCCGCTCGCTCTCTTGTAGATCGCGAATATTGGGAAAGCATCTAACGCGCTTCGCGTTTGCTGCCAGATTTCCCAGCTCTTGCAGAAGACGATAGACTATTTGCGTCACACCCATGTCCGGCTCGGTCGTCCAGCAGAAGTAGATCAGAGTTCGATCCGATATATCGTCATTCGAGGCCACGTCTTTCTTCAACAATGTGGTGATCAACTTGTGCCAAGTCCAATACTCCGCCTCACAGCCCGACAGTCGCGCGATCTCCGAGAAGATTACAACGGACTGGTGAACTTCTCGGTGTGCGCTATGTTTCGAGTCGAAGAGCCATTTGTCTCCTAAATCTTTCGCAAGGCTTTGAAGTCGTTCGGGTTGAAAACAAGGTGGGATGTGCGTATTGTCTCGAATGTCCTCGTTTCCCACTGGGACAAGGCTGCCGCTCAAGATGTTTGAGTCAGGGCCTGGGAGACCGCTGTCGTCGCCAACCCAGATGAGTCTAGTCGGGCGCCACGAGTCTGCCATAACGTATTAGTGTTACGAGGCGATGGTTGGAGTTCGAGTCTTGGCAGAGGTTACACTCGAGGTTCCCACCAATTCTTTGGGCGGGGCTATCTTTCACAAGCGCAAGTGAATGACATCCGAGCCCAGCATGTACTATTGCTGCATTGCAGATAGTACTATACTGCACTGCTGTCTACGTTGATTGCGCGACAGGTGCGACACAATGCTGCAAGTCGTGCAATCTAAGACACAAAGACATGCTCTTGTTTGAGAGACCGCGACAAATCACCGGTCATCAGCCTGGCTTTGTCTAAGCATCAAAAGAACCAAATCGCTCTGAGCTCATAGATCTTCTTCGAATGATCAACCATTGAATGGTCCAGTAACTCGAATAGGTCCCAGACCTGAGGCACAGGAGGTGTCATCGCCCACAAAGCTCATGTCGAAGTATGAGATTTTGTCACTGCTCTTCACCGCTTCGGAAATCCGAGCACGAACTGTGCATTACCGCTCCGACTAGCATGTCGTTTGCAGAACGTGTATCATGACCGTCGGAACCAAATGACCTCTTCAAATCGTCCCGTCAAAGTCGTCAGAACCATAAGAGATCTCCGAACCGTCAGTAGTGTGTCCGGCATCTGACTCCTTGACTCTGCTGGGTGGTTCATAGTCATCAAGATCTTCTGGAAACATGCCATCACGCTCCAACCAGTCATCGTCCAGCTCACCTCCACGCAAAAGCTGGTTCTCAAAGGCGTCCCGCTCGCCATTGATGACCGTTCCTTCATCTGCGAAGTCCATTCCATCGTTGAAGCCATCGCTGAAATAACTGCGAAGCTTGACCTTTCGCAGCTTGGAGAGCTTGCCACCAACGCGACCGAAGACACCTTCCCAGGCCCCTTCAGAGAGTTGCAGGTTACTTAAAGAGAGGCGCCTGAGTGAATCTTTGTGGCGAAGCAGGAGGTCAATCAGATAGTCTTCGGTCGCTGCAAACTCGCTCAAGCCCAATTCTCGAAGTTTTGGCCACGTTGAGGAACCCAGTGCGTCTTCCATTTTTGGATAAGACGCTTGCAGACGCGTACCCCACATGCGGACCTTGAGCACACGTAAGTGTTGAGCAGACGCAAGCCATTTTGCGAGCAGTCCTTTGCGATAGTACACATCTGACTCAATTCTCAAAGCCATTGCATCATTGTCAGGTGGCAATGGCTCATAGATAGAGATGCCAATGCGAAGCTCACGTAGGTTTTGCATCAGATTCTCCATCAAGGGTTTGGTCGGAGCATTATTCCAGGTATGCCTGAAGACACGGTAAGACACATCACCAAGGAAAAGGCGCTGCGGCTGGCGGTTCGCATGATGCAAAGCTTCCACTGCCGTCCAGAACTGATGCACCCCTTGGTCGCGGTAATCGATATCGCCGTATGGGTGCATCATAATGTTCTTGAAAGCCTTGCGTCCCCTGTCTATGTAGCCTGAGGTACCGTGTCCGATGGAGACTGCTACATCGGTAAGCTTCGGGCACGCCGCAAAAAGCTCGGAGAAGCATTGATAGTCGAACCGTTCGTCCACGATGCTCTTCTGATCCGCTATGGTTGTTTTGTATTGTTCGTATGCATCTGCGATGGCTGCTTTACTGTGCTTGCCCTTCTTGCGCTTTTCAAAACGTTTACGCGCACTGTCCAAAGCACGACGTCCTGCTGAACTCTCATATTCTTGATCTACTGGGAGTTCATGGTATATGTTGTATTCATTCCACGGCTTCAGTTCGTCTCGTTCCTTGTCCCATTCGGAAAATGTCAGAGCAGGACCAAAACGATCGGCTTGGAACCAAAATGAATGGGTGCACTTCGCCATCGCAGGTTTCTTAGCAATCTCGAGCAACTCTGCCAAATTGTCTCGCTTGTATACGACATGGATTGAGTCAAGTATATATTCAACGCCAACTTTGGCCAAAGTTTTGCAGGTCATTCGGGCAGCACAGATTGAGGCCTTGTCCAGACAGTCAAAGATAGAGTGGAGTAGCTCCGTTGGAAGGTCGAACAGTGGTATTCCGTGTTGTTCATGCTCTTCATGGGCTTGTCCAGAACGATCTTGGGCATGCCTCTTGATACTGGTCTGTGGTTGTTGTGAGCGAATGCCCGGTGGCTGTGAGGCACGGGCTTTTGCCGCAGTCCATGCTGCATGAGCAGGCGAGATATGAGCGTCTCGTCGGCCCATTTTGAAGAACTTTGTGTACTATCTCAGAGAGAGAGTGTGTGTGTGAGTGAGAAAGTGAGAGAGTGTGTGAGTGAGAGTGTGTAGTAGTGAGAGTGTGAGAGTGAGGAGAACGCGTCGCGTGGGAGCCAATCCTTGTCCGTGCTTACATAATTGCCTAAACCCTGTCTAAACTTTGAACCCTACACGTCTTCCAAAGCTCTTGCAGATGAAAGTACGCGACAAAGAACATTCACCTGAGCGGGTCAAAAGACTTGTGATGGCAGAAGGAGCCGGATACAATCCCTACGACACATGACTTTCGACTCACCTCGATCATTCGCGCGAACCCCTCGAAGATGCCACGCCTCGTCCGCCGCGCGCCGCTTTCTGAGCGCATCAAGGCCTACTTGGATCCCTACGACCTCCTGCTGTGGCTTTCTGAGTACCTCAACGACGATGCATATGAGGAATGGTTGAAGCTCTGGGTGGTGCCGATTGCCTTTGGACTGCATGTCGTGTTCATACTCGCACAAAGCGCAAGCAAGAGTGGTCCCTCAAAACGAGGCGACGATGTCTTCGGAGAAGATGGTAGTGCAGGCAGTGGATGGTTCGCGTGGGTGGTGAGCCTGCTTCAGATACAATTGATGCATCTTGCTGCTTTGCCTCTAACTATGTTTTAGGCTGCACTAATAATGCACTCGATCACCTTAGTCGCCTGCTTGAATGCTCTCTGGACCTTCTTCAAGAAACGCTCATACCGCCTCTTCGAGCAGCCCGTGGACATGCCGCCAGCTACGCCATCTGCAACACGGGTTCGAGTCGATAGCTCTCCACTATCTTCATCGCCTCTCCGCTATCTGCAGCACGTTGTCTCAACTACAACAGCAGCATCGCGGGCATATCCAGATGCGGAGCGTGAAGTCTGGGAGCTAAACATCTGGGCTCCTAATGAGCTTAATTTGACTCTGTTCACCCTCTTCTCTCCTGGACACGTCCTAATATACTACCTACTTCTACCGCCGGCCGCCATGGACCCCAGACCATCTGTGACTGTGGTCACCGCAACCGCATTCAGCGCACTGCTTTCCTTACAACTATGGCTGATGAAGTCATCCTTCGTGCAGCAAGCCAAGGATCAAGCTCTTGTACATGGTGAAGTCATGAACGAGTACGACACCAAATTTGTGCATCCTTTCCTCAACAGGCCTGTGCGTGATGTGGGAGTTCAGACTCGCGGCACAACAACACCACGCGGCAGCAAGATTCGAGAGGTGGATGTGTATACGCCAACTACAATCGTAAAGCGCGCCTTCTCCACGAATCCAAACCCGAACTATGCAATCCAATACGATCCTCATAACCTGTCCGCCTCACGGCCTTCATCTCGACGCGACTCTGGTCAAATTGCAGCACTGGAGAGCTTCGACACACCGCCAAGCGCCTACACCAACGCTCAAACGCAATCTTACTCGCGCCCAAGTACAGGTGTCACGAGTGCAGCAGACTTTTCATCGCCGCTCAAACCACACCACGAGCGTCTAAGAGAGCGGAGTCCCGTGAAAGGAGATGGTGGCAGTCTTGGCGTCTACAGTCATGCAGCAAGTCCTCTGAGAAAGGCTGTCAGCACTAATCAGCTCAGAGCAGGTCGAGAAAATGGTCGCATCTCGAGCCCGCTGAAGCGCATGAGTACACCTGGCTCGGGTTCAGCCGCTGACCAGCTCAATGGCGGGCGGAGGAGAGAGACTGGACGCTATTAGTCATTCATCTAAGACGTCTCCGTCACAGCAGACCTAAACTAAATGCGGAATGCACATGAGATCGGTCCCACGCATAGTGTGGCATGCAGCGCCTTTTCCAGACAGGGAATGCTCTCCAAAGTTTCACTGCCAGAAGAAGTCGGTGCTATCATGACGAAGCGACATCGAGCCGGACTTTGGCTTAGTGAGTAGCTAGATGTTTTTCCGCCCTGGAACCGTTAAACCCGCGCTCCGCCCACTCCATGGCTGTCTTTCCCACCGAATCGAGGACACTCTTGTCCGCACCCTTCGCAAGCAACAATCTTACTGCATCCGCCGGGCTAAATCGAGCAGCATCATGCAAAGGTGTGCCCAATGGCGAATTTCGCCAAAGCTCAAAATTTACGAGGTCTTGTTCGGATTCCAGAGCATTGACGTTGTTCGCACCGTACTCGTCGACAAAGCATCCTGATGACTTCTAGCCTCTTCGACGTTCACCACTTAAAGCATAGCACTCATTCGGGTGACCTCCATGGTCCAGAGCTTGCCGTACGATTTCTGGTAATGCGGACTGTGCCATGATGTCCAGGACTGTTTGGCCGCGCCATGCTCTAGTGGCCAGAGAAGGGGGTTGAGACTTTTTGATCGCCTTGCCAAGACAGAATCAGCGCTCTGTCTTTCTCAGGTTCATGGTACCCCCTTTTGCGCCAATGGAGAAGGAACTTGGTCGTCAACCTCCTCTTCCACGTCGACCATGAAAGCTAACGTCTTTGGAGCGCATCGCATCATACTTAATTGGCACGCGAGGCTACGACTTTTCGAACTTCGCTGATCTTCGTCATCAAGAGCTCGACGGCATCTGGACTGTGTACAAAGGACGGGTGCACCCGGTTCATTTCTTGAAGAGAAATGTGGTCAATGCTAGCAGCATATTGCCCATCTCGTAGAGTCTGCTCTAGACCGGGCCTGTCCAGCGTAGTCGCAAGAAGCACTTCAGGCTCCGTCATTACACATAAAAACGAAAGGATGAACGGGTTTCTTTCGAATATCGTACATGAATTACACCTAGCGACTGACGGCGTTGTAACGAACGCCTTCCCATATACGGCAATGCCTTCCTTCTAAATCACAACACCCTTATTCTGTTTCTTGTCGACTCTATAGTTCTTCCAGACAGCAATGGCAGGAATGCCAAGCACGAGAACGGCAACAGCAGAAATGCAGCTGTAGTACTGTGTCTGACCCCAAGCGTAGTTAACAGCGGTTCGGATGGTAGTGCCAGGAACGAAAAGTTCTTGCGCAAGGTATCCTCCGAGATAGAGTTCTGAGACCTTGCCTTGAAGATCAGCGGGAAGAGCACGTGCGAGGGCGCTGGGGAAGATGTTTCCGTAGATGGAGGTCGAGACGGCTTGACCGATGGCTCCACCCACGCTCGCGGACAGGCCCAGGATGGAAAGCATCATGGGCACACCCTCGCGATCTGCTGCGGCCATCACAGCCATGTCTTGACTAATGACGAGAGTGCCACCGGCGAAAGCGATGAAAATTTGACACATGACCACGTATCCGATGCCGTGCTCGCCGCCTCGGAAGTGGACCATGAGGCCAGAGCCGAGGAACATGAGTGGGAGACCGAAGAAGAGGGCGGTGTACTTGAAACGCTTGGTGGCGTAGACCCAGGCACCGAAGACGACGGACCAGAAGGTCGACCCGACGTTGTAGATTTGTGTCATGTATCCGGCATCGGTCACATCTAGTGCGTAGGTGACTTTGACGTAGTTGTAGAACTGGAGATCCCAGGAGTAGAAGCTGAAAAAGAGGACGGCGGCCAAGACCATTGCGCCGAGCACCGTGCGCTCCTTCAGCAGCTCCCATCGGACGAAGTGAACGCGTGCACCCCACTTTTCCCACGCTGCGAAGACGAAGAAGAGGAGGAATCCGATGACGATCATGGCGATGAAGGTGGCAGAGTCGAAGGCGGCGCGGCCGTAAGTCTGAAGAGAGAATGGCAGGAGGAAGAGCACGAAGGCTGCGATGATCAAAATCGCGCCGATGATGTCGAATTGGTGGAAGTAATGCATGAAAGATTGCCAGGCGGTGCGGTCGCTGGACTCTCGCTTGAAGAGACCCATCTTCTCGGCCTTCTTCTGGTAGTACTTGAAGACGAACGCCAGTGGCAGGAAGACGACGGGTTGAACGATGCAGAAGGTCCCGATGGCCCATCGCCAGGTGGTCATGGCCAAGAACGAGTTGGCTGCACGTGGTCCCGTGAAGGCGGTGCAGATGAAGGGGGTCGAGACGAAACCCCATGCGAAGGCTCGGTTTCGCAGACCAGTGGTATCAGCCACGAAAATGTCGAGGATCAGGTAGAGCGCGTCATAGCCGATCCAGTAAAGGACGTATCCGGCGGCGTAGGCATCTGGGCCATTGGCAGAGGCCAAAATGACCATGCCGAGCAGATAGACGGCCAGGAATGTCACGTAGCCTTCTGTGCGGCCCCAGATGTTCAGGAGCTTGGCGATGGGAAGTTTGAGGACACCACCGATGATTCCCGACAGGATCTGTGCGGTGGTGTATGCGGGGGCATTGGTGAACTTTGAGAAAGCGTTCACGGAGGCATAGCTCATGACGGAGGATTGGAAGGCCAGCATGAAGAAGCACAGCCAGATCCTAATCGAAAGCGTCAGTACATGGGCGCCGGGATTCACTTCGCAACGACTGACCAGGCAAAGGTCGCATAGAGGACAGGCTTGGTCCAGACGAGTGCTGCGGCTTCCGCTTTCTGAACACCCTCTTGAGCGCCTGCTGTGACTTTGTCCGGGTGTTGCTGGATTTCTTTCTCATTGCGAGCCTCCAAACTCAGATTGTCGGAGTCGCTGTCGGAATGAGTGCAGTCCCGGGGGGTCTTCTCGTCGTCGACGACTCCGCGGGATCCAATTGCGGCGTCTGCAGTCACGTTCTCGGTCTTGCGACCACGGATCTGGTTGAAAACGCCCATTTCGGCCCCCAACGCAACGGCGTGTCGTGAAGCGAAGCTTGATCACGATCGAGCTGATGTCGGGAGATAAGATCAGATAATGAAGTGAAGCTTGATCACGATCGAGCTGATGTCGGGAGATAAGATCAGATAATGAAGTGAATGGCGGGCAGCGCGGCGGAGCTTGCAAAACGCCTCTCGCTAGGGAAGGAAGTCTGATGCGTGTGACCTTGCGCTGCCACTGCCACTGCCACCCTTCCCTTCCCAGTGCCCACCCACGCATGCATCGGTGCTCCCGAACAAACGGCGTGAGCGAGTTTGGCGCCAAATTTGATTCTTCGTCGAATGGGATGCCGATGGCGCTCGGTAGTGAGGGATCAGATAAGCATCGTAATCAGATGAGACGGCCCGACGCGGGACTCGCGCCATCTTAGCCGAATCAAGCAACCCGAAGGATGTTGAGCCGCGGAAAAACGGCTTCGAAGACACGCCGAGAGCGGCGACGCGCTGAAGCTTCTACCGCTTTTTTTTCGCTTGTTTGCCACCTCACCTCACTTGTCTTCCGTTTCGCAGTACAGCCGAGGCACGAATGAGTTATACCCCGCCTTCAACACTCTCATACGGTATACTTCATCTTGATCATACCCAGTGGAAGCTACATCAACTTTCAGCAAGCGCGGCTAGCTCCTCATGTCGACACATCATTCATCATCGCTCTCATCTATGACCCGTCTCTTCCGAACTTTCGCAACAGCCTGAACCTCCTGCAGCTCATCGCCGCTCGAGTCATCTGCCTCCAATCCCAGCACTTCATCATCGCTTGCACTCTCTCGAATCTCTTCGACGTCGCTCCGAGAATTTTCCTTCCCCGCCGCTTTCTTCTGGAGTCGACCTCCCTTCCGCCGATGAGCAGCAATGATAGCTTGCGTGCCAGGCTGACTCGAGCTTGCAATCTGCAGCTCATCGCTTTTTTCGATGAAAGCCTGATCCTCGCTGTCGGCTTCTTCTTCCTCATCTTCGCCACTGGTATCTCGCGAGCCAAGATCGATGCCCTGCGTACCAATCCGCATGTTTTCGGGAGTAGGCTCTGGTTCGGAAGATGAGCCCTCGCCGGCAGCGGAGCCATATGAATGCGCGCGTTGAATCGCTTGCTTCTTTCTGGGCCTACCTCTAGCTTTGGGCTTGGCTGCTGCAGGAGGAGGCCGAGTCGATGACTCAGCTTCGACGTCGGAGTCGTGGGTAATCGCTGCAGTGGCAATTGTCTTCTTTGGCCGACCTCGAGGCTTCTTTGGTGGCGGCGCCTTGCTGCGGCCTCCACTCTCACTACCTGAACTTATGATCTCCGGATGTGGCCGTGGAGCCTTTTGTGGTGCTTTCGCAGAAGCAACTCTTGCAGGGGGAGGTTGGCGCTCCTGAGGTAGAGGTCGACGTCTCGTCGCGGAAATGATGGACTTCAGGCCAGTCGCAGGCACATCTACCTGTGGACTGACCAGACGAACTCGCGCGGGGCCGGCATCTTCTATGTCACTGAAATGAATATTTGCTTCGAGGCCATGGCACTTCTCAGTGCTCATCTCATGCACAGCTGCCATGCTTTTTTCCACCGTTAAAGCCGACTTTCCATGACGCACATGTTTACTTGCCCCTAGATTACGCAGTCTGGCCGGAAATCGCTCAATATCAGGACCACGTACGACACCATCGATGTCACTGGATGTGACTTTAGCATACCGCTGCTCGAGCTCTTGCTGCTGCGCTGCAGTCAATAACACATCTTCGAGTGGCGGCAGCGTTGCAATATCTGGTGGTGGTGGTTCCGGCGTGAATGATGCCTTTCGAAACACCGGCTTTGACTTCGTCGCTGCTTTCACAGCCGTGGATATTTTCCGTCGCTTCGGTCCAGCATCTTCCTCACTGTCAGCTTCTGCATCGCTACCAAGCCTGGACGCCTTCGTAAAGCCAGTGCGAACGCCGTCTGGCATGTGAAACTTCTTCGGAGGTCGCTTCGTCTTGCCCTTGCCACGCCCATTCCGCTTCTTCTCGTTGAGATCCACCGGCTGACTGTTTTCCACTGGAATCTCAACAGGCCTTTGGTCCGCGACAGGTTTGATCTCTTTCGGCAGGATGCGCGGACTCTGGTCATCTCGGTACGAATACTTCGTGGCATCAGCAATACTCTTCTGAATGTAGGCATAATTGTCTTGTGCTTTCTCGTAGTCCTTCTCCTCCTTACCCTTCATGAGAAGCAAGCACACTCGTCCAAGGCGCTTGCGACCAGTACGACCGATACGCTGTAACATGCGAATCGGCGAGGAAGAAGCGTCGTAGCAGACAATCAGGTCTACAGTACCAATGTCCAGACCTTCCTCCCCGATAGAGGTAGCGATGAGAGTATTAAACTTGCCAGATTTGAAGTCTTGAATGACCTCGTTCTGCTTCTTCTGGTTCATGCCTTCCTGACCTTTGGAGGCTGCTTGTCCAACGAAGACTTGCGGCCGGATCATAGGCTCGTTACGCTTCAAGACCCGACAAATGTCTTCAGTGCTGTCTCTATAGCTGGCAAAGACCATGACGCGAGTAGCGCTCGGAGGCACGTCACTGCCCTGCCTGCCTTCTCCTGCGTCCAAGAAATGGTTGAGGACGATCTCTCTGAGATACTCCAATTTAGGATGCCCAATGAACTCTGGATTGTTTGTCCACGTTCGAATGGTGCTCATCATCTTGCTGAAGTTCTCGTCATGAGCAATATTAGCAGCTGTCTTCCCTTTACTTTCGCCGCTTTCGACCTGGCGTTGGAAAGCCAGGACGCCGGAATAGAATGGTCCGATTCCGTGATGTTTGAGAAGACTAATGCTGTGCGCAAGACTTGACAGAACCGTGAATGCAGCATTCATCATGCCTTTGATGGGCATTGGCGCTTTCCGGCCAGCATCCGAGCTCATCCATTTCTGACGTGCATTGGTCAAGCCATAAGCAGTCAGAGCCATTGGATCTCTTGAGTAGTATGCATTCTGGCTGCAGAGCTTCTCGACGACAGGCTTCAGTACTTTGGAAAACAGGTCCATGATACGTTGCTGCTCTTCACTGAAGTCGAAGATTTCAGTCTCGGTGTGCTTCTCGTGCGTATACTCGCGGATGTCCAAGGACTGCTCAGTACGTAGCTCCACTCGTGCAATACCAAGGTTGTCGATAACTGCTTGAACGGCCTCAACTGTAGAGCCAGGAGTCGCGGTCAGCGCGAGCACGCGGAAGCTGTTATTGAAGCGTCTCATGAATTGAACGACTTCAGTGTAAGCATATCCACCAGTCGCTTTATGAGCCTCGTCGACGACCAGGAGCACCAGTCTCTTCGGGTCACAGATGCCAGTCCGCAAGTCATTGATCACCGTCTGAGGCGTCATGAAGAAGACGCGCTTCTCTAGCCATTCCTCAGCTCGGCTCGCAGGCGCGGTCTCGCCGGTCATGAGTACAGTGTCTCGTTTCGGAATGCCCACAATACCGTAGCATGCTTCCATTTGCTGAGCTATGAGCGGTTTCGTTGGCGCCATAAACACAATCTGGGCGTGTGTTGTCCATCGATAGTAGTTCAGCATGACCGTGGCAGCAATGAACGTCTTTCCAAGACCAGTCGGAAGTGCCACGAGAGTGTTGTGGAAGAGGCTTCGCGATACTATGTTGTATTGGTAATCTCGTGTACTGCCAAGATTGGTCGGGTACACCCAGGTGATCATTGCCTTTTCGTCCAGCTTGTGGTGGGTTGGGGGCTCATCGCGATTTGCAAGTGGCCAGGCATGTCTCTTCTTGGCCGCTTGCGACGCAGAGAGATCTTGTGTAGCAGGCTGACCAAAGATTGTCATCTGCTTGAGACCGTTCTGCGGAGCTCGCAATCCAGGCGCGCGAACAGCTTGCGACTGTGTGATCTGAGAAGAAATCTCAATGACATGGTCCTTTCTCGGAGACTTTTCTGGCGACGAAGAGGAAAAGGCATCTTCTGGCAGATCTGCCAGGTCCTGCGTCGCGTCGAACATCTGCTGGGTGCCAGTACTAACGTGCGCCTTCGCATATTTTCGTCGAGCGTCCACATCCTCCTCTGCCTGCAGTCGACGGGCGAGGGTTTCATCGTCTTCTTCTCGGACATTCCGTCCAGGGAGGGCTTGAAAATAGCTATTGATGCCCTTGTTCGACTGAGCTGCCACGACTCCTTTGCCGTTGACGACACCGTTCATATCCTTCGGAAAGGTCGGTGGAGGCTGGACAGGTGGGCGTTTCCAGACGGCTCCTCGAAACGCCGCAGGGTTCTCGTCCAAGCCGTGCTGAGTCTGAGTGAAGATCATGTCTGGGAACTTGCCGCCATTTTCAGGAACATGAATCTTGAACCTGGAATTCCTACTATTGTCCTCTACGGGTCCAAGTTCGCCGGGAAAGTAGTTGTAATCCTCGATTTCCCCAGAAGGGATTGGATCGATGCCATGCTGAATCGCTTGAGATGGCGGTGTTGGTGGAGGTGCCGTGCTCTGGAACTGTGTAGAGACTTTGGGCGGGCTATGAGCCTCTTCGTCCGTCTCTGACCATTCGAACTCATCGGAACTATGCTCATCGAGCGGTGCACGAGCTCGACGCGAAAGTCGCCGCTTCTTGGTCGGTCTCGGAGATGCGCGAAATGCACCTTGCTGTGATGCCTCGACGTGCGTGGCAACTGCCAAGAACTCGGTGTCATCGTCGTCCAGTCCAAAGTCGTCGTCGCTGTGAGGCATGGCGACTCAATGCCAGCATAAGCATGTCGTCGATCTCCTACTTCTCGATGGAAAGTGGCGATGAGACTGTACTGAATCCACGCTGGCCGACGCGCTTGGACGCGACTGCACTTCGGCTTGTCTTCGGCAGTCGCGCTCTCAGACACCCGAGACCGAGCTCTTCCTCTCCCTCACGCTACCAAATGCCTGTGCTTGAGCATGGTGTCCATCAACTTCGAACGCGACGCGTCTTCCTACGCCCAGCACATCAACGTGCTCAGTTTCTTGCCTCTCCTGTGAGTCTTCAACCGATGCTCACATCAGCGGCTTTGGCTTCGAGGCCAGACGAACACTCAAACGAGGTGCTTTGGTCGAACGGAGGATACAAGTGCGGAGCAGCTTGGTCTAGAGCCGCCATGATGAGCTACGTCAATTCGCCTTCGGCATGCAGTGCCTCGAGTTACTTCTTGCATTGTCTCTCAGTCTGATACTTGTGTAATTCCGTTCTTTCTGAACCCCCCTCGCAGCCACAGCCAGATCCCTCTCCACAACAGCAACCATGCCTAAAGGACCCACCGGCGATCCGAAACAGCACCACGAGTCCAAGTTCAGCGAGAAGCTGCTTGGCTCTTGCCTATGTGGTAGCATCACCGTCACGATCAACGACAGCGAGCTATTCACCAAGAAGAGAGGACATCTATGCCATTGTGCCAATTGCAGAAAGGTTGCGGGCTCATACGTCGCAAGCAACTTGTTGATCGAGGCCGAGAAGGTTCAGATAGAAGATCGGGACGGCACTTTGAAGGTCTATGAGGATTATGAGACACTCAGCGGCAATGCTGTGTACAGATCCTTTTGTGGAAAGGACGGAAAGTGAGTCGATCACGCGACTGGTGTGAAGTGAACAGGAAGCTAATATGGCTCGGATAGTCCGGTGAAGTCTGAGACAGCCCTATATCCCGGCAAGGTCGTGCTGAAGATGGGCATGTTCCCACGAATCCCGCAGCCTGAGGCGGAAGGGTTTGGTCTGCACAAGCACGCGTGGCAAGGAGAACATGAAGGCATTGATACGTATGAGATCAAGTGGGCAGGCCCCGAGAAGAAGTTGATGTCGAAAAACTCTTGAGTAGAGAGGTATGTAGCCTGAAAAGGAGGGAATCGCTGGTCTAGACTAGTACGCCATTGTCTTCCTTCTCAGTATCCAGAGACTCCAACGGCTTGTTCAAGCCGACTCTCTCCATCGTGGAGATGATTTCATGAGTTCCAGAGCCATTGACGCGGCTCACAGAGTTCTTGCGGTCGGTGTCAACGACAAGTCGAATCAGGTCAGGTCGCATGTAATGACCACCAAAGTCATTCAGCGCCTTGCTGAGATGCGTCTCATCGAGATCAATGTCGACTACCACCAGACCCTCGAAGTCCTCAGTGGGACGCTCGATCAGGCTCTGACCATCTGGGCCATAGATACGAGTATTGCCGTTGTAGATGTGGTTGTCTTCTGGCGTCTTGCCTGCTGGATTTTGCAGCTTGACGCCTTCGGCTGATATCATTTGAAATGGGGCGAGAGTGAAGCTGCCGGTCTCGATGGCGTAGGCTGGAGTGACGATGTCGGAATTGGCGTCGCTGATGTTAGTGTATGGGTCTGGGTGTTTGAGAGTGGTAGCGTGTGGATAGAGAGGCCTGTCAACAATGTCAGTATGTCCGGATGTTGATGTAGGCCATGGTACAAACCAAGCGGCAACGTGGACCTGCTCGCCGAGCGAGACGGCATATGCCTTGAGGAAGGGATTCATGTTCTCCCAGCAGTTCAAGTGGCCGATACGGCCGATCGAGGTATCGACCACCATCGAGGTAGTGTCGCCTGTACCGTCACCAAACACGAGACGTTCGACATGAGTAGCACGAATCTTGCGACGATGATTGATGACATTGCCAGTCGGATCAATCATCACCTGGCTGATGTACAGGCTGTTCAAGTCAAGCTCAGAGTATCCAAGCGAGACGAAGACTGAGTTCTTCTTGGCTGCTTCACGGATGCGTTGCATCTCAGGAGAGCCTGACTCCAAGCTGTTCTCGCGGTACTTTTTCAAAAGTGGAAGGCTCTCCTGGTACGAGACTCTCCACATCCAGTATGGGTAGCCCGGAATCCCTTGCACCGATCAGTCATCGATCATGTCCCCGAGTACAATGACATACAAAGCTCCGGGAAGGCAATGAGCTTGCACCCGGCCTTTCCAGCTTCGTTAATCCAATGAATCGTCTTCTGAACTGAGAGCTCGAGGTTGAGCCAGCCAGGCTCGGCATTGACCGCTGCGGCCTTGTACTTGCGGATTGAGGCAACCATGGTCGTTAGAAAGGGCTTGAGAGTGTCAGAAGGATTGTTGTTCGTGTCGGGTCTATGTGAGCTTAATGAGCTGCTTTCTTCGAAGACCAAGCTGCCTTAATATATGTCTTTCTTACCACCTCGTCTGTGGCATTGGAATTATTCATGGTGAAACCTGCCACCTCAGACATTTTCGTACAATCGACACGATGCCGCATCGGGAAGCTTGTTCATCAATCAAACATCTTCAGGCAAGCAATCTACTTAGGGTACGTTCATGGGCATTCTGCATATGCTCAGACCTGCTCTTGCACCCCTGTTAGGGCAGTCTCCTTCAGCACCGACGCTTCGGGTCTGTGACGCTGAATAAGCCGACCATGCATTCTTGTTCAACAGTCCACATCATCCGCTCATGTCCGCAATACGACAATCAGACCACAGCTCGGATTGCACCGGAGTGTACTGGCAGCATTGCGCAAGAGTGTCGTGTTGGGCTGTCTCTATGGTCCCGGCGCTCAAGGAGTATTGCTTTCTGTACAGAACGGTGGCAAGCTTTCCAGATCTACAAGTCGAGATCCAATTTCTACAGACCTAATGGCTCTGCAGTGTTGATATCTTTACTGACCTTGCAATCTTGAGCCGACACGCTTTGCAGATCTGGTCGGATCAATCGAAGCCAAGCGGGCCAAAAGAGTTGTGTCATCGAGGACACAATCAAATGCTGTGGTAGACTCGCATATCTGACAGGCCCCGATGGGCTCATGGCTTGCGATCATTATATTATATGTTTCATCGTCGGTTTGTCCCTCGAGCCCAACTCTCCCTCCACCACCTTCGGTTCGAGCTATTGTAGCTGCACTCGGTCCTGAGCGATGTTCGTGGTAATTCAGTGGTCTGCTGTCTTCCTGACCGTTCATGCGCTCGCGACATTCCGTCAGGGTATCGTAAGAGTGAGCATCGCATCAAGCGTGGGAAGAAGGGAAGGGAAGGGAAAGGAAAGGAAGCAATCACGCAACAAGGATCTTGACCTTGCCAAGGCGCTTATCGATAAACACTCTAGCCTTGTCTACGCTACCACTCAAAACAGTCACCTTCATTTCAACATCGCCACGGACTTCGCAGCTGCTGATGGACATACACGCCTATTGAACTCGTTCCATCAAAAGAAGCGGGCCTGATATCCCGCCATGACACTTGGCGGGTGCTGGTCACATTGGCACATGCGCCCTCAAAGATGGACCGACATCACGTAGCGTCATCGGACCCTCTGTTTTCTCTTCAAAACAAGGCGAGGCAGGAGCTCCAGCTTGGCAAAGGGCATTGTCCGCCACAACGATTGCAAGCACCTTGCTTCACCTCAAGACATGACGCAAATCGTAACAAACACATCAGAGCGCTTTACGCAAGACTGGACCCGCGTGACGTGCTCTGCTTAACGACATCTCGAAGCGCTGGAGCCGCGTGCGCACGGCCCATTGGCCACGCAGAGCTCTCTGCCGTCCGACCGTCATACGCTCGTGTATCTTCGCAGAGGGATCAGCCAAAACACGCAAGAGCTGCTTGATGCCATGGCCAAGTTCCACCCAGAGTTGGCTGAAGGTGGTCCCATTCATACCAGCCAAGGGTAAGAACAGCCACGTTCCTGCTGCCATGGTAGAATGACGCATCATGATGAAGGTAGGCACGATTCTTTGTCCCTCGATGTAGATATATGTGCTCTTCTTCAATCATTCACAACCCCATTCACAACCCGTAATCATGGGCCTCCTCGACAAGATTGAGAACAAGCTTTCGGGCAACAAGCACAACACTACAGAAGAGCAGCTACAGCACGAGGGTGTTGACTCTTCTCGACAGCATGCGACCTCTACTGGAGAAGGATCCCACCTGCAATCAGGAACGAACACTACTGGTGCAGTTCATGGCACTACAGGCGCGTATGGCGTAAATCCCACCACTTCTACGACTGGCAGCGGCATTGGAGGAACGCACTCTGCAAGCGGCGTAGGCAACACTCATACCGGCAGTGGTATCACTGGAAGCCATACTGGAAGCCATGTTCCGGGCAGCTCCACCGCCAGCGGCATCACAGGCGGCACTCACCCGCTTGTGACTGGCGAGCGCCGAGATGATGGCATCACTGGCGGCCACTCCGGCAGCCATGTACCAGGCACTCATACTGGAACCACCCACACTGGCTCTCATACTGGCCATCACACTGGCCACAGCGCATTGGGTTCCAGCCACCGCGCGGAAGCTGGCGACGTTGGTTCACGAGCCCACGTGCCAGGCGGCACCACAGTGGGACAAGGTACGCATCACAGCACTGCCAGAACACCTGTCGATCCATATACCTCCAAAGGTCAGAGAGCAATGGCTGACGCTGCTGAAGATCGCCGTCACCACAATGCCGTTCAAGATACCGAGTTTGTTCCTGGTAGTCACCCAGCGGCACAAAATCCAAGCGCCATTCCTACTGCGGGCGGAGAAAGAGTTGGAAGCATTGCAGGCGGCAACGGGCCATATGACCAGTCTCGTACACACGACAACAGGACTGCAACGGAGAAGGTCAAGGATAAGGTCATGCCAAGCAGGACCGACAGGCCTGATGATCCACTGACGGGCGAGAATTATGGTCAGACATCTCATCCTTCACACACTGGAAGCCATACCACACATGGTGTTGGAGGTACAACCGGCTCGCACGCCACGACTACAGGCTCGCACAGTCTCACCGGCCACCATGGCCAGACTACATCGGCAGCCACACCTCTTGCCCACGACTCGGGCTTCAACGATCGTCACACCGGAGCTGGGACCGCAGGTCTTGCTAATGTCGGTCACCACAATACACATGATCGTCATGACTACGCTGCCGGACAGCAGGCTACCCATGATCAGTATGGCTCTAGTGGGCACGTCGACAACCGCTCAGGCATGGAAAAGATCAAGGACAAGATCATCCCAAGCAGGAATGACCGCCCTGATGATCCAGTGACAGGCCAGAACTACGGACAAGGCGTGAGCCACACCACTGGCACAGCTGGCAGCCATGTACCAGGTACTACCGGCAGTGGCATGGGTGGCAACCACACCTATGGCAGTGGTGTCAACGACAGCGGTGTTACTGGTGTAACGCATGGCGTTGGAAATGTCGGTCTTGGTGGCAATTCGACAAACACTGGTCAGTACTAACTGCTCATCTCAACAACACCATCGCTGAGGATGAACAGCCACGACATCGCACGCCGGTAAGCTCGGAGGTGCTTATGAAGCATGATATAATGATGCTGTGAGGCATTTGACCAAGCAGCAGCAAGGCCGTCACTAGTTCAGCGCAATGTATCAACATACGATGTGTATATATACCCCACAGCGATGAGGAATGATATCACAATGAATTTCAAGCCAAATACTTCGATCAACTACTCCTTCTGCCTGGTATCCTACGGGTGCTTGCTCTCTTTCCGCCCTCTTCTAATCGTCCCTCTGTGTGCCTACACCCGGCCACTCCTCGCACCAGATCTTATAGCTCCCTCCCTTCCTGCCCTGGAAATCTGCACACATCTCGAAGTTGTGTCGAAGATTGGCCTACCGTCCCATAAAAAATCAGTACTCTTCCAAAACAAGATCAATCAAAAATTCCCACACTCACCTCAGTCAAAATATACACCGGCTCCGTCTTACACCACATATCCCTATACACAACAATCTGACATTTCCCTATAAAATTCAATCAAATCAGCTCCACCATTCCCCCTTTTCCCCTTTTCCCTTTCTCTTTTTTTTTTCTTCTTACTACTTACCAAACTCCATACTCCCACTCTGCCCCCGAAAATGATGTTCTTGCCAATAATACATGAACCCATCGAACTCGTCGCGCGTGGGATGGCATTCTGCGGTGTATTCGGAGCGATCGGCTTTTATCGATGTTCCGTCGCCGTCTTGCTCTTTTTCGCAGTTGCGGCCTTGGAAGGTGAAGAATTTTACGCGGAAGCGTTCTTTTGCGGAGACTTCGAGGACGGTGCTCAGTAAGAGGAGCAGGAGGATGGTGGGGAGGAGGAGGAGGAGGGATTTGAGGGTGGGCATGGTGGGTTGGGTTGTTGGGTTCAGTTGGAAGAATGAGTGGGGGGAGGATTTGAGTGATGGTTGTGGATTTGGGAAGATGAGAATTCTGGGTGAGTGGTGTGGGAGAGGGATTTTTTTACAGCTCTCGTGGAGATTTCTGAGTTTTTTTTTTGGCGCCGTGGGTGGCTCGAAGGGTTGTTTGCCGTGGTTATGTTCGCGGAGTCGGCATTGTACGGTAATATTGGCGCAGAGCGTGGTTCATGAGGTGGAATTGTGTCATTTAAGGAAAAGTATTTCTCGTCTCGCCTTCTTGTGGGTCCTCATCAAGTTGCGCCGAGGGCTCCCGTACCTGTCTTGAGATCATGCTTTATGAAATGGCCAGAATTGGAAAAGGGATTCGGGTGCTTGTTATGTTGCTGAGCGGGTCTCATATCTTGGTAAGTTCATTTCAGATGATGTTAATTGGTCAGCGCGAGCATTGAGAAGTGGAAGAGCCGCATCAACAAGCAGAAACTCAGAAATAGCAGCTAGCAGCGAGATCCAACTCTCGAGATGTTAATATTTGTTAGCCAAGGCTTGAGTGCTGGCCACTTCACCTTTTGTCGACGACCTCTAGTCCAAGCTCCGCAAAGTGATTCAGTCTTGCCTGAGGCCGAATCTTGGAGTACTCCTTCCACCAACGAACCAGCTGCACGATGCGTTCGCCGCACAGACCTTGCTCATCCCAGCCTTTGACCAGTCGCCTGTAGACGATGTGCTTCTTTCGCTTCCTTAAGACCTTCTTTGTCCGAACTTGACACCATTCGCAGAGTCCAGCCTTCAAAACTGGCGCAGCGTTGCTCGCATCTTCAATGCCAAGGGTTGGAAAGTCAATCGCCATGTTGTGAAGATTGAGTCCAAAAACCAAGATACAGCAAGGACACTCGATGCTCAAGTCCAAGAGTTGCGGACACCTCGTGAAGGACCAGTCTTGAAGAATGACACGCTCCAGCACGGTGAAAGCTTCGGGTGGCCGTGATCGTATCCAGCTGGTGGTTCTTCCAATCAAGTCATCGTGAATCGACAGAATATACGTGTTGGATCCATAGTGGTATCTGAGAACCTCCGCGCGTATGAGTCTGGTCACTTGCGCCAAAGCGATCGGTGCATCGCCATTCAAGGCAGGTGCGATAAGATTCAGATAAATGGTGTTGTTCTCTTCCCGGATGAGTGGAGCGTTGAGTTGACGGCCTGGCCAGATTACTTGGTCATGGCCGAGTACCAAATCGTAGATTATATTTCGAAGTTCCGTGGGTAGCTTCAAGAAGCCGAAGGTCTGTTGGTTGTGCTCTTCTCGCTTTCTTCGGGCCGAATGGGCAGCTCTGCACATTATCAGTGTTGCTCGGTATTCATGGTATAGCTACAGGGGACGCTCACTTGAGTCGTCGAAGAGCGGCATGCCCCGTCATGGTTGCGGCGTTGATATGTTTTCGGATGAAAGTTGTGAGAAGTGTAGTCGACAAGTTGTAGTGACGAGGTGGGGTGGGGTGGGAAGCTTCCAAGCCGCCCAGCTTCAGGCCCGTGCGAGGTGTAGGCATGTGAGACAAGGGCGAAGACCGGTATAACCAAGAAAAAGATACAAATGCGAGAACGCTACATACCTAACAATCCGGCCTGAGGCTCAAAGTCAGGCTCTATCGCTTGGTCGACATGCCAGAAAGTGCTCTTCGCACCACGCCGTTGCAGGCTCAAGTCCAACCTCACGCAATCAGCTTTTCCTTTTCTGCCAGACCTCCTTCCTCATCGTTGACCTTCTTGACGTCCTTCCATTCTCTCGCTTGAATTTCGCGTAGTTCTGCTTCTCGTTTCTCATCCGCCTGAATAATGGCCATGACTCGGTCGTGAGGTGTGCTGCCTTCAACATGGCCAGCTACATGGTTGCTCCAGGTCTTCGCCTTCTTGGGCTCCTTCTTCTCGGCTTTCTTCGGTGGCGGAGGAGGTTCTACGCCGCCAAGCATCGGGAATGGATTCTCATTCGAGTAGCCACATATCATGGGCCTGAATCCTTCTTGTGAGAGCGAGTCGAACATCTCCTTCACAGCTTCCCATTTATGGAGCAGGAAGTCGCGTTTGCCTTCGTTGCCAACATGCTGAGCTCATGTCAGCGTCCATAATGTCTGTCAATTGAGGATATAAGACGCACAGTATACCATACGAGCCGGATCTTTCCAGGCTCAAGATCTTGCGGGATCCAGGTATCGGCGCGTCCAAGTCTCGACAATGCGTCGAGCTTGTATCTTTGGTAGAATGGTAGCTTGTCTTCAGGGCCTGCGAACGTTCTGTTGTCGTAGAAAACTTGAATCTGACCCGGATCATATGGGCCCGATTTGGCAGCATCGAACGCGCGCGTTCGCACTACAGCGTCACTGTCTTCCTTCTCGAAATGTAACCTCATTGTGAATTATCAAGCCACACAGGAGTGCGTGGAAATTCGGGAGCGGAAGATAGTCGCGTTGTGATACACTTATTTGCACAGCTCCGAGCAGCTTATGAGAAAGGCCAGCTTGCCGGACAGAGGTGTCAGAGTCTTTGCGCGACTTTGTGATGCTTACGAGCTGTCTCCAGCAGTACTGTCGAGGCAAAGAGGACAGGTCTTGGCATCGCTGAGGGACGACTTCTCTTCCTTCATTTGCCGACACGACCCGGCCCGACCCGATGCACAGTCCACGTGCGATGGCGTCTCTCCCGCGACGCGCTTGAACTCTGCTGGTGTGTCGTCACCATTTCTCTCATTCACCCTCCACCCATTCACAAAGCCTCGCGGGCCTGACGGCATTTCAGGCATTTCAATGAGCTGCGGTGATATGAAACTTCAAGGCATACAGGATCATCCGGGATAGGAATTCGGGACACAATGGCCAAGCTGCAAGCGGCGACCGAACGTGGTTCACACGTCGATAGAACCAAGAAGCGGAAACGAAAGTCTCGGCCAACGGAGGGCGATGGCACAGATGCGCAGTCTACAGAAAATTCGAGTACGACTACAGTACCGACTAAGGCCGCAGACGGCGGCAAGAAGCCTCGAAGAACGATCAAGAATGGGAAGAAGCCCTCGCTCGAACGCAGCGCCTCCTCCGCTCCAGTACACACGTCCTTGCCGTGGCCAGCAGAGTTCACAACTCTCCAGCAGGTTCACAGAGCCTTAAATCTCGTATACACATTTTGCTGCACGCGTAAACATTTCGCCACTACAATCGAGAATCTACGCAGCACTGTGGAAGCCAACATCAAAAGAGAGCTCAAGGTCGAAGATGTGGCCAAGGTCAAGATGCTCCTTCCACATGCGGTCAACTTTCTTTATGTCGATGAGACGCTGCTGCAAGTTGCTCTTATGGGCGAAGAAGATCTGCGCGGCAAGAAGGCAGTCGGAGATATCTTCCAGTCAAATCCGACAGAGGAGCGAAATGTGCGAGAAGGGTTGGGCAAAGAGGAACACGCCGATGTTCTGTACTTCGAGTACGTGGACGGCGATCTCAAACGACATGTGGTTGATCCTGTTACTGGAGAGCCGATGAAGGCGCAGAACAAGATCCGCAATGAAGATCTGAGGATGCCTGTCTTCAGCCAGGCCAACATCATGAAGCTGATCGAGAAGCGGAACACAAAGTTCACCTCTGCAGTGAATGCTTGGCTGAATGAATGCGCGGAGAAAGAGGAAGACCCGGTCAAGAAGATGGAGTCTGAACACAAGCAGCATATCCCGGTCCCGCCAGAGACAAGAGACTCGACTCCAGCTCCGATGGACACTCTGCCGTTAAGCATACCCGAAGAGCGAAAGACCATTTCGGAAATTGTTGAGGAGTTGAAAGGACTGGAATGGTATACCGGACAGATTGTGCCAGACGGGCATCGAGTCTTCGATCCGCAGCAGCCTGTCTATGGCGAGCTGAACTTTGAACTTAGCCAGGATCTCGTCAACGCTCTGTACAACACACGAAGTATACAAGCTTTGTACAGTCACCAAGCAGAGGCCATTAATGCCTTGAACGAAGGCAAGAACGTTATTGTGGCCACCTCCACCAGTTCTGGAAAGTCTCTCATTTACCAACTCCCCGTGCTCAATGCGTTGGAAACAGACCCATCAATTAGGGCTATGTACATTTTCCCAACTAAAGCCCTTGCACAAGACCAGCGACGCAGTTTAAAAGCAATGCTCGCTTACTTGCCCGGCTTGGAAGACTTGGTCTGCGAGACTTTTGATGGCGACACCGCGTTTGCAGACCGCAACTACATTCGAGATGAAGCGCGCATCATCTTCACCAACCCCGACATGCTCCATCTCACCATTCTTCCTCAAGAAGAAAGCTGGCGCACCTTTCTCAAGAACTTGAGATATGTGGTCATGGATGAGCTGCACGTCTATAATGGCCTCTTTGGTGCCCACGTTGGATTCATCATGCGGAGACTACGAAGAATTTGTGCTGCTGTAGGCAACAACAAGGTCAAATTCATCTCATGCTCTGCCACAGTCGCAAACCCAGAGGAGCACATGCGAACCATATTCGGAATTGAGGATGTCAAGTTGATTGACTTTGACGGCTCGCCCTGTGGTCGAAAGGAGTTCTTGTGCTGGAACACTCCCTACAAAGACCCAGCAGATCCTACAAGTGGCAGAGGCGACTCTTTCATGGAGTGTGCAAGACTGTTCTGCCAACTCATCCTGCGAGGCGTGCGGGTGATCGCGTTCTGCGTAATTCGCAAGCACTGCGAGATTCTGTTGGGTGCCGTGAAAAACGAGCTTGCATCATTAAATCGCTCCGAGGTGATGGCCCGCGTCATGGCTTACCGTGGCGGCTACACAGCACAAGATCGACGGAAAATTGAGGCAGAGATGTTTGAAGGCAAGCTTGTTGGCATCATTGGTACCAGTGCTCTAGAGCTTGGCGTCGACATTGGTAGTCTGGATGCAGTCATCTCACACGGCTTCCCGTATACCATTGCAAATCTTCGGCAGCAGTCTGGAAGAGCTGGAAGAAGAAACAAAGACAGCGCTTCGTTTCTAGTTGGCAACAGCTTTCCCACGGATCAGTTCTTCATGGCCAACCCAGACGAGATCTTCACCAGACCCAATTGTGAGCTGCAAGTCGACCTTACAAATATGCTCGTTCGAGAAGGACACATTCAGTGTGCCTCATTCGAGATGCCGATTCGTGCTGACGAAGATGAGAAATACTTCGGCAAGGGCCTCGATGAAATTTGCTCTGAAAGGCTGCGAAAGGACGAGCTGGGCTTTTTCCACACAGCCGACAGATTTCTCCCTCACCCGGCGCGCACTGTTGCAATCCGCGACACTGAAGACAACCATTTCGCTATCATTGACACCACTAATGGTCGGAACACTGTTCTAGAAGAGCTTGAGCAATCTCGAGCCTTCTTCACGATCTATGAAGGTGGGATATTCTTACATCAAGGCAATAAGTACCTTGTCAAGATGATGAGCACTGAGCAAATGATTGCCAAGGTTGAATTTGTCAAGGTGGATTGGATTACTCAACAGCGCGACTTTACAGATATCGATCCCATTGAGACAGAGGCTATACGACGCATTCCTGGTTCGTTGTCAAGAGCATTCTTTGGCACGATCAAGATTCATCAGAATGTGTTCGGCTTTTTCAAGCTCGACAAGAAGAATCGCATTCTGGATGCTGTCCAAGTCGACAACCCTCCTATCATCATCTTCAGCAAAGGCATGTGGCTTGACGTTCCAAAGAACGCTGTCGAGATCCTGAATTCTCGCCGCCTCAATCTCGCAGCCGGCATTCATGCAGCTGAGCATGCAATCCTATCTCTCATGCCAAACTTCGTCATCTCTATGCCAGGAGACGTCAAGACGGAATGCAAAGTAGCAATCAAAGAGTTTGCCAAGAAAGAAACCTCTCGGAAACGACCAGCTAGACTGACCTTCTACGATGACAAAGGCGGGCAACACGGATCTGGCATCGCAGCTAAAGCTTTCGAGTTCATTGATCTGTTATTGGCGCAAGCCTGCGATCGCCTTGAGGACTGCCATTGTATTGATGGTTGTTTGGAGTGCTGTTGCTCGGAAAGATGCAAAGAAGATAATGTCGTCATGTCGAAGGCTGGAGCTGAAGTCATTCTGAAGTCTTTGCTCAATCGAGAAATCGATGTTGAGAATCTGCCGTGGGGTCCAGAGGACGAAAGAGTCCAGGCTGGAATAGAAACTATCGCGCTTGCTACTGAGGTTCTACCAAGAGCAGGACACAGAGTTGAGATCATTGAGGTAGAAAGAGGCGCTGGTGGCACGAGACGGGTCGTAGTCGGGAGTGCTGTTGGCGACGATGAGGATGATCCGATCATGGTTAAAGAAGAGCCAATTGACGCCGATTGATTTGGAGCAGCAAAGTAACCGGATCCTGAAGCACGACCGAGCCGGCGCGAATATTCCTTGAAATCGCTCCTTTTTCGAGATCATGCCGCGGTTAGGACATGGAATTGAGCTCCAAAGCTGTGCACGAAGTACCTCAAAGCTGGAGAACGTGTATTCGAGCGCAGTTGCTTTCGATGGAAGAAATCGCAAACGGCTTCCCAGAATTACCGGTATGCAGCATGCGGGATACTCTTTCCGTCCTTCGACTGAATCTTGAACCCACTATTCAGTCCCCGAGCAAAGTCATTGAGCTCTGACTCCAATCGCGTGGCTACCAGTGCGGACTTGCCATTGGGATCAGGATTCTTCCTGACCGTGAATGCGGCGAAGCCACGAACTGGATACCCTTTGGCATCGGAATGATCTTCAAAGAAGATCACAATGTGACCGAAACATCCGATACTGACCCACCAGAAAGGTCGCGAATTTCTGCAAGTCGCTGTCAAGGCCTGCAATTCATCATGCAGACGAGATACACCTACATTTTGCTCAATGTTCCGTTGATGTATCCTGCTTTCCCGCCAATGTCGAGCGGCTCGTTGATGCGTGGCTTGGGGTCGTGGCATTAGCTTTCGGTTCTCGGCATTATGCAGTTCTCTATACGTATATACCTCTTCGCCAGCTTCGATCGCTCTGGAGAACGCGCAAGAATTGCAGAACACTTCGAATTTATCCGAGATGATTGCTTCGCCTGTTGCTCTCGCATCTCCCAGGTCGCTGCCCGTGCCATTTTCGAAAGCTTGATACCTGTCAAGCCAATCTTGGGCGTCGAGTGAATCCACGCACCATTCGTCCCAACGTCTATCCCTTGCGTGAGCGGAGACGAAAGTTACGAAGAAAAGAAATTGCGCAAAGAGAGACCACTTCATTGCACCTCCACTGCATTGACTCGTCTACGAAGGACGGGTTTGTCTCGTTTTATCTGCTAGAGCAACAGTGATGACCGCCTTTTCCGGATCGCTGTTTGCTTGTATTTTTGTATCCCCTTCTGGTTCAGCATTTTCGTTACCCAATAGCAAGGTTTGGTGGCGCAGGGTATTTTGCGTGCAGAGCACCGCGCACAAGCAGAATTCTGGTCTGTTCACAGCCTTCCCGCAGACTTTACAAGCCTCAAACCCTTGAACCTGGGTCTGAAAAGACACTTTGAACAACGAAGGGATACAACATGGCGAAGAAGGTTCGCGGCATTTGTGATGGCATCGGGGTGTGAAACGTTTGTGGTGCACATATGTGCTTCGTCGAACACAAATCAAATTCTACCATCCGAGTCTGGTGCAATCTGGAATCAAGCGTCGGATGACCTCCCTCGAGATTCTGTATTGGATGAAGATGAACTTCACAGTGGTGCAATGGTCCATAATACTGGCCATTATTATTGATGAAAGGGTGACGTAGGTTACGAGGCTCTGGACTCAACCCTGGCTCATGTTATGTGCCGAAGCAAGGATGCTCCTGGATACCAAGACCTCTGCTCCGTATTTAGTATCATGTTGTGCGTCGATATCTTGGCGCGTACCATCGACAGACTTGGGCTTCGTAAGGCAAATACTAGTTTGCAGGTACCTCCATGCTATTTTGCAGGTACTCAGCCGAATCCGGGTAGGCTTATCCGCCCTAGGAATAGTGCGCTTAACACTATAAACTAGCTAAGAATAGCATAGCGTGCTAGGCGCTCGGCGCGTCGCGTGTTCGACCTCGTACTATAGCTAAATTCTTATATTCTTTACAATCTAGCGGTATAGCAATTCTTAGGTATTATTTATATAGTATTCTACTATCTTCTACTATTAATTATGTCCTTGTCCGCTTCTTAGGCTCTTTATAAGTCTTCTGTCTTAGAGACCGGCGATTCCTTCTAGGATACTAAAGAGCTTTAAGATCTTAGACCTACTAGAGATAGTAGTTTAGGCGAGGATAAGGACGAAGAGATCGATTTAGACGATTTAAACGACGAGGAGCGCCGTAAGTACGAATTAGAAAGGTAAGCGTAGAAAGAAAACGAAGATCGTAAGATAGGCGAGAGTAGTAGTAATCGAGAGGTACGGACTGCTTAGTAATTAGCCTCTTAAGTCGAGAATAAGGAAGTCGAGGTTAAAGATAAAGAAGAAGGTAGTAAAGGTAATAATAATAAGGTCGTAGCGCTACTAGATCTAGTACCGATTAATACCTATTATTCTATAGCGGCGTATAAGCGTAAGGTCTACGCATATATAGCGAAGGCGCGTTATAACCTCTTCGTTAAGTCTACGACTAAATCGCGAGCCGTTAACCTATAGCTCCGTAGTAAGGTAATTAGTCGCTAGATATAGTATACGAGAGCTAGTAAGCTAACGGATCCGAGTACTAAAATAAAGAGGAAGGGCGCGGTCTTAGATCGTTATAGGTATCCGGTACGCCTTACTATTAAGGCCGTAGATCTAACGAAGCCTAAGGGTCGCTAGAAGGTCGAGAGATAGGTTAGCTTATATAACTACGGTCTAGCGGACTCTGCTAGCGATTTCGCTAGTTACTATTAGCGGTAGCGTAATAAGGCGATGCAGAAGGCTATTATCGACGACTTAAATGCTAATGCGAGTATATATACGACGTTATATAGGTTTATAGAAAGCAAAGATTGTAAGTCTAAGTCTATTAGCCGAAACTCGGCCGGCTAGTAACTAGCTAATTCTTCCCTCCTTAACTTAACTCTCCTACTTATAATACACTATCTATAGGCATTTAAATCGTTAAGGACCTTTAGAATGTTAGGCTTTAGGCACGCAAGGCTGCGCAGGGTAATCTAACTGCCCCTAAGGCCTTGTTTAAGCAGCTAACTAAGCTAGGTTTCTACTTTAAAAAGGAGGTAAACCTAAGCAACGGGAAACTTAATAAATTGCTCGTAATTAACCCTCAAATAGCCGAGTTATATAAGCTCTATCCGGACTATCTTATTATCGATAACACCTATAAGACAAACAAGTATAATCGGCTATTGCTTAATGTCGTTTCTAGTACTAGAGCTAGAGATACAATCCCCCTTAGATACTATATAATAGGCAACGAGGACGAAGCCGCGTTTACGTAGTTTACTAAGAACTTCAAGGCTATATCTAGTAAGCACGATCTACTACAAACAGGCCTATAGGTTACTAATCGTAACCGTAGTTATATAAACGCCCTCGATAAGGTATACCCTCGTATACTAGCACTTATCTACGCCTAGCACGTATTTAAGAATATGTAGGCACAGGCTCGGAAGTTAATGCTATAGAAGCAGGTTCTTAATAAGGAAACTAGTAAGAATAAGTAGTAAGACGACCTAGACTGCGCTACCTTCGTAGACAACTTCCGTACCTGCGTCTATTCTAAAACAGTAGAAGAATTCAACTCTAAGGATGCCTTCCTTAGCAACTATAAGAACCCTTACTTTGTCGCGCTTCGAGACTATATTTAGCGTAAATACTAGCCTTATAAGCATAAGCTAGTCTACTGCTTCTAGTAGCGCAAATTCCCCTTCTACGGGCAGTTAGTTTGTTAGGGCTAAAGAGGTTATACGTGATTGGTATGTAACTAGGCCGAGTGAAGCTAGGGTCTTAATGCCTTAGGCAGGGCTTAGCGCTTAGCGTTGGGCCAACTCTCCTACCTTCCTCCCTCTCCTCCTAGCTCCTTATCGAATACTACTTATACCTACTACTACCCTATCTACCTGCTAATATACCCTTCTTATATAGTATTCGATCTACCCTTTAAGGGTAGTAGCTAGATAGTCTCTATTTCAAGCTTTTAGCGGTATAGCTACGAATAAGACTAATCTAACTATATTGCGCCCGAAGAACGGGACCTATACGTACTATTCTATCGAAACAACCGTACTAATTATCAAGCAAGGCCTTCTATACGGCCTATTATACCGAGTCAATCGCACTAAGCCGATATCTACTAATTCCGCTATATCCGCATCTTAGGGGCCTATAATACATTATTAGTGTTACCCCTTACAATAGCCGGCTCATTACGAAGCAACAACAACCGTACTACCGCTAGTAGCGCTAGCAATAACAACGCTAGTAGTACAGTTCCCGCTAAAGTGCCTGCTAAAGTGCCTCCTACTAAAGAGCCTGCCGGAGAGCCTATTAAAGAAGAACCTATAATTCTAGGTAATAATCTAGAATTGCCTGTTAACGACATTCTTAACAACATTGTTAACCGACGATATAGCTAGCTAGCCTTTGGCCCCTAACTAGTAGGGAGACTCTAAGAAGCTACCTAAAACAGGCTTACTGCCCTATATTAAGAACAATAGCTAAAGGATAACCTCCTCGAAATTCGCCGCCTTTAGGAGGCCCTAACAACTAATACTAAGCCGACAGCAGGCCCTTCCTTACTATTAGTCCTAATCTAGAAGAAGGATGCTAAACTTAAGGACTGCACCGTGTTTAACGGCTCTAGTCGAAAGCAATACAACGACCACATCCGTAACTATAAGCTTAACTAACGAAACGCACTAAGGGCTCTACTAAATAACTATTCACTAGTCGTCTATGCTATGCAGTACATTAACGGCGACCTAAAACGCACCTAGGATAACTATTTTGACTCCCTTAATAACTAGACTGCTGTTTAGTAGCAGACCTATAAAACCATTATGCTAGACACCCTTAGAAACCCTATACTAAGGCAACAACACGCTTAGGACTAGTACCTTCGAGCTAAGCAAAAGACTAATTAATCGGCTCGCTTATTTAAGGCCTATTTAAAGACCCTCGAAGACGACCTCCCGACTAAAACTGATTCTATCTAGATCTCCGAAATACGCCCTAAATTGAGATAGGAATTAGTCCTTAAGTTGGACCGCCGCCGTGTGTTTAAACAGGCTAATCTTATACGTATTCAGTTTATAGTTAAAGTCGAAACTACCGAACGAGCTGTCTAGCTCTAGCAACGACTAGAATTAAGGATCCGACCTACTAGCAACCGTAGCAACCGTAGCCGCGGAGGAAACCAAGGTTCCTACTAAGACAACAATGCTAACAATAGGAACAGTAACGATCGTAGAAGAAGCCGTAGCCGGCGGCTATATAGAGGAGGCCGCGATAGGGGCCGTAGAAGGGGCTCGTATCCCTATAGTACTAATCGCTCGGCTAACAATAGCGGTAATAGCTATAGCAATCCCCTAACCGGACTAAAGTGCTTCAATTGTAACAGCACTAGTTATCTACTAGGCTAATACGACAAACCTAAGGACTAGGCCCGAATCGACTGTACTGCCGCCGAACACCGAAAGCACCTTTTAGTAGCTAACGCTACCCCTGTAGGCCAACCTTCTTATTAGTCGAAAAAAGAGTAAGCGCCGCACTAACTGTTAGCCTTGTGCGGCGTAAGACTATCGACATTATGCTAGCTATTATACGTACCTGTCTCGTATCGGACACGTATAGAACTAACTATAAGACCAAGGTTACACTAGATCTAGGAAATTCAGTTAGTGCCCTTATTAGCTATCGCCTAGCTAAGCAATTAGACCTTCGACAACTGCCTAGGACTGACCTGCTAACCCTTGCTTGGTTTAATAACGCTCGGCACTTAACCTATAGGGCCTACTATATCTATATAGCCCTAAAGGACGACCTCGGCAATAAGCGCCTACTAAACTTTACTGCCTACGCGGTAGACATAGACAGCCTCCTATCTAACATTGTTATTAGCAACTCTGTTCTTAAGTACTATGCTATAGTTATAGACTTAGGCAGCTAGCAATAGCGATTTAGAATCGCTCGGAAAGAGGACATTAAATATATCGACATTAGCGAGTGTCCTAATAACATTAGGGTCCTGTTTATTAGTAACCTAACACTAGCCTCCGCCTTAGCTAATCTAACTGCCGACCTGCTCGGTAGTAATAACGATGAACCTGTGCCCCCTAATAGCATAGACCCTAAACAGCTTAAGCGCATACCGGAGCCTATTCGAGAGACCTATATTAATGTGTTTAAACACCACTTAGCATCGACGTTGCCTATATTCAAGGAGACGGATTATAAGATTGACATTATAGAGGGCAAGGAGGTTCCTTTTAGCCCCCTCTATAACCTTAGTAAACGAGAGCTTGCTATGTTACGTAAGTACCTAGAGGAAAACCTAGCTAATAGCCGGATACGGTATAGTAACAGCCCTGCTAGTGCCCCTATCCTGTTCGTACCAAAGAAGGATAGTAGCCTACGCCTCTATATCGATTATCGTAGGCTTAATACTGTTACTATTAAAGATCGCTATCTACTTCCTCTTATTAATAAGACCCTCGATCGCCTTTCTAGTACTTACTACTATACTATATTAGACATTAAGGATGCATACTATCGCATCCGTATCCGTAAGGGTAATAAATAGAAAATAGACTTCCGTACCCGCTATAGCTATTTCGAGTATCTAGTTATGCTATTTAGGCTAGCAAACGCCCCTATAACATTCTAGTCCTATATTAATCGGGCCCTATTAGGCCTATTAGATCACCTCTATATAGTTTACCTAGATAACATACTGGTTTATACGTACTTACCTAACATTGCAGAACACTAGGCTATAGTACGAAAGGTCCTCGACCGCCTACGGGCCTATAGCCTATATTGCAAGCCTTCTAAATGCACCTTTGCTACTAAAGAGGTGTCCTTCCTTAGCTTCCTCGTATCAACCGAGGGTGTTAAGGCTAATCCTAATCGGATTAAGACTATTACTAAGTAGCCGACGCCTACTAGTATTAAAGAGCTTCAATTATTCCTAGGTTTTACTAACTTCTACCGTCGATTTATCGAAGGTTACTCGCGGCACGTAATGCTACTAACTAAGCTTACTAAAACTAAGGCTAACCCGACTAGAGAATTCAAATAGACTAATAGAGCACAAGCCGCTTTTAACGGTCTAAAGCGACGCTTTACTAAAGTCCCCTTATTACACTATTTCGTACTAAACAAGCAGATCCGAATTGAGACTAACGCTTTACAGTTCGCTATATCGGCTATTATATCCTAGCAATCAGATAATAACTATTACTAGTACCCGATTACCTTCTTCTCGAGGAAGATAATTAATATAGAGCGTCGCTACGAGATATATAAGTAAGAGCTCCTAGCTATTATCAAGGCCTTTAAGTACTAGCGCTACTATCTCGATAGTGCTTAGTACACTATTTAGGTCTACATAGACTATAACAACCTCCGTAGCATTACTAAGGTTACTAGGGTTATAGGTCGATAGGCTAGATAGGCCGTCTACCTCGCCGGGTTTGATTTTAATATATTATACCGGCTAGGCGTAAGTAACCCTACCGATAGCCCATCGAGGCGACCTAATTACGATAGCGAAACCTAACATATTAATTCTTTGTTTCCAACCCTGCAGTATAAGATTGCTATAGCCCGTATTATTAATAAGCAAGCGTAGGATAAGCGGCTTACCGAACTCCGCGACGGCTTAAAGCATATTAATACTCTTACTATACTAATAGTGCGTATTAAGGCAAGAGCTAAGGATACAGACAGGAGAAGTTATAATAACTCCCTAGTCGATATCGCTATATATAGTAACAGCGATCAAAGTACTAATGCAGTTAATCCGGCTGCTAGTGCTATTAGATATATACAATGCGTACCTCGTTTAATAGCGAGGGTGCTATTAAATAACCTTATAAATAGGGATAGTCAATCGTTTATAGATAAGCTATTACGGGCTTAGTAGAGGGACGCCTTTGCTACTAAACGTATAGACAAGCTTATAAGTAGGCGAAAGACTCGATCTAGCAAGAGTAACAATTAGTCGATCGATAACAAAGGTTATTTAAAGTTCAAGGGTAGATACTATGTCCCCGCTAAACATTCGATCCGACAAGAACTTCTTAAGCGACACTATAATAGTAAGCTTGCCGGTTACTATAGTATAGAGAGGTCGCACGAGCTACTATCGCGCATATACTACTAGCTAAATAGTAAGCGGGATATAAAGGACTACGTAAACACGTATACCGTATATTAACGAGTTAAGGCACTAAAGCATTAGCCTTTTAGCGAGTTATCCTTATTGCCAATCCCTTACAAGCTATTTGCAGAGCTTATAATAGATTTCATTATAGGTCTTCCCCCTACTAAGCGAAGAGGAAGCAAAGACATCTTTAATACTATCCTAGTCGTTATAGACCGATTTACTAAGGGCGCTCGATATATCCCGGCGCGCAAGGATTAGACTGCTATTAATATAGTAGAGGCGCTATAGACTAACATCTTCTATACCTATTAGGGGACCCCTAAAGGGATAGTCTCTAACCGAGGCTCGACATTCATATCTTATTATTAGAGTGAGATTTGCCTGTAGCTAAGACTTAAGCATCGCCTATCTATAGCATTCTATCTACAAACAGATAGTTAAACCGAAAGGCAGAATGCTACGCTATAGCAGTACCTGCGCAGCTACATCAATAAGAACCCTAATAACTAGGTCAATCTCCTATAGCCTATAGAATTCGTATATAACAACAGTGTACACTCATCTACTAAGGTTTTACTATATATAGCTATAATAGGCTAGAACGCCGCCTTACTACAAGACCTATTTACCTCGCTCGAGGCCGAGCGTAAGGAAAGGGAAGCGCGTTAAGTACTAACACCTAAGACGCTAGCGGCTATTAAGAGGGTTTAAAAGATGCGAGAAATTCACGCTATAATAGCTAACAAACTAGCAAAGGCCTAGGCCTATTAGAAGGCCTACTATAACAAATACTATACGCTAATAACCTTCAAACAAGGCGACATAGTTATACTTAGTACGAAGAACCTCCGTATCCGCAAACACCTATTACCTAATAGCAAAACACGCCCTAAACTAGCACTAAGGTATATTAGTCCATTCCGCATTCGAGAAGTTAAGGGCTCCTCCGTATAGGCCTATTAGTTGTAGCTTCCTCCTTATTACACTATCTATAACACCTTCTATATATCCCTCCTTAAGCTATATTACCTACGCGAGGGGGATAAAGCCCCTACTAAACACGAAGACATACTAGCGGATAGTAAAGAGCTGTAGTCTATAGAACGTATCCTAGATTATCGGACTAGGCGAGGCAAGAAGGAGTACCTCCTAAGATAGTAAGGCTATTTACTAGAATAGGACTTATAGGAAGCTAAAGATTCCTTCGAGGATATAACCGAGTTGTTAGATAAGTATTAGACTAGCGCGAAGAACAAGAAGAAGGCTAAGGGCCTATAATGTCGCCTAGGATTAATGCTACCCCCGGGGTACTATTAGCTAACTAATTAGAGACAAGCAATTGTTAGTAATAAAGGACAATAAGACTACGCTAGGCGCGCTACGACGCGTTAATCAATCAATCGCATGCTCTTTTAAGGACTCTACCTCTTTACTAACGCGTCCTATAGGTCCCCCTTTTATTCCTTTATTCTATCGAGGCCTCGAGGCCTAGGCGATTAGCGAGGGCAGCGTCGTACTTGTAACGGCACGGCCGGCGCGGCTATATTAGTAACGGTGTTGCGGAGTGTGTTATTAGTAGAAGGAGGAGATTAGAAGCGAGGTAAAGTTAGCGCTAAGACGACTAGCGTCGCTATTGTTAACATTACTTGCTATTGTCGCTGCGCCTATAGATATAACCTTACCTATACTACGAGCCTAAGGCACCTTTAATCAAACTTTGATTAAAGCTTTAAGCCTATTAAGGGTTTGATTAAAACTTTGAGGCCGAGTTAAAACTTTAAGCCGCTTAAAAGGTTGAGTAGACTAATAGACTAACTAACTAAGGGCAAAACTATAGAGCTAAGCTAGCCGGGGTCGATCTTACGGACAATAGGTTACTCCTCGATCTATCTAACCCTTTAAGCGAGGCGAACCTCTACTACTGCACTTATAATAGCCTTTACCTATAGAAACTAGACGAGCTGTGTTTTTTGAAAAGATAAGATAAGATTGACACTTAAAGGCTGCTAAACCTAGCTAATTAGGGCTAGCGAAACTACGAACAATAAGAATAATAACCCTCGGAAACGGACAAACCCTCGGAAGCGGACATTACTAGGTCTTTTAAGAGTAGACGCAAAGAACTCGATACGACATTACTTAGAACGGAGGCAGTGCTATAATACCTCGTACGTCTACCTATTATAGTAGGGAAGACGCGATCGTATCGTAATTAGTCGAAGGCCTTCGATTCTTATAGATACATATTACTTCATAGTTTATTATATATAGAGATAGCGTAGTTAGAGTTGTACATTGTGTTGTTAGAGGTAAGGTTTAATATAGTTATATAATTAGGTAGTTAAGTATTCAATTTAGCGCGGGCTAAGTAGCTTATTAGACCTGCTAAGTTAGCAGCAATAGAGGTTGAGACTAGGACAAAGACCGGCCACGAGGGCGCGGCCTTTAGAAGGGAAGCGTATATCAGGGCCAAAGAGGTTACACGTAATTGGCATATAACTAGGCCGAGTGAAGCTAGGGTCTTAATGCCTTAGGCAGGGCTTAGCGCTTAGCGTTAGGCTAACTCTCCTGCCTTCCTCCCTCTCCTCCTAGCTCCTTATCGAATACTACTTGTACCTACTACTACCCTATCTACCTACTAACATACCCTTCTTATATAGTTACTTCTAGGGCGGAAGGAGCGCACTTAACTATAAAGAGGTGGCTTACTAGCAAGAGGCATAACATTCTTACACTGTTTCTTAAGCTAAAGCCCTAGTAGTTAATCCGTTACTTAGAGATTAACGCTCGGATAGGGCGCGAGCGGAAGGGTGTTCCTATAGCACTCCGCCGCCCTAAGTTTGCTAAGGTTAATACGAAGGTTTACCGTAAGGCCTTATAGAAGGGCCTTAACTAACTCAAGTTAGCGCACGAAGAGATAGCTAAACTTGCTAAGGAGCTAGGCAAGTAACGCTCTTAATGCTTAGGCTGCTTCCGTATTGCTTAGGGTATAGTCTGCAAGCATAGAATAATTAATACTATTAAGTCTATAGGCTCCTTCGAATTTAACCCCTATACGGACTTTAATAGGCACTAGATTATCGACAAGGCAGCGGCACCGCTAAGAGCTATTATTAAGCTTAAGAGGCCGGTTTAAGAGCTATCTATATTACTAAACAACCGCCGTAGCAGAGGTAGAGCACCTACTAGGCGGTACGTACGTGCTAACTAACGTAAAGCCTCTAGCTTCGAGTATGTGGATTAGTTAAACCCGGCTTCTTAGAGAGGCCGTAGAAGGCGTACGAGGGTATCTACTTAGCAGTCTCGTACGGCAACACAACAACTACGGCCTTTAGCTCCGCTAGTTTACATACCTGCTAAGCGCTATAGCTATATTAGTAACGATCTAGCTAGTATTTAAAGAGCCGCTATAGCACTTAGTAGACGTCTAATAGCCCTAGTAGTGCCTTATTCTTAGCAACAGTTTGTCTAGTTCTATAGTAGTTAACCTATATAGCTATAGGCTATAGGACTACTAGTAGCGACTTAACCGACTGTATTTAGACTACTATTAAATTAATAGGTATTTACTTAGCAATAGTATATGCTAGGCTCTATAGCTCCGCTACTATTAACCGCTCCGCTCCGCGGAGGTTAGGTTCTATAGTAGTAGCAGCTAGTGCTATACCCTCGTAGCTATTAGTACGTAGGTTATAGCAATCAATTCTAATAGTCTTATATATCTACTTAATCGATAGCCTTCGGAAATGCCTCGTTCTTAACCCTAAGCGTTACTATTACTAGCAATTCGAATTAGTAGGCAGTACGATATTTAGGTATACTAAATCGGGCTTAAGTATACTATAAATCGTCCGTATACGCACTTATCTACATTTAGCTAAGTACCTGCAAAATAGTATAGAGGTACCTACAAACTAGTATTTGCCGCTTCGTAACTGTAAGTACGAATTTAGAGATATAGTATATAGTACTCTATTAAAGGTCGACGGTCGTAGACCTAGGTGTTACTTTAGTATGCTTAAAATGCTACTATAGACTATTTTGGACTATTTCTAAGACTCTAGGCGGATAACCTTAGAGATTAAAAGAGCCTTAAGGGCCTCTTTACCTAACTATCGTAAGGAAGCCGTATTAACTAACGTCGTAGCTAGTCGTCGCTTAAGTACGATATATATAATCTTAGCGTCGAGAGGCGGAAGGGATAGAATTTCCAACTATACGAATGCTAAGTCGGGAACAATAAATTCCGCTTAGTAATATACCTCGATTAAGCGAGATAGCGGACGGCGGTAATCCCTAAAAACGGGATCTAACTAGTCAAAGCTAGCGTACTGCCTAAAGGAATTATCCGTACCTTTAAAAAGTTCACGTCTAACGCTTTTAAGCTAGCTGCCGTTTACGGGGATTACCCCCGTCCGCCATCTCGCTTAATCGGGGTGTACGAAGCAGCCCTTGATTGTCAAACGAAGGCTTGAGGACAAAACTACTATTGCATTCCTCTTCGCTCGTACCAACTTACCCACCAGTTCCATCGCCCTAGAAGCCTTCAAGACACAATGCACCACATCATCTCTACCTCCCTCTTCCTCGTATCCCTAACCTCGACCTCCGTCCTGGCAGCAGACTACCAATTTCACGTCTACGGCCTGACAGCCGCCTGCCCCAGCAACAGGGACTGCAACTACTCTTTCAATGTCCTCGGCAATGAAACCGATGCCTATCCAGCTTTCGATGCATATTGTACAGCTCGAACAATGCCACGAGACTCCACGTATCGACCATGCGATCTCAAGAGCGGTGCTGTGCAGGGAGTGGAAGCATGGTTCAGTCTTGGAACCGACCCACAGACGCCGAGTCAAGTGAGTGTGCGTATGAAGTTGACCGACGGGTAAGTACATGTACATGCAGAAGCAGGAACGAAAAAAAAAGTTCGAAGTTTTGATGATGTGGATGGCATCGAACACAGAACCGGAAAACCGCAAACTTGGTTAGCAACTTCCTCTGCCTCATACCAAGAATTCCACGATTCGAAACACGATTTCGATATCCCGGCTCTCTTGCAACCGAATCCTTGATTAGAACAGAACTATCGGGAGACTGCACTACGCAAGTAGTAGCCGATCACCATCGCTCTTCCAGCGAAGAATTAAAATCTGACACCGGCCCATAATCTATCCTGCCCTAGTTTATCATCACATCTTCCCTCTTTGTTCCCCTGACAAGCACATTTTCGAACGTAGTAGTAATGGATGTATCGTTCTGTATCGCTGCCGACGGCGTCTCGGATATCTGAAGGCACCGAACGGATTCTTGTCTCTCGCATTTTGGTCCAAGGATGGCCACGAGAATCAAAGCATCGGCCAACGGGTCTTGGTTTTGGAAGGGCGTTGGGATCACGTTTCCTTCTCCAGCCGAAAGGCTTGTTGCTTGGTTTCTTTTTCTTGAGGATTGGAGGACTCGTCGACCGAGGCTTCTTTGAGGGTATTCTGGTCTTCGACTTCTTTGTAACTTTGGTGGGAGTCTTGGTAGCTGGCTCAGGGTCGAAGCCGTAGCGAATCGGTGGTGCAGTCTTGCGGCTGGATTTTCGAGGCGCCATTGCGAGGATCTGAATGCGGGTACTGAAATGAATTAGGTCGGTGACAGGTGACGCTCCATCAGAGAGGCATCAGTGATCTTATATGAGTGAAACAACAATGATCGCGAACTCGCCGGATTTGGAAGTTGTGGCACAATAGCTTGGATTGCCGCATTGGTATTGGGATACTGGCTTTCTTTGTTATTGCTCAGGATACGCTAATGCTCAATTATGATGACTTTGAAGATTGTGCCTGGCTATAAGCCTTCTTGACGCCATCAAGCAGCGCTGGCGATACTTTCTGGAACTGTTCAAAGAGCTTCGTCAACACTTCCTGGTTATTGACATTAACCAGAGTTCCGGCGATGTTGCTGTACAAATGGTCTTTGTCCGTCTGACTGAACCCTTCGTAAAACATCTTTGGCTGCTCGTAATCAATATTCTCGTCGATTTTACTCAGCCAGTGCACTGTGTGAGTACCAGGAATTTCATCGTCGATTTCTGTTCCGGGTCGATCGATGATGTTGATCATGTCAATGTACTGTGCTGGGAAGTTCTTGCGGCCGCCTTGGCCACCACTCGTGCCAGCGAGATGACCATCGCGGTCGAAGTTTGCCACGGATGAGAATGGACAATTGACAGGAAGGTCCTCAGCATTCACACCAATGCGGTAGCGGCCGGCGTCATTGTAAGCAAAAAGTCGAGATTGCAAGACAGGATCGTTCGATGGTTCCCAGCCTGGAACCAGGTTTGCTGGCGAGAAGTGAGACTGCTCGATCTCATTGAAGTAGTTCTGTGATTATGTCAATGCACTGACGATAGAGGACTGACTGCGATGTTTTTTTTTTCTTGGCTTACCTCCGGGTTCTGCGTAAGAGTGAGACGCCCAACCTCGTGATATTCCGCATCAGGCCAGTCCTTGGTCAAGTCGAGGATGTCGTAACGATACTCTTCTGCCTCCTTCGGTGTCTTAGTTGCGATGCCGACAGTCCAAGATGGGTAGTCGCCAGACTGGTTGCAGATTGTCAGCTTACTGCGAGCGGTGTTGAAAGATCACGAACTTACTTCAATGGCATCGTAAAGATCCTTCGTGGCCCAAGCATCATTGTCTCCGGCGACCTTTGCAGCCTCTGCAGCTGTGAAATTCTTCACACCTTGATCAGTGGAGACGTAGACTCGGCAATAGACCCACGAGCCATCATCTTTGACAAGTCGGTACGTATGGCCAGACCACCCATCCATATGCCTGAATCCATATGGTGTTCCAAGGTCCGAAAATAGTCTCAGAAACTGCAGCAGAGCCTCTGGAAATTGCGCAGGCCATGACCAGAAAGTGTTCCAATCCCGCACGTTCGTTGCCGGGTCGGTCTTCTGAGTGTGTATGAACCTTGGGAACTTCGCCGGATCCCTGATGAAGAAGCTGCATCATACATGTAGTCAGTGTCGATTCGTATCCGTAGAGACATACATTCGGGCCATGAACTTACACTGGCGTGTTATTGAATACCCAATCTAATATGCCCTGTTTTGTTCGGAATTTTATAGCGAAGCCGCGCGGATCTCTCGCCTCATCCGCAGATCCACGAGCACCACCTACGGTGGAGAACCGCATCGTGATTGACGTTCGTGTGCCTTTCTTAAACACATCTGCAGCTGAAAGCTTCTCGGCGAAGTCCGTGGTTGCCTCGAAAAAGCCATGAGCACCGGCACCTCGTGCGTGTACGATGCGCTCTGGTATCCGTTCCCGATTGAAGGTGGCGAGTGTGTCTACAAGATGTACATCTTGAAGGAGTAGCGGTCCCTAGAGAGCAATGAGCAATCCTCGTTGATGTCTTTCGTGAGCATTATGTTTACCTTCTCGCCAGCTCTCTGTGCTCCCAAAGGTTGGAAGTACTTCTTGCCATTTCGCTCGGTGTACCACAGATCCGAATTATTAAGGGCTGAGTCTTTCTGCTTCAGATCTGTTCCCTGGAAGAGATCGGCATTGTATGCAACCTTTTGCGCTTTCGTGACTTGCTTTAAGTTGCTTCTTTGGATCGGTCCCTGCGCTAAGAGAGGACTCGCAAAGAGCGAGAGCAAAAGAACCTTCATCTCGTCAGTACAAGTTCCACGGATTGAAGGGGTCGACGAGAAGGCGTGGCAAGATCATGTCGAATGGCCTCTGGTCTTTAATAAGTAATAAGCGAACTCTGGTTCGTCTATCTGCCGGCCACGGCATCGCGCGTTGTTCCAGGATCATCTTCGACTTGCCGGGTATGAAGTGATGCCAAGGACCGGGTATGGAGCACATGGCGACTTTGATCAGGCACGCCTCTGCTTTTAGTACAGTTTCTCAATGGGAAAATATGGCACCGAGGTTAATCAGGCCAGTGCGCACGTCTTGCGTGCTCGCTCTGAGAGGCGTTTCTTTTGTGAGTACAACCGATTTGAAAGTTCCGGGAAAGGATGGTAGCAAGTCTTGGTCACTCACGTCCATCTGGCTATGATGGCACAGCGGTCCACGTGTGTGATGACTTCCATGATAAATACAGCGGGTGAATCATGAATGCATCGGAGGGCTATCGCCTCTACGCTTAACGCTCAAGCCGAGACTGCAATTGGTTCAGACCCTTGGTAGCCCGGCCGGAAATGGGGAGAAATTGATAGCCTCCCGATGCGTTCACATCGGAGTGAAAGTGGGTAATGCCCTAAACCCTTGCTCCTTATGGATTATAGCGAATAGCAACCTGTTATTCAGCGGTCCGACCCTAGTTACTTTCACTCCGGTGTGGTAAGACGCTGTATGTACTGACGAAGATCGCTCGGCGTGTTTCTCATTGGACAGAAATGCCTCCAAACAATGCAGGTCTGATGAGGTTGCTGGCCGGCTTGTCAATCCTCGCAGCGAAATTACCAGTTCTGGCTTGAAATGTGGACGGTGTTACGACCGGAGAAGTGATCGGTAGTCGTGCGGATACTACAAGCGGACTACAGTATCAATCCCATCAGCGCGAGCTGGCTTGGCGCTGTTGAGATGTGCGCCTTGTCAACATTTTCCGTCTTCTCGTCTTAAGGCGAGCTTGACGGCGCCTACGTATGCTGGTGATTGTGCTTGAGCCCGTTCTGGACTTTGACTTGCCAGCAAAAAGGTATTCTTTCGTGGCCTGACTCTGAAGAGCACAATCTTGGCGCATTGTAGCCAAGAAACGTGATAATAAGGTTGACGTTGAACCACGAGGTTGTGACGAGGATGGCGTGGAGAACCCTTGTAAGTAAAGACCTTACTTGTCCATGTCAGATGTCAGATCGTTGTCGAGCTTTATCATCGGCAGGGTCTGGCTTGAGTCGTTGCAGTTAAACCGTCAAACAATTACTTCGGCCGTGCTTTTATACTCCCCGCACGTTCGAAAATAGGCGCTTGCACTGCTTTGGGAGGAAGGTAACGTTAGATTGCCCAAACAACCACGCCAATTCATTGACAAATGCCGGGCTCGTCAGTGGACCGGATGGCCTTTCGGAGAAATATGCTTGCACTGGCCGGGCTATGCTGCTTGTCAAGGTTGAGAAGGTGTTCGCCGGCGGCATGATCAGATTGCACCTCGGAGCAGGCATGAGATGGTGAGACCGGAGCATTCACGTTCGATGTCGCGAAAACTGACGGGCAAAAATGGGATGGGTTTCAGAAATTGATCAGAGGGGAAAGCAAACCGCGTCTCCCGAAGACGAAAAGAGTCTCAGCCGCGACGTCACCGAGATTCCCTGATCGAGGCTCGTCAAGCCTCTTCGCGTCTGACAAGTGACCTTGGTATGAGACATGAATACTGGCCTGGACTTGCGTCTAACCTTTCGTGCCCTACTTGTTGCCTCTCTCGAGCACCACGACAGGGGCTACCGCCATATCCGAGTACGAAGCTCTTACAAAGATCATGGAGCAGCACTATGGACAGGTACCAGAAATTCGCTGGCGAAGGAGTCCCGGTGACGAGCACGAAAGCTAGAGATACGATGATTCGACCACGGAAGTACGGAGTAGTCGCCTGTTCAATTGAAATCAGCTGTGTTCCTGATGTGCCCACGCTTGCTATTCAAGATATCGGGAAAAATCTCAAGGTTCATCGCATCATGCAGCGGATAGTAAGCTCCCTCACCCGGTACCTGAAGCAGGTGGTGCCTTCACGCCAAGCTTCAATGTGAGTTTCTTCTTTGGAGGCTGTACTGCCCCGTCTCCATTTACGCTCTCTTTCTTTTCTGATGGGCTCATAGCGCTCAGGCTCGTTACCCTCGACAGGCTAGGAGGATGGGCATGTGGATGCGAGTGGGATCGCTCTGGCGGCGCTGCCGTGAGACTGGGCGGCGAGGCTGACGGCGGTGGAGGACTGATACTCAATGCAGTCGCATCGCCGCTCGTACTCCGGAAGCCGACCTGGCTGGCTGTGTCAGGGGAAGCAGAGAAGCTGGCGAGGGCGGGCGGGCCTGAATCTTCTGCAGGTGCTCCGCCGAAGGATCGGAAGCCACCGAGATTGAGATTTGTCGGCGGGAAGGGAGATGTCAGACTTGGTGGCGGTGAGAAAGCCGGCGGGCCAGCAGGACTCTGAGTCTGAGGCTTGGAATAAGTCGCTGATGTGAACTGGTCTTGGCTTGGTTTCTTGAGAACCAATTTCTTCGCGGGCGGCTGAGTGGATGACGGTCTTCCAGGCACAGGAGGCTGTGACAGAATCTGCGTAGCTTTGCGAGAGCCAGCAATTCCAAGATCCAGCACCACCACTCTACTCTTGCCTGCCTTGCTGCTAGTAGTCGAAGATCGACGAGAAGTCGAAATCTTTGGTGCTGATCCAGGAGTAGCAGCCTTGCTGACCTTGAGTGTTTTTGGTGTGTCCTTCGACGAGCTCAAATCCACCGACGCCTTCCTTTTGATGCCGCCAAGGGATAGCTTGAAGCCGCTCTTCTGCTCCGCAGGCGTTGCCGCATTAGATGAGATGCCTCCTGCGCTCCATGGCACAGCTGGCGGTGGCATCGAAGCTTGTTGCTGCAACTGGAAATGATTCGTTGCAGCTTCGCTCTGCCGTCGGGCCATCTCTGCTTGAGTCTGGGCGATCTGCGCTTTGAGGTAAGCCTCGTTCTCCTGGGCCTTGAGTTTCTCCTTGATCTCGTCGGATAATGGACCGCTGTACTTCAAGCCTAGGCCTTCCATAATTTCATAGTCCTCCCACGCAAGGCCTTTACTGGGCTTTGTCCTGTAGTTGCCGTGTGGAATGAAGCGCATCTTGCCTTTGCCCATGTGCTCACAGCGATAGGGTCTGGGCAGCTTCAATGTCACTGTGTAACTTGTCACAGGATCGAAGAGCAAAGCAGCAATGTCGCAGAACGAGCCAATCTCGTCAATGGCTAAGGAGGGATGCGTGGTAGCATACCAGAGGGCCTGCTTGAAAACCTCGTCGTTGCCCAGGGCGATCTTCAATGCAGCTATAGCGCCCTCGGGCGTCGTCTTGCGCGTTGCCTCGATGCGGCGTGCCTCGTTGGATCCAACATCCTCAATTATCAGGCCTCCATCGTTAACAGGAGCGGGAGCTGCAGCCTTTTCCTCGCCATCGCTCAGCGCAATGTGACCAAGAGCTTCGCCAAAGCAGCGAAGAAGCCTGTCGCGGAAGTATGGACTGCGGTCATGGACGAGATTGTAGAGTAGATGCTTCATCACTGATGATTTTCGGGCCAACCCTATCTCCGTCAAGCAATGAAATGCTTGTATCCGTACATTGTCAGCCGTACTGTCTCTGGTGTATTGCAGTAGCTCCTTGGCCTTATCTTTCACCACTCCAGCCTTAGTGAGCTTCTGCAGGCATTCAATCGCAGTGGTAGAATAGATGTTCTGGTAGGTAACAATCCATTCGTCCAGTCGACGGTATCTTTCGATCACGTTGACAGCCTCCTGTTCGAAAGCGGCGTTCGGGTTTATTGGCTCTTGATCCTCCTCCATGCCCATGTCGTCGTCAAAATTGAATTCGAATGTCTGCTTTGGTTCGATGATGCGATGGGATGCCACCAGTGCATCAGTAAGACAAGTCATAAGGGTTGCAACATAGTGACAATCAGAGTACGCATTATCGGAATTGTCGTTGTAGATCAATTTGTCAACGAAGAATCTCTGGACCTTGTTGGGAACCTTTCCCTCAATGTCCCTCAGCTTCGACATGGCTCGTGGAATAGCGCACTGCATAATGAAAGATACTCGGCTGCTGAAGTCGTTCGGCCGGGGCATCGACTTGATGTCTCCATCGCAGAAGAAGTGGGCGAAGGCCTTCGTCAGGTGTAACGTGCCGATTTCGGTCAACTTGTCCTTTGCCATAAGAGACAGACCTTCGGCAGCCATTACTCGGATGCCGTAAAAGTAACGCTCGTCCATGAGTGTTCGAACCAAAATCGTGAGCGAGACATGGTGCGGATTAGACCCCAAAAGATAGCGCATGCTCTCATACTGTGCAACTAGGTCTCGATCCTGTTGCAGTTGTGAGATGTACATGTACAGAGGCATGACCAAATGCATCTTTCCAATCCACTCAAAGTCGGCATCCATGCGGATCCATTCATAACTTTCTTGGCCCATTTTGTCTTCGTCTTCAGCAGACCAGTCGACTAGGTTCCATTCTTGTTGGTCCTGTTCGTTGTCGAGTATGTCGCCAAGGCAGTAGAGCAAAGCATCAGAGCCCTCCTCGCCGGCCGCACCTTCTGCGACAGCTCGTTCCTTTGCACGTCGCGACCGCTTGAGCCGCTTGTACTTCGTATTGTAAGGAATCTCGAGTTTCGTGATCGGCTCTTTGATTTCCACAATATGCTCGTAGGGTGTGCCGTCGGCTTCGTGAATTCTGATTGTCATTGGTCCAGAAAACACAGTCTGTATCTCAGGAGCCCAGACCTCCTGCACATGCTCCTTGATTTCACGCATGAAATTGTTTGGGGCGAATTCAGGTTTCGTCTGTCGTTCAAGCTGTCGCTGTACGATTGTCATCTCTACAACAAGCTTCTTCTTGTTGAATCGCTGCGATACATGGAAGATAGGACATCCAGAACCCAGGACCCATTGTTTGAAGAAGGATTCGAGCTTGTTATGGCCAAGTTTCTCGCAGGTCCGTTGGAGATCTATGGTCGACAGCTCACAGTTTGTCAATGCACCAGTTTTGGCATTGAGGAAGATCTTATTGATTATTCGCATCACACCTGTAGAGCCACTAGACTTGACAAGTCGGCGATCGAGAATGCCAAGCACCACTGCCGACTTGAGGTCCACAAATTCTCGGATGGAGGGATCGACGTGCAAGAACTTTCCCTGGTCCCATATCGAAGGCCTGTCAACATCGAGATCGTAGACTTTCTCTGCAGCAAGCTTCTGTTCCCACCGGTAATGATTGTTGCCGCAGAGCGTCTTGAGAAATACGTCGGTCAAGTAACCAGCAATACCTGCAGTAGCCCAGGTATCCATAGGCTCTTTGGGAATGATGTTGACTCCACTCCATTGATCAGCTGCAGCCCGCACAAGTATCTTCGTGTTCCTATCCAGCGGCTCAATGATCTCCTGTGGGAAGAGCAAACGCGCGCTGCAAATCGACATGCCGGCCACACTGATGGCGTCGTATGTCAGGTCATCGACAAACAAGACTTGATAGGCAGGGAACGGAAATTTGCCGCCGCCCACAGAGATGAAGTCAACCGCCCCGGTGATGGGAAAGCAGGTGTTCTCGACCTCGCCAGATCTGCCTGGTAGGCAGTAGCCAGACACCTTTACAGCACTCTGGCCTAGCTTTGCCTCTTCTTCTAAATCGCGGAATGCGCTTAGATCAACGTGCTCAAACGGTCCAACTGCAAATCCTACGTGACGCGCCGTAACCGCCTCATTGAGCGAGAAGCTGATAGTGTGGCGTGTTTCGTCTTCAGTATCTGTGGTCTCGTCCACCTGATCGCCAACACAGAGCACAGCCAACTCCAGAGCGGCATCCTCTGGGCTGAGATCGATCAAGTACTCCGGCCTCATTGCGGCAGCGCTCTTCGACTTTGTTTGCGTGTCCGTTCCGTTGATCATTTCCACATCACCGCTAGGTGCACTGGCTGCACTACCATTTGGTAAGGATGTATCAACCTGAACCTTCTTGAACGCATCGCCCAAGGTTTTCGGACAGCGAATTGCAAATTCCCAAGTACATCGACTGTTCCCGTCATCCACGCATGGGAATATGGATGAAGAATTTCCTGGATAAGGTTCGGCTTTTGTGTATAGATATGGATATCGCTTGTCGTCCTCGTCGCAGCCTACCCAATGAATGCCGTCGCGGTGGTCATCGAGCACGAACTCGACTGTGAGTTTGATGGGCGCAAATTGGGGTTGTTGGGGCTGTTGGGGTTGTTGGAAGTTCTGCAGTACTGGTGTCTCCACGCTTGCCATCGCGTCAGCATCCTGCTTCTGCAAACTCGGCGTGGCCGGCGCGGGTGCAGGATCCACTCGCAGCTCTTGAATCTTTAGTTTAGGAGGAAGCGTGATCTGGAGCTGCGGCGCAGGATTCGGTCGTAGTGCGTCTTGAATTCTCTCCTTCAGCATCTGGTGTTGATGTGCCGTAGACTTGCTACTCATCGAGCTCTTCTTGTACGGATCCTCATACTCAAATTTGGCGTTGATGCCGCTAACCTGGATCGAAGTAGGTCTGCATTGGCGGCAGTGCAGCGATATCTGTCGCAGGTCTTTCGCCAGAGGTTGTATTGTGATTTCGGTACTGCCTTTCAGCGTTCGAGTCGGAAAGTCGACATCCAGATCCACGCGCTGTTTAAGGATATCATAGTCGCGACGCGGTGGGGGTGCGCCATCGACGCCCACCTCACCGAAGGCTGGCATGATGCCGCTCCCAGCCAAGAAGGCCGCCGACGAGGTTTGCGGTGGTTGCGCTCATCTGTTGCTGCGGCGAATAGTCGCTGATGAGCTTGTGAACTTGGTAACGGCGGGCGCGCAGGTCAGCGGCGTAATGTCGGCGTTGGCAAGTCTGTCGAGATATGGCGTAGAAGATCGGTATTGATATCGAGAAGTCGGCGACGAGATTTCTTAAGGAGTTTCGGTGCTGTGTGGAATGGCGCAAAGTGAGTGTTCTGGTCGAAGTCACGGTTCAAGGTGGAAGCCGGAGCTCAGGCCAACCGCGCCAGGCACCCTTGCATGTGAGCTCGACTTCACACATTCCTGCGCTGGAACCCGACGCTGAAATCACGTCTTACGCCGACTCACCAGAGACACTGAATTTATTTGGAAAGTGGCAATTTACTATGGTGAAAGAATCCAGGCATGATTCAGGTGGCGCACTGCCTTTCCCCAACTTCACGTCGCTTCCTCCGTGCAAAAGCGCGCTTCATTTGTTAAGAAGAGCACTTCATTCGCCTCCACATCCTTTAAACCCTGGATAGGAGATTCGTCCAATAGGGAATCGTGTTGGAAGGTGGGCAAAAGATCATAAGCTTGCGATCAGGGACCATACGTGGAAATACCTGCACGGGCCGATGGACTAAACAAGAACGATAAACCACTCGTACTATTATTATGCGCCCACTACTGGAGGCTGTCCAACCCAACAATAGTCTTCTTGGGGCTCGAAAGAATCTAGGGAACACAAGCAAAAGACGACGATCCAAGATCCGCTCGCTGAGATGCAGCCGCGGAGCCCAAGGCGCATATCAACGCCCTGCATCAGCTATAGATTGCCGGCCGGTCGTGATCTGACCTCGACTCAGCATGAGGAAAAAGACATTTAGGATGACCGTATCCAGCGAGCACGATACGAAACTCACGTACACTTGGCTACCTCTTGCACTGCTCACACAATGCATATCTGCTACGACGGCACCAGATTGAATAATTTTGCTCGCTGTGCCTCGTTGTGCCATGTGAGGTTCTCGTACTGACAATTGTGAGCAGGGAAATGCATGTATGGCAGCAATGCTGAAGCACATTCACAATTGCTTAGGCATTTTCCACTACGGGATGACTTTCCCTTCCTTCAAGGCCTGCGCAGAACACGATAAAGGGAATGCAAGTTAAACAGCGTCACCGGCATCAGAAGCTTGTGTGTCTTTTGACCAGCTTCTATTGTGCTGGAGAATGACTTGCCTGGATGCCAACTACCAAAAGGTTACATTAGGAGTCAGACGTGCACGCGGGGTCCGACGAGCTACCGCCTGTACCCAGTAAGCTGGAAATCGCGTCTCAGAGATCAGTGTAAGAACTCTTCCTCCCAAGCTATTCGATGCATTAATACGACAATTATGGTGCTGTCACCAACGGATCTTGTGACGGGACTGATCGGTGACACCACTGGGTGAACTTCTTGCCCTTTGAAAATGCATAATGTAATACGGGAAATATCAAAATTCATTACTGGTTTCGCAGATCGATGCTCAGGCAGAAGGCCCCGACAGTGACCAAATTGGCTCTTGCTGTTCTCGCCAGTCCTCGCGCATGTGGAAGTAATCGATTAAACTGCCGTGATCCCTCCGTACGACCTGGCAGCAACTTCTATCCTGCTTTGCGTCGCTGCAATTCCTACTATGGGTTGAGGGACGAGTCATTGCACGAGAAGCTCTGCATATCGCATCTTCTATATGCGCTACGACCCGAGCAAACTGTCGTGGTGATGTACAATTATGAGATATTTCCTTGAGTTAGGAACGAAGTCTCGAGATGGCCAAAGCACTTCTGTCACCTCGCGGTTCGTCAAGACCTACCACAAGCTATGACCCTTCCGCCTCCAAGGCTAGGCCTGAGGGTGGCGCAGGGTGCCAGATCAGGAATTGGCGACATGTGTATATAAGACCATTCGGCTCTATTACAAGCAAGATAGTCGATGGAGTGCGGGGCGTCTGGCTTGAGACAAGTCAATACGATGGAAACCTCGATACGTTGATGAATGCACAACAGTCCAAGGAAATCTAGAACTGAATCGCGCATCGCGGGATCTGAAGCAAAGTTCGCGTCCGTGCTCCGATCAGCTGCGTCACTGCAGGAACATTCGCGTCAACCGCGTTACTTGCTGCATCCACTTTCACATTTCCGATTGCTCTCTAGCTGAGCAGCATGGAACCACAACACCTCCACAGCAATCCCCCATAACTCCCAGTATGCCGCCTTTCGTGCCCAGAAAGCGCGAGCACTCGCCCATTGCCTCGCCACCAACGAAACGAAAAGCGCAGGCGAAGCCAGCATCTAAGAAGGGCAAGCAGACATTGTTCGAAGCTGCTGACGAGCCGCGTAAAAAGGCCAAGTCTGCAGAGGAGACCAAGAAAGCGCTCAATGCCACATTTGGCGACGATGACGACGACGAACCGCTTAGCGATGTCGACAGCGACGAGTTCGAAGATGTACCGCCAAGCAAAAGGCAGAAGATGGAGTCGGACAACGGCGATGATGGCGACGAGATGGACTGGGAAGATGCCATAGACCATAGTGCATCAACCATAGTTCAGCCGGGACCATCCACTTCCAAGCATGATGCGGAGATTGGCGACATTGATGTGTCTCTAAACGAAGACAATGTGTACATCGAGCCTGAGATATCACTCGCAACTGGGAAGAAAGGCCCAACCAAGCGAGAGCGTCAGGTCAGAGTGATCACGCATTGCTTGCATGTGCAGAGCTTGATGTGGCATAACACTGTTAGGAATTCATGGCTGAACGACAAAGAAGTGCAGAAGTCGCTTGTTGATGGCTTGACAGATGGCGTGAAGAAAGAAATCACACGATGGAGAGAGGCAATGGGCACGCTCAGCAGAGAAGAGTTGCAAGCGAAGAAGGAAGCCGCTGCAAAGGCAAAAGGCAGGAAAGGCGGCAAGGGCAAAGGCAAGAGCAGTGGCCGAGATTGGAATTACGATGCCAAACATCTTGAACAAGGCGTTCCGAATCTGAGTCAAGGTGATCCCTTGCTCCGGTTATTGAAGGTACTCACGGCCTACTGGCGGAAGCGTTTTGTCGTTACCGCACCAGCAATCAGAAAACTTGGGTTCATGCCGCTGAGGAGACTGCGAGACGAGATTAAGCACTGGGACAAGAATCGCAACGATGCTGAAGAGCATGGTGAGCGCATTGAAGATCTTGCTGCCTTTCGTGGGCTTGCAAAGAAGTGTGAGGGGTCGCGCGATGTAGGTGGTCAGCTCTTCGTTGCACTTCTGCGTGGCATCGGGCTTGAAACCAGAATGGTGGCAAATTTGCAACCCTCGGGCATTGGCTGGAGCAAAGGCGAAGAAGCCAACGAAAAGCGGTCGAAGAAGGATGCGAAGCCCCAAAAAGAAGAGCTCGACAGTGATGACGAGACCATGGAATCAGCTTCGAAGATTAATGATGCTTCTGCGTCGAAGTCATCTGCAAAAAAGAGCCAGTTCAATGGGTCTACAGCTTCGAAGCATGGAAAGAGCTCGCTGCCGAACAAAAAGCCAACACGAAAATCATCTGGAGGTAACAAAGGCGATGCGATCAATCTCGAAGATCCAGATAGCCCCTTGACCGAGCCACCGTCTGATGACGATAATCACGACCCCAGTGTTGTGGCTGAGGATGACGATGATGATGTATCAGTGGTCGATGTAACGCCTACAACACCAAGGAGGAAGCCGTCGAAGAAGTATGATCGCGACCTTGCATTTCCTACATACTGGACCGAGGTTTGCTCACCAGTCTCACACAAGTGGATACCAGTCGATCCTATTGTTCTCTCTACCATCGCCTCGAACGACGAACTTCTTCAGTCCTTCGAACCTCGCGGTAGGAAAGCAGAAAATGCAAAGCAAGTCATCTGCTACGTCCTTGGCTTTGCTGCAGACGGCACTGCCAAGGATGTCACTATTCGATACCTCAAAAAGCATCAATTGCCAGGCAAGACGAAGGGTATGCGAATGCCTGCCGAGAAGGTACCGATCTACAACAAGCGAGGGAAAGTGAAACGCTACGAGGATTACGACTGGTTCAAGACAGTCGTGTCCATGTACGATCGCCCTCAAATCAAGCGCACTGCCGCCGACGACCTGGAAGAGCAGACCGATCTAAAGCCCTTCAAGCCTGCCAAAGAAGAAAAGGAAGTGGAGAAGGAGAGCTTGCAATGGTACAAGCAGAGTGCCGACTATGTCCTCGAACAACATCTTCGCCGCGAGGAGGCCATTCTTCCGCACGCGAAACCGGTCAAAATGTTCAATGCTGGTAAGGGTGATAAAGCCAAAGAGCATCCAGTATTCCGTCGCAGCGACGTGGTCGCCTGCAAGACCGTGGAAAGCTGGCATAAGGAGGGTCGAGCTGTCAAGACTGGAGAGCAACCCATGAAGCACGTACCTGTTCGAGCAGTGACCTTGGTCAGAAAGCGAGAGATGGAGGAGCACTTCAAGGAGAATGGCGAAAAGCTACAGCAGGGCTTGTACAGCTGGGACCAGACCGATTGGATCATTCCTCCTCCGATCGAGAATGGCGTGATACCCAAGAATGCTTTCGGCAATATGGATGTCTATGTTGACACTATGGTGCCGCAAGGCGCTGTCCATCTACCACTCAAAGGCTCGGCCAAGATCTGTAGGAAGCTTGAAATCGACTATGCTGAAGCTTGTACTGGATTCGAGTTTGGCAAGCAGCGCGCTGTGCCGATTCTTACCGGCGTCGTGGTCGCTGAAGAGCATGAGATTTTGGTTCGTGATGCTTGGCGAGAAGCCCAAGCTGAGATCAAGAGAAAGGAAGACACCAAGAGGACTGCCACTGCACTTCATTGGTGGCGGAAAATGGTCATGGGCATGCGAATCATTGAGAGAATGCGAGCCGAGTATGAGCGAGCAGACGATGGTACTGGTGAAATTAATCCATTCATCTCTAAGGCGCAGAGGGAAGGCAAGCGCACAACCGAGATGGACATTGATGAAGATGCTGGAGCTGGAGGCTTCTTTCAGCCTGGTCACGAAGAGGAAGAGGTTGTTCAGCGCAAAGTCAAGCCTGCTGTCGACGATGCAGACCTTGGTGGCGGTTTCTTTGCGGACAGTGAAGACGAGGCGGTTCATGATGAGGGAGGCGATGGTGGCTTTTTGGTTGAAGACGAAGCGGAATCCCACGTTGCAAAGGCACTGGTCACCCACCCTGCGTATATCACGCCAACGTCCTTACAGTCCGCTGCCAAGGTCCATATTGAAAGTGGGCCTGAACACGACAATTCTCCGCCTTTTAAACGCACATCTGCCAAGAAATCGGCTGCTCAGGCAAGGAACTCTACTCCCAATGCGAATGGTCGCACGAAGCCTAAACGCAAGGTGGCAATGCCAAAGGCATCGACTGATGAAGAGGACAATTTTCCAGCCTCAGAAAAGAGTGAAGGGGTATCTGCTGCAGATGACGATGAAGATGAGCACAGTGAGGATGAGATCATAGCAACACAAGCAGATCGGCGCCGCAGCTCACCTCAAGTGCTCATATCGCCTCCTAAACGTACACCACCTGCTCGTCGCACATCAGGCCGGACAGCGAAGAAAGCTACACCAGTCCAAAGCCAGTACTTCAACGCGGTCGACAAGGACGATGACGATGACGATGACGATGACGATGACGATGACGATGACGATCTTGATGAGGACATGAGCGAGGAGGAAATAATTAAGCCCACCAGGACCACAGCACGAACCAGGGCGAAGAGGTAAATAACAGACTTCTCTGCTCCCTGAGATTGGACATATTTGAAGAACTCGCTTCATGTATGGCTTATCTGAAGTGCTCTGGTCACACAATAAATCTTCTTCGCCAGACCAAACCAAAGGTCGGCTCACAAATACTTCTTGCACCTCAAACAGATCACTCCTTTCGAGATCACAATCTCGCCTTCCCATTCTTCCCCTCCTCCTCACTCTGCCTCTGACAATCCTGCACAGCCTTCCATGCCATCTCCCCAAATGGCCCCGCCTGCGCCCCGAACTCCTTGGCATTAGCACTACTCGCCTGCCTCACAGCATACCTCGCCGCAATTCCCTGACAAATGACCGCCCCGCGATACAATCCAAACGCATCACCCCAAGTCACCTCTTGTTTCGAAAACTCCCAATCCACAACCGAATGATACCACTCCAAAGCTTGTTCCCGTGTAGGAAGACCTGGCGTCACACCCACTTGAAAAGCATCACTGGCTCGTAAAGTTTTGAGACCAGTGTGTACCCACGGAGACGTGAGATTCACCACATCAGACAAAGGATGTCCAATCGTCGCCATTTCCCAATCCAAAACTCCAATCACGTAGGGCTCCGTCGGGTGGAAGACCATATTATCGATTTTATAATCTCCGTGCACAAACGTGCCCCGATCCGTCGGTTGCGTGGTTTTGTTTCCAAAAAATTCCACCATTTCGTCATAATGCGGGATTGCTCCTACAGGTTCACCGGTTTCTATGTCTTTCGTTTCGGCCTGGGTGATGGAGAGGGTCGCGAAGGTTTTTAGTTGGCGGCTGTAGAAATTGTTGGGGCGGCCGAAGTCGGACATGTTGACGGAGGAGGGTTTGACGGTGTGGAATTTTGCGAGCGTTGTCACGGCGGATTTCCACATTTCGGTGCGGTCGGATGCTGAGACGTCGGGGATTGAGGGGTCGCTGAAGATGCGGCCGTTTAGGAAGGACATTATGTAGAAGGGTGTACCGATGATGGTGGAGTCTTCGCAGAGACAGATTGCGTCGGGGACGGGGACGGGGGTGGATTGGAGGGCTTTTATTATTCGGTACTCGCGGTCGACTTGGTGGGCGGTTTTGGAGAGGAGTTTGCCCGGGGGCTTCTTGCGCATGACATATTTGTTTTTGTGGGAGTCGGTGAGGAGGTATGTTGGGTTGGATTGGCCGTAGCCGAACTTGTAATAAGTGTTAGAGTGTCTTGCGAGTGCTCGGTGGATGCCAATGATGAAGCTTACCTGCTTCACGTCTAAAGGAGTCTTGATCTCTGGTACGTTGCTGTCGATATACTTGGCGAGACTGTCCAAGTCAATGGGCTGTCTAATAGGGCCGGCCATGCTTGCGTATGGCAGGAGTGGAAGAAACTACATGTTGATGTGTAGAGTAAATGGAGAGTGAGGTCGAACAGCCTCGGTCCTGTCTCTCTCCACATTCACTTGGCGAGCCGTGGCTTTCCCGAGCTCCACGCCGCGCCGCAGAAAGTGTCGGTGCTTTCGAGTCGAGCAATCAACGGTCGGCAGAAAGCATATGACAGCGTGTATATGTTCACAATCTATCTGGATGTATAGCAGCGACGGCTGCAACTCGGCAATGCGACCCAAGCGTAGCCATGCATGATGCACTCACTCACAGTGCCACGCTGCAGCCTCAGGCATGACAGATTCTCGCCTGGCATTCCACCCTAGCCGCCTCTGGCGCCTTGCGGCCTCCTGCATGATGACAAGGTTGCTGTCGTCGCGGTTGTGGTGTCCAGACAGACTACCGACTACGTGTTGACAAAATATCAGCAACGCGCCGCGCCGCTAATAATAACATCTTCCCATCCGCCGCGCGTGTTATGGTACCTGCAGTACGGTAGACTGCCCATTGCTGCATGGATTAGGAGAAGGCGTTGGCCGTCGCATGAAAGCTATTTAGATTATTATTATTTGCGGGCAAACGTGACCGCCCCAGATCGATCCTGTGGACACTGCTCAGTGGAAGGCACTCCTGATTCGACGGCAGCCACATCACATCACCCACACGCAATCTATTCACCAGACCACCTTAACAGGTAGTCGGGCCTCACCCGCCCTCACGTCGCACACATGGCTCTGCAGACTCCTCGCCAGCGGAGTGGCCTGCAGAGGCCATCCTTTGGGAACACCAATACCGCCTCCTCTCCCTCTCTGCGAGTCTCCACCACCGACGTCGCCCGAAAGGCCTCTTACCGCGCATTGACTGGCGTGCCCTCGGCCGCGAACACCACTCCTGTCAAAATGGACGGGAGCGACCTTTCCGTCGGCGACACCGTCAACGTGCCTGGCGAAATGTATGGCACCGTGAAGTTCTTGGGCAGTGTAAGAGGGAAGAACGGGACGTTTGTGGGTGTGGAGCTGGACAGGGGATTTGCCGCGAGAGGGAAGAATGACGGCGATGTAGACGGGTAAGGAGATGTCGTGCGAAACACTTGGCCACTCCACAAGGCTGATACAATGTCTAGCGTCCATTATTTCAACACATCCATACCAGGCGCCGGCATCTTCTTGCCCGTTCACCGTGCTGAGAAGCGCAACTCGCCAGCGGTATCCCTCGACTCATTCCCTGCGACCCCTAACACGCCATCTCACAGCACAAACCTGAATGGACATACCCCTGGTGGACAGCTCAAGTTCTCACAGTCCGTGGGACCTGGTGCAGGACGGCCCTCAAGTCCTTCATTCAAGCCTAGAAGGCCGTCTCTCCCACGACCCGAGTCGCCGCTTAGGAGGCAGACACCACAACTACAGCCCACACCAGCGCGCAACCCACTTGGAGCGAGCCAGAGAGGCGCAAGGCCGAGTGCGACTCCGAGCAAATCAAATCTCAAAGCATCCAGCAACTCGAGGCCATCTACTGCTAACAGCCAGCCTCCACGGCCATACTCACGGACTGGATCTCGATTGGGCCATAGAGCGGAAGCCGATATACCAGAAGAGAGGACGCCCGTGGGCACAGCTAAGACTTCTGGCATTCGCAATGGCAGTCATGGCTCTACCAAGTCGTTTTCACAACCCCTGCGATCGACTTCGCGCCTGGGAAGTCATGCCGGACCAGAGGAAGAAGTGCTACGTCTCAAGGCAGAGCTTGTTGAGCGGGATAAGCGATTAGCGGAACAAGCAGCAAATCTGGCAGATATGGAAGCTAGCGTCAAAGAGCTGTCTGGACTGCTCCCTACGGATGGAGAGCTCGCTCGGAGGTCCTCCTTTAACGATGAAGGCGCCGATGCGGGCGTTGCTCAGTTACGGCAGATGCTGCGTGAAAAGAACGAGAAGATCACCATTCTGACCTCGGAGTTTGACGCACATCGAGCCGACTTCCGAAGCACTCTCGACTCCTTGGAAATGGCAAGCTCCGAAACCGAACGTGTCTACGAGGAACAAAAGCGGGATCTGATTGCGCAAGTCGAAGAGCTCAGTGCGAGGTGTCAGGAATTGGAAGAGCTGAACCAAAGCAAGAAAGAGTTTGACGATGTCGCAAACCAGCTTAAGCAGCTCGAGGATTTCGTGCAAGAGCTTGAGGAAGGCCTGGAGGATGCGAGACGTGGCGAAGCAGAAGCCAGAGGCGAGGTCGAATTCCTGCGCGGAGAGGTGGAAAGAGGACGATCAGAGCTGAAGCGCGAAAGGGAGAAAGCTGCCGCTGCTGCCACTGGTGGCACTGGGCCGAAAGAGCTCGAACAAAAGGACGATGAGATCAGAGGGCTGAAGGCTATCATCCACTCGTTCTCCACGAATCCAGAAGCATCGCCGGGCGGAGCTGCTAAGGATTTGGTCGAACTGAAAAATGTCAAGTCCGCGTTGGAGGAAGCGCAGAAGGAGAAGGAGGTTCTGGAGCTTGAACTGGAACAGCTGCGCCGCGATACTGCCGTAACGAACGGGCACCATCATACTCGCAATGAGAGTGAGATGACGGCGACGCAGCTCAACACAAGCACACGCCCAAGAGGGGACACGATCAAAGCCACTTTCGCGGAGTACGCGCGTCGAGCCGGCGGGATATCGAACGGAGATGGGGCTGATAATAGCAAGCCCACAAAAGCGGCCGGTAGCAGCCTATACTGCGAGATGTGTGAGAGTGCCGACCATGACACGCTCGATTGCAGCCACTTCCAGAACAGCACTTCCACGGAAGAGTGTGGAGAGGAGAGCAAGAGTGCAGCGTCTGGGCATCAACGGCACCCATCAGCTATGCCTGCACCTCTCAGTCCTGACAAGGTGATCAAATTGCCGGCCAAGGAGAATGACGAGGCGATGGGCAAAGCAAGCATACCCAAGCATGGAGCGGCTCGAGCACAGGGCGAGGAGAAATGGTGCGCGTTGTGCGAAAAGGACGGGCATCTTGCGTATGAGTGTCCGGATGAACAGTACTAGATGTGCTGCATTTTACGCAAACCACTGATTGGCGGAAGAAGAACAAGCATCAGATGGGGAAGGTGGTTTCGATCCGCATGATTCTGGAGCTGGCGAAGTTCCGCCTTAATGGGTACATGTTCGCAGGGAGGTTTGGAGCGCGCAAGTGGGCAGGGCAGGCCGCGAGAGCGCATACGGCGTATTAAGCTTTTTGGAGTGGAGTTGGAGAGAGCAGTAGACCATGCAAGTGGTTCGATGTTTCGAAGAGCGGCGGTGGGTAGTAGATATCGATGTGGTAGTGTAATGTAGTTGCGAGCACGAGCACGAGCACGTTTCACAGAGGCCTACGCCTACTCGATGCGCAGACCTTGTCACTTCACCTCCATTACAACGGCGCTATGGCAGGACATACATATTGACGGGGGAGGTGTTCTAGAAGAAATCTACTTCTTCGGTCGCTCATCACGGGACCACCACGGCATAGCAAGGTGTCGACGAGTGAGTGCACGACTTCGAGCGCTTGCCATGGCCCATGGAAGCTGTTCACCGCTCTGTTGGCAGTTGCGTGCTTCGGTAGCGGCTCCCGGGACAGGGACGGGTCGGTGGCAGCTGCTGGGCTGGGACGGTCGAGGACGATTCTCTGGGGCAAGTTATACAGTTCTGCTTCCGCGTAGCTTAGTCACGACTGGCGGGACCTCGTCAAATCATATACATCCCAGGATCCAGCTGCCTGTTCCTGATTATGGCGCTGGCGCTAGAACTAAAGCCCTGGCCAGCCGAGAACAGCCGAGCGCAAAGGGTTCCATTACGGCATTACCTGCGCACGGCGCCTACGCCCCATCGCACGACTGGAAAGAGCGACTCGTCGCGCGCGCTGTTCACCGCAACATGCAACGTCGCATTCAATAATTGGCCGCCCGGGCGCACGCTGAAACGTCCGCTCTCGCTCTGGCTTGGCGGCTTCGTTCGAATATTCTATCACTTCCACCCTTCCGATTCACTTGTCCGGCGCTGCATCCCACTCCCTCCTCCCTCTGCTCCCGCTTTTCTCGCTGCAAAACGTGGGGAACCTGAGCCGACACGCGCGCCGCCATCAAGGTGATTGGCCCAGACAAAGCCGTCAACCCCCCAACTGTCCGCCTCAACAGTGCGCCCACCCGCTCTGCCACCGCCTTCGTACTGTTGCTTTGTAACTGCTGCCAACCAGGCCAGCCAGACCCGATCCAGACCCCCACGAAACAGATCGTGCGCGCCCAAAGCAGTCAATGCGATCCGTCGACATCGACAGACTCCACCCCAACGCCGGGCGGAGCGGTGCGCACATGTCTCCCGCCGCCACGAGGGACGTGGATGTGGCATGCCCTGCCATCCTGCCGGAATCCGACACCACCGCCTTCACCGTAATCGACCGTCTGACCGTTCAAGGCGTCGCCAACAGGCGCGCTGCGTCGGGGAAGCTCGTTGCCGGCGTTGCTGCACCCGCCGATCTGGAGCTCTTCAAGGTATGCATCCGATAAGCATGGGGAGAGGTGCTGTTCTGAATGCTGCTTGTTGCAGAAGCTGGCATGGGACGACGAGCTAACGAGGTCACTGAAGGGGAGGACGTGTCACAAGCACAAGCCTGTGGCCAAGCGCTGGGATCGTGAGTAGCCTCCTGAATCCCCGTGAAAGCTGTCCCGCTCAGCTCTTGGCAATAATCCCATTGCTAACGAACAAAGACCGCCTGAGCCATGAGACCCTCAGCCGAGGCGGCAGTTCGCTGAAGAATGCTGCTCGCTATCTCAAGACTCCAGGACTCATCTCCTTAGGAGGAGGTCTGCCTTCACCTGAATATTTTCCCTTCCACGAGATCGATGTGAAAGCGCCACGACCTGCCAGGCTGGGTCTGCACGAAGATGGCATCGTCGAGAGTGATGTCCTTTCCATGGGCATGCACGACATGGCCAAGGGAACTTCTGCCTTTGATCTAGCCACTGCTTTGAACTACGGTCAAGGACATGGCAGTGCACAATTGCTCAGATGGATTGTCGAGCATACCGAAGTCGTACATGACCCACCATATGCCGACTGGAGTTGTACGATGACTGTGGGCTCGACTGCCGCCTGGGACATGACTTTGAGAATGTTGTGCAGGCCTGGCGACTACATTTTAACCGAAGAGTACTCTTTCCCAGCCGCCATTGAGACCGCTGCACCCATGGGCGTCAGGTGCGCCGCTGTCAAGATGGACTCGCAGGGAATGATCCCATCCTCGCTTGATGATGTCCTGAACAACTGGGATGCTGTGAAGCGTTGCGGCCCCAAGCCCTTCCTCATCTACACTGTTCCAACTGGCCAGAACCCGACAGGTGCTACCCAGTCTTTGGCGCGAAGAAAGGACATCTACAGAGTCGCCCGAAAGCACGACTTGTTCATCTTCGAGGACGAGCCATACTACTTCCTCCAAATGCAACCATACACTGGACCAAACGCACCAGAAGTGCCACCACCAGCTACATACGAAGACTTCCTCAACTCCATCGTTCCATCTTTCCTGGCTCTGGACATTGACGGCCGTGTCATGCGTGCAGACTCATTCTCCAAAGTCCTCTCACCAGGCTCTCGTTGCGGTTGGATCACAGCTTCCGAACAAATCTGCAACCGCTTCCGCACGCACGCAGACGTCTGTACGCAAGGACCTTCCGGATTCAGCCAGATCATCCTCTTCAAGCTTCTCGACGAGACATGGGGTCATACCGGGTATCTGGACTGGCTCATGCATATCCGCATGTCATACACCAAGCGAAGAAACGTCATGATGGAAGCTTGCGAACGATACTTGCCCAAAGATATCGTGAGCTGGGTGCCACCTACTGCTGGCATGTTCCATTGGTTGCAAGTCGATTATCAGAAACATCCTGCGTATGGCATGAAATCCATGGACGAGATTGAGGAGGATATATTCCAGGCTAACGTTGCTCATGGAACGCTGCTGATGAAGGGGTCTTGGTTTATGGCTGAGAAGAATGGGAAGCGGTGAGTCGAGAATTTTCATTAGCAAGCACTACCCACGTAAGATACCGCGACTGATCTGTGAGCAGAAGCACCATGTTCTTCCGCGCCACCTACGCCGCAGCACAATTCGACCAAATCGACGAGGCCATCAAACGTTTCGGCAACGCTATTCGAGAAGAATTCGCTTTGAAGCCATATACTAATGGTTATCACGCTACGAATGGTCACGGCAATGGGTATGCCAACGGTCACTAAGCGAAGTCGGTGCGCAGCAAATGCCAGAAAAGTAATAAGCCCTGGATCTCCGGCTAGAACGAAGATGGGTGATGAGATGAGATTAGAGATTATGACATGACTCGCGTTCCCTCTTTTTCCGGCTGCGAATTTTTTTCTTCGCTTCCTGGTGGTAGTTGATAGCAGCGCATTCGTTGGCTTTGAAAAGCGAAGTCTTGATCAGCGCGCTTTTTCTCAGGGTTGCTTTCTCGAGAGGCTGGGAATGGCACATTTGGCCTTCTTCGGAGTCGGTCCTTCAGGCAGGCATGAAATGAGTAATCGATTGCCATCATCATCCTGTACGATGAACTATCTCTCATCTCATTTAGTCCATCGCAGCACCAGAATCGGCCACATGCGTTGAAACTTTGCACGTTTGAACTTGACGATTTGCGAGATTGAGGTGCTTGGAACCAAACCCTACAGACCCTCCTCCCCTGGTTTCATCTTTATGAGCTTAATAATCGCTGCTATATCAAGGGCTTGGTAGAGAAAGTTATGACTTGTGTATGCTGCGCTGCGCTGCACTCCCAGGACCACCATCCATACAATCGTTACAGTACCTACCTGCAGCAATCAATCATGTCCTGCGCAGCGCAATACGGCTATGGCAACACATCCCTTTCATCCTCAACCATGATGTCCCCAACAACTTCCAACATGGCGACATCAGGCATGGGAAATTCCAGTTGTGAAGAAGAGGGGGGAGGGTTTGGAAGGGGGGTTGGCTGTTAGGTGTAATGGGAAGGGAGGGGAAAGATGTGGGAGGTGGGAGTGGGAATGGGACTGTGATGTATAGTGGAGAGGCACGGGTGGGTTTTGGAGGGGGGACTGGGCTTGGGAAGGTGGTTGTGGTGTTGCTTTTGGGAGCGGTTTTAATACTGTAGGATGTTGGAGTGCGGGTGTATCAGCAGCGTTTGAGGATTTCGCCACGACGGAGTAGCTGCTCGGCTGGAGAGCGTGCGCGACTGCCTGGATATACCCAGGTAATTTTTTTTTGTCATAATCGCATCTCGTATCTCATCGAGGCAAGCTGTAGATATCGGTGTGATTATAGATCTTGAAGAACAAGAGTGGCAGGAAGCCTTACTTTTCATATCCATGCTGTCCTATTTCGCGCCTTCAACGCCCGGGACCTGCCTATTCCGCGCGATAGTCTGCTTGTGCGTCACGCCATTATTCTCTCTGAGCCTGCGAGGCTCGAAGCAGACTGTCGCCCGACCTACTCCGCCCTGGCAGACCTGGCGCGCGAGGGTATCTTCATAACAAATTTTCTTTCGCAATCATAAAACTTCCCTACCACCTTATCTTCCTCCGCCGCGGTGGTCGCTGTCTATCCGGTCGAGTGCTTCCATCATGACGACTGAGTTTCCGCGAATCACACACATTCCGAGTCGTACTTTCTCGTTGTTCGGCTTGCTTTCGGTCGCTTCGTCAAGGACTATGTTGAGGAAAACCTGCTTGATTCTCAGCCGCCGTTCGTTCTCCGGAAGTCTGCGCATGCTGCCATGCTTACATCGTATCCTCTCAGAGTTCCCATCACCTTGCGCGAGCCGTTCAATTGCACTTCTACGCGCTTGTCGAGGTACTATTGAATCTGTTAGCCAGTGATTTTGGGCGCCAGATTGATGGAGAACTTTGGCAGACATCTGCCAGTGGTAGAGCGTGGAGAAAGTCTAGATGTGAGAAGATCTGACTCACCTTCTTGAGTTCTGGCTGTGCTTGAGGCATGCTGGGTGGTGGTGGGATGCGATATTGATGCGATGTAGTTGTCGCGAAATGTATGTACAATGTCGCGAATCTACCATTCACGTGAGCTGCGGCCGGGCCGGGACCTGCCGTCGTAAGGCGAGCGAGGGAGGTTTGTCAGCTAAACGTGCGTCTGGTCAGGCCACCACAAGACCTCACGTCGTTGCACATATCAACAACAGTGATGGATTGATTAGGAAGATAAGGCGACTCTCAGGCGCAAATTCACCAAATTTTCAAACATGCGTACTCTGTGTTGACCTGAGCGTATATCTCGCCCAAGTCATACTCTGAAGAGCGGAGCTATACCACATACGGCTACTCTGGCACTAGGACGAATGGCTCCTGGCACGTATGAACTTCTTTTCAGGTCCTTGGTCCTGGACAGAGATATGGCCGGCCTGGAGGAATCAGAATCAGCCAGCTGGTCTGGTTTGTGTATGCTCTGCATCAGGGTCTGACCGTCTTTCGGCTGGCAGGCTTCAGTGAGTGGGCTCTACTCTTGCCAAAGGATGGGGACATCAGTAGACAGGCTTGGATCTCGAATCGCCTCTTCCGCAAGCCTCACATTCTCAACATCTGCATTTCAGCACACACTTGTACTCTGTCTAGGCGCTTTGGACCTGCTCAGAGCCGGCGACGCCGGAAACAATAATAATGAACGAACCGAGCCGGAGTCGATGCAAAATCCGTGGGCATGTTCTCATTAGACCGAATCTAGTGAATGACTAGCAGCCCGTCTCTTCGTGGCGTGCAGCTAAAGGGATAAAAATGGACAGTGCGGAGCTCAGGCTCAGACTCAGACCGGTCTGGGCTTGCTTCAAACACTGCCTTCCACGTTCCTAACCAATGTGTGCCAAGCCAAACCACTCGCCACGTTCGCAAAGATAAGCACCAACATCATGCACAAGGTATCGCCATGAGAAATGACACGCGTTGACGGCCGAGGCAGCGACCATGGATTGCATCGCGGAATACCGGGCGATATCTTTTAGTTCATGACTAGAGGTACACCTCGGCCAGCCACCGATTCAAATGTCTTCTGGACGTGGCCGTTAGAAGTGGCAAGACGCCATACGCGATGCGGTGTAAATTGCAAACCTACACCACACGCATGAGGCTCTCGCTGAATTTTCTTAGTTCGCGCATGGAGAGTCGAGGCTTCTTAAGTCCATCACAATAATGCGGTATCCATTTCTGGTCCAGGCAAGCTCACTTCCGTATATATATCCAAAGCAGTGTCGCAATTGCCCCATCCAGTCGATCTCACTCGCTTGATCAATCCACGCCAAAATGCATCTCCTTTCAGGTCTCGCGCTGCTCTCTGGCCTTGCATCTACTGGTCTGGCAGCAGTATCTTGTCCTTCACCGGCCACTTGCAAGGGCTTGACTGCCCTTGTAGCCTCTGCTTTGGCAACTTACCCTCCTGCCCAGTCCTTCTGTACCAGCAAATTCCCAGTGCCTCGTCAAACATGCGTGAGCACCGCACCCCTGGCGACAATCACTACTACAGTACGGCCCTTCCGTCCTCGAGCGAGCTTGTCGTGGACCATTCGCTGATGATGACTGCAGGTAGCGACCAGCACTCAAACCACAACAGTCGCGACTTCCACTGTGACGTACGTTGAATGACTTTCCACCCCTCATACTCCCAACCTTCATCATGCATCGGCTCACCCATAGCACAGCGTGACTGCACCAAGATCCACGAGCACATCCACGAGCAGTGTGACTGCCACCATTACAGGGCCCCCAACTTTCGTGACCTCGACGGTACGTTGAATATTCCTGATCGGTGGAAGAGCGCAATGAAGCTTCTTACAGCCTCTTCCCCGGCTGAGATTTGAAGTGCTAATGAGATGTAGGTCTCGGCCACGACAACTACCACAGTTACTGTTACGGCCAATGCGAAGCGTGACGTCGAAGCTCGAGCAGTTGACCCGAGAGCATCACAACTGAGCAGCCTCACGAAGCAGGCTTCGGCTTTCGTAGGATCCATCTGCACCTGTCTCGAGAAGCCAGCGACGACCACTGTCACTACTACACCATCAACCACAACATCCGTGACAGCCACTGTGACGTCGAGCAAAACTGCTACTAATACTGCGTAGGTCACGAAGCCCTGGAAGATGGTATATCCTTTCTGCAACCTCTACTAATGAATGTACACAGTACGGTTACTCCAAGCACTACCGTCACTACCACGACGACTGTGGCTACATCTACCGTTACTCCAACCAGCACGGTAACTACTACTGTAAGCATTGTTCGTTCGGCTGCCATCCGGCTGCTTCTGCCACGAGGTACATGCTAATTTGCTTTAGACCACTACCACTGTCACCGTAAGTGCGACTGTTACTCCACAAACCTGCACAAACCATACACCCTCATTGAGGGTTGCAGCGACGGCACCCAATGCACCACTCCAAAAGACTGTCTTATCACGTCCTTGGACGATGCATGCGCAAACGCCTGCACGGGGGATTGTATTACAACACCTCATCCTTGGACCGTGCCAACTCGACGGGGACTTTGCTGAGCCCAATGGCCGCGTGTGACAGCAGGAAGCATGACCGGGCATCTCATATCTGGCATCAGCAGCACTTTGACCACCCCGTCGTCTTTTCCGCATAAAATCCTCCAGCTGAACTGCCCACATCCTCGAGTGCTCAATCTTTTCACGGAACCCTTTCGCAACCCTTACGCCGGAAAACACGCAGATGCTAACATCGAATTCTCACACAGACAACTACTACCGCGCCTAGTACGCCGACCTGCAACGATTCCCAAGGGCTTCTGGAAGGTTGCCCCAACGGCTCCGTTTGCAATCCACCTTCTAATTGCTACGTTGTTTCGTTCAACGAATGCGACATTCGCTGCGCGACTTCTGCCGGTTGCATTGCGTATTCATATGACAACACCAATAGCCATTGTGTGCTTTATTACGAGTGCTGTGGGGGAGGAACGAAGAAGAGGGGGTTGAGGTATCGAGCGGAATGGCCGGCGCTTGGCGGTGGTGGGGATGGTGTTGTGCATGTCAGACCTGGGAAGAATGTAACTCTGGACGCGTAATCGTCTCGGTGTTCTTCTCTGGCAAATACCTTTAGCTGCAGGCAATTGATTCTGTTACGACTTGCAAGAGTCTCTTTCGTTATTTGTCTTCACCCCTCCCCGACCAACAACTCGCGGCAACTCACAGTTATATTCCCTCGTTGCTTGCTTGGGATGAACATCGAAATCTGAGCTCTTTCAACTCATCTCCTGTGTGTGTTGTAGATTCCTGCGGTCTTTGTGACTTCCTTATCCGTAACGTTGAAGCTAATACGGAAGGCGGAGAAGGACGGAGGGGAAGGTATATGGTACAACTAACTCTATAATTTTTTTTATTAACATCTTCATTGTATCCTTTTCACAAAAAGATGTTCAAAATCTTATGAGAATCTTGTATAAGCTCGGCGTCGTTAGCAGTTAGGTTTACTATATACACAATTAGGAATAGCCAGCCGTGGGCGGAGAGCACTGCGAGAATTGCTTCTTAGATCATTATAATCATGACATGTACATTTCATTATTCGTCTCATTTTTTGTGTTCCCATAAACGTCGACGCCAAGTCGTCTGGGTCGTCAAACTGTCGTGTTGCTTATGCTGTCATTTCGAACTCATGCCATATAGCTGCCGCCACGTCCAACAGGGCTTCGCTGATGTGCTGTACCAGTCGAGATACCATTACTGGCGGTGCGGTCGAGCGATAAATCTTGTGGGCTTTGATGTGTCTTCTCATCGCTGAAGGCAGAGGCTCTGCTGGCTGTATTTGCCGGAGCCTGCGGTGGTGGTGGGAGAGGCACAACGCCTGAATCAGCGAAATCGTCGTATGAGTGGCGGCTTGAAGTGGGTCGACGGTTTCCTGCTGTTGGATGTTCGCTAGGACCATCTTGGTCTGGGTTCGCAGTCTCGTATTCGAGCGCCTTGATGAACTTAAAGAACGCCGCGGATAGCAATGTTCGTACGTTGACATTCATCTTGATCGATTTCTGGGAGCGAGTAGGTGGTTGTACGCAAGTGCAGGGCACCCATGCCTGCGACCTGCCAACTTCTTCAAGTAGTTCCAATGCATGCTGGCATTCTGTCGGCCTAGAAGTGTCGTCATGATAGCATACCGGTGCATAGACCGGTTATACCAGAAGGTTTCAATGTGACAGCGCTAGAGGTGCTGTAGCGTGCGAGCCAGCCGTGGTTTCCTGACGAGAGATTGGCTGCAGCAGAAGGAGCTTTCTGCATCTGGATGCCACGCGGAATACGGAATACCAATTGCCACAGTGGCTGGACGGCCTCGCCACAAATGACACGAGCGACAGCGACAACGTACGATGTCGCAGTGTCGTTGATGAAGATGTGATGTCTGGGCTGGGAAAGAGAGTGCAAGGAGGAAGGGAGGAAGGGAGGTCGGCACCGCCGAAAAGTTTCGCCGAACAAATCACGTGGTCGTTCGCACATCGCTATGCATTCTTCCCTCACGGCCCTGTTTCTGCATATCCTGCTGCGTTGCTCTAAAAGTGGCCTTCCAGCGTCAAAGTGCCAGTCTTTGTGATCATGTACTCGTTGACGGCGACATCCTTGCCGCTCTCCTTGCCGTAGCCCGACTCCTTGATACCGCCAAATGGCGACTCTGCCGCGGAGGAATTGCCCGTGTTCATGCCTGTGAGCAGTCAGCCGAGATTCCACATGCACTCGCAGGACGGACATACCAATCATGCCGGCCTCCAGATTCTCAAGCAAGCGCCATGTTCGGTCGACATTCTTGGTGAAGAAATAGCTCGCAAGACCCATGCTGGTGTCGTTCGCCTTCTGTACGGCCTCCTCTTCAGTATCGAACTCGAACAGGGCCATCACAGGCGCAAAAGTCTCCTCGCGCGAGATCAGCATGCCATCCTTAGCGCCAGTGATGACTGTGGGCTCGAAGAAGTATCCATCATAACCAGCAGTACCATGCAGCTTCTTGCCTCCCAAGATAATTTTACCGCCGTTCTTCACAGCATCGTCAACCTGGGCTTCAGCCTTTGCAAGACTTCGCTCGGTTGTCACTGGACCCATAGTCGTCTTGGAGTCGGCACCGTGCCCTACCACAATCTCTTTCGTCTTGGCCGCGAGCATCTCGGCGAACTTGTCGTAAACGCCCTTCTGGACGTAAACACGGTTGGCAGTAATGCATGCCTGGCCGGCATGGCGCCACTTGAGAGCAAGCAGTTCTAGACATGTTAGCCGAGCACACTGGTCATCAACCTCTTTCAATGCACTCACGAGTAGCGGCTTGTTCCAAATTGGCGTCGTCAAAGACAAGGAACGGGCAGTTACCACCAAGCTCCAGTGTGCACTTCTTCAGACCATCCGAGCAGATCTTCGCAACGAGCTTGCCAACTCTGGTGCTTCCGGTGAAGGTCACCTTCTTGACCAGAGGATGTCGGCAGAGTGCTTCACTGAGCGTAGGAGTCTGCTCCAAGCTGGTAGGGAGAACCGAAAACACACCCTTTGGAAAGCCGGCCTTTTCAGCAAGGTATGCAAGAGCACCGACAGAGAATGGAGTCTCGGGCGATGGCTTCACGATCATTGTGCAGCCCGCCGCCAACGCAGCTCCGGCTTTCCGAAGAATCATGGCGATTGGGAAGTTCCATGGCACGAGAGCAACCGTGACACCGATTGGCTGCTTGACCGTGAACACTCGTCGGCCTGGAGCTGCTGGCGTCTGAATGGTTCCCTGCACTCTCTCTGCCTCTCCAGCAAACCACCACGTGAAACCCAGAGCGTAGTCGAGCTCGCCGTGAGATTCGAAAAGCGGCTTGCCACACTCATGCGTGACGATCTGGGCAAGGTCATCTCGGTTCTCGCGAATCAGTTGGTCCCATTTCAGCAGCCATTGAGCTCGCGTCCGTGGGTTGACCTTCTTAAATTCGTGGAATGCCTCGTTGGCGGACTTCACCGCAGCGTCGACATCGTCTGGTCCACAATCTGGTGCAGTTGCCCAGACCTTGCCATTGCCCGGATCTGCAATTGTCAGCTTTCATCTAGTCTCTGCCAAATATGTCCAATACCAACCATAGACGTCAAAGCGCTTTCCTGATTGAGCTTCTACCCAGTTTCCACCAGAAAGAGCCTGGTCGCGGAACAAGTCTGGGTTGTTCAACTATTCCGTTTGTGAGCTATTGCTTCCAGCTACGGTTCTCACTCCTCACCTTGAAGGGGAGATTTGGTGCCATTGTGTCTCCGTTGGTATCGCTTTGTTCAATCTTGGGGTTGGATGCGATCTTTCTCCTCTTCGATGTTCTCGCCACCGTGAAGATGTGTATGAGCAACGACAGAAATCCGATTCCTCGAAATCACGGCGCTGCCACCTTCTTTCTTCTGCGTCATCTAGCCCATTCGCGAATTTCTAAGCCGAGCTCGAGCGGGGCGGCGGCGACGCACTACATCATAATCAAGATACACTTCGCCCTCCGACTTCGCCAGAGCTTCTCTTCCCTTCCCCTGACACAGCTTGCTGTCCGGAAATAAGACATAGCACATTTGGAAAGACTGCAGCTACTAGCTCTAATATCTATATACCCTAATTAAGCGAGATAGCGGACGGCGGTAATACCTACTAGCGCGGCGCTACCTAATTTCGGTTATAGCCGCAATGTACTAGAAGCTTCTTCCGTTCCTATAACTTCCTACTATTTCTACGATTTAACTACTTAAGTACTATTTTCTATCTATATAATAGTTACTAGTAGCGCCTCGCTTATTACTAAACTAGCTACCGAACTAGGTACTAATCTAACGAACTAACTAACTAAATCTAACTATTTAGCTAATTAAAATACTATATTTCGCCTCGCTATATATACTATAATATTATACTAACTACTTAGAATATATAGCTATTTATAATATAGCTAGATATAGCCTAGATACTAGAACTAGACTATCCGTACTAATACTAGGATCCGGACGCTAACTATTTATTAAATTCTAGAAGGACTAGTTATACTACCTCGCTTACGTAACTATAGTTAACTAACCGCGTACTCGGTATACTAGTCTAAAAACAGCTACCTAACTTCTAAGGCTTATATAGCTAATCGTAATTAAAGAAGGAAGAAATAGTATAAGATAGTACGTAAGCTTAGTATTTATAAGTCGCTCTATATTATTAACTACTTAATAACGTAGAAGGAGCTTAGCTACTTCTAATCCCTATATATTCCGGAAACGTATTCTATAATCTAAAAGAAGCTAGTTATATAGTATCGGCGTCGCTAATTCCTTAAGACTAATTAGCTAAGAACGATCTATACTAATAAAGTCGGTCTTTAGCTCGTTTTTCCGAAAACGTAGATTACGTAGCTAGCTAATAATATCGATAATCGAAGCTATCCTAATATAATCGAGCCGTAGAAGCTAAAAGCCGAGACTCTATATTTTTAAGAGTCTATCTCGGCTTTCGGCGTTAGACCCTTAAAAGTTAATTAAGCTATCTAAGGACGAAATATAGACTAGCTAATACTATCGCGAGAATACCCTATTAAATATTTTTAATTATACTATTTTACTTAGCGCTCGAAATATAATAGAGTAGCTCCTTCTTATTAGTCGAAAATAACGCGCTATATTATAAGGCGGCGCTAACTATTAAAGTATATATAAATATAGAGACTAATTATATTGTTATAGTAGGCACGGAACGCCGGGCCTATATATACTTCTATAGGACCGTAGATACCTCCTTAATACTATACTATTGCAGACCTACTAATCGTCCCTCGCGTAATATATATAGCGCTACTATCCTATTTATAAGAGCTAAATCTAATCGAGAATATATAGGGCTATTAGAAGGATCGGATTAGTAAGTAGGTACCGCGACTAGCTATAATTACCGAGCTCTAAGATACGGCTAAGCGAGAGTAGCGTAATATTCTAAGAAGTTACCTTTAAAATTTATTTAACTTTATATAAAAGTATTACAAAACAATTATCGCTTCTAGCGGTTACCTAATCGATTACTAGCTAGCTTTATTTAGCCTCTTAAACCAAATTAAGTTAGCGCCGCGCTAGTAGGGATTACCGCCGTCCGCTATCTCGCTTAATTAGGGTATACGAGTCTAGACTTGCCTCCGGCTAACCGATCCTATCGTACCTACCTAATAGCGTAGCTTACGCTTAGTTACTTCCCCGAGCCCTAGCTAGCTGCCCGAGCCCTAGTAATATAGTAGATTATAGAATCCGCTATTCCTAATAAAATCGCGTAGGGAAGCGATTTCCGGATCCCTATAACTACTACCGACCGGGCAACTACTTCTATACTGCTACTAGCTATAAAGCTAAAGTTTGTTAGCAAATTAGTAGTATAGCAAAATTTAAGGTGTTATTAGTTACTATCTACTTAGATCTAAGCGGGTTACGACCTATAGCCTTATAACTACGTAATACTATATATACTAGCTTATACTAATCCCTCTGCTGCTAACTAGCCTACTGCTATATATAATACTGCTACTAAGTAAACTAATAGTGCTATTGCTATAGTACCTAGTAGTAAAGTAGCTGTCCTGTTCGCTATATAAGCGACTATTATTATTGTTACTAGTACTAGTAGTGTTGCTAAGCAGCCTATCGTTATTGCTGTTTAAACAACGCCGCCTATTACTAAGTACGCTATTCTTTACGCGCTCGAAGGTTATTAAGTTCTTACCGTAGAAGGTCTATATTACGGGTAAGTAACGTATACGTAGATGCTAGATATAAGACTTAATAGGTTCGATAAAGAGCTAAGTCTATCTACGTGAATCCGAATAGTTTTGTATAGTGCGCTAAGCGCTAAGTAGTAGGTTAGAGTCGCGTAGGCCGAATGCCTAAGGCTAGCGCTTTCTGCCTAGGGCGTAGCCCTTTATATTACCTCTGTCCTCCTCCCCTTCCTTAGCGGGGATAGAAAGCCCTCCGTAGTTTCTATCGCTATTACTTTATCCGTTAGATCTATACCTATCTAAGCTTCTCTAGAGTAACGCGCTCGTAGTTTCCTTCTTTACGATCGAGGTTTCCGCTACTTTCCGGTCGGGGTTGCCGTACCTAGGGTTTTAACGACTATAACTTTCTTCGCGACTACTAAACCGCGCTCTTTTACCTACTTACCGCCTTCTAGAACGCGCCGTAACTGCGCTTTTAAACGCTTTACTTATAATCGCGCTTTCCCTTACTTTCGCGATCTTTACTTCGGCGTCGCCTTCTAGGAGTATTAATATTTCCCTCTTCTTCTTCTTCTTCCTCTTTTCTTTATATATACCCCTACTACTACTACTACTACTACTAATACTGCAAGTCCCTCCCCTTCCTCCTCGGTTCCCTTCGTAAAATTAACTTATCCTAGATAGCTCGTCGAATTTACTACGTTAGTTACTATAACTCCGGCGAAGACTATACCGACTAATCTATAAGATTCCCGTCCGATTTATCGTAGGGTCCGCTAACTATTCTTAAGCCCGCTAGCTCGAGGGCTTGCGCTAATTGCGCTCGTAAGAGAATTGCTTACGCCCTACTATAAGTTATCGCGATTCCTATACCGAATCTCTCGCTAACTATTTAGTCCTTAAATAGCCTACGTAGCCTACGCTAGCTATACCCGCGCGACCCGCGCTAATATCGCCGAGAAGCACTCCGAGCTTCTTAAGGTTCTTAAGGCCTAGAAAGCTCTTAAGTCTCTCTAGCCGTAGGGGTTATTATCTAGGTAAGATTCTCTGTTTCCCGCGATAAAACCCTCGCTAACCGTTTATTTTAGCGCTATCGCCTCGGAGGTAACAAATACCGTCGCTAATATCGTAGCTTAATAGACTTAGACGTAAGTTCCTCGCTACCCTTCGACTTTCTCTCGCTAACCTCTCTTTTTTAGTAGCGTTCCGACTGCCCTCCGCCTTAGTAATAATCGTCTAGGTCCGCTAGAGGAGTAAAGGTTTCCGTAGGTTTTCTAGGGGGCTCTAGGTAGTTTCGGATATAGTATTATTATTTTTTTTATAGTCCTAAGGTAACCTTCTAATTTCGGGCGGAGACCCGATACTTACTTATAAATACCTAAATAAAATTCTTCTTAACTCTAAATTATATTTCTCTTCTTTAGTGTTCTAGTAAACCTAAGTCTAATAAGTTAGTAAGAAAATCCAAACTCTAGAAGTTAGTAAAAGTCCCTAGAATCTATAAACCCGTTACTCCGCGGAAAAACTCTAGGTTACCGCGTTATTTCTTCCGTTTTCCTCTCTTCTCCTAATCTCCTAGAGGCCCGTCGTTCTCTTCGATTTGTCTATATTTCGCTTCGAAGTCGTCTAGCGCGGAGGTATCTGCGATATAGTCTAGGGGTTCCTACGTAGGTTTATAGTATCTGCTCTATTTTACAAGTACTTCTCGCCCTCGGCTCTACTTCTTTTTTCGGGTATATAGGATTTCTTCGACTTGCTACTCTTTATACGTCTCGAATAAGATAGGGTCCGGCTATTCGTCGTCGGTTACCTACCCTAGAAGGGGGTCCCGGCTCGCAAGTCTTAGAAGGTCGGTATAGAATACCGGGTAAATATTACTAGGTATCCCTAAGAGTTATACTAAGATAGGCGATAATACCTCTTCTACTATATACTTAGCGTACTTCGAGTCGAGGCTCTTCTTTAGTCTACCGGTCTAGTAATTCCTTAGGTCGAGCTAGACCTTGTCTCCGATACGATATACTAGCGCTAGAGTTCTAGTCTTATTCGCGCTATCCTCTTGTTTCTATACGGCTTCCGCTATTTATACTTAGTATAGATCTAAGATCTTCTTAATCTTATCTACGAACTCCTTTGCCCGTTTCGCCGCGGTTAGCCGTCTATCGATAGCTAGGTCCTCTTCTAACGTAACGGAGGAGGTAGATTCGTAACCGTAAGTTGCGAAGAAAGAGCTTATTCCTAACCCCGCTTAGTGTCTTCCGTTAAACGCTAGTTCTACCGTAGGAAGCTATTAGTTCTAATCGGACTATATCTAGTTAATATAGTTCTATAGGTAAGCTTATACGTCTTAGTTTACGCGCTCCGGACCCCCGTCGGTTTATAGGTAGTAGGCGGAGCTTAACCTCTACTTTACGCCGAGTAGTCGATATATCTCCCTCTAGAAAGTGCTTATCTAATTCGTACCTCTATCGCTAGTAATAGTATAAGGCAGTCCGTAATACCTAACCTAGTATTTTAGAAACAAAACCGCGCATTCCTCTACTTTTATAAAGGGAGTACTAATAAGGGCGATCTATTTGCTAAGGCGGTCTTTAATTACCTATAGATACCGGTTCCTATCTAACTCCGGTAGGTTAGTTATAAAGTCTATCGAGATTTCCTAGAAGAAACGGTCGGGTACTAGTAG